TCAAAGATAAAATCTTTTTTACAAGGAAACAAAATTTTTTTCAAAATGCCCCCATTGGGCGGAAAAACCAATTTTGTTAAAATTTTTTTCCAAACCAAACCCTTTTATAATCTTTTTTCCTTTAAAAGGTCCTTTGTACTGTTTTCGGAAAAATTTCTACAGACCAAAAAACCTAAAAAAACATGATGCATAGTATTTATAATTAAATTTTAAGTCGCATAGATACGATACTATATATGATCATCGATATATTTCTTCGTGTCAACGTTGAAAGTTTCATTATAACAGACTTATGAACAAATCTTTAGATGTTTCTGAATGAATTATTTCATTATTCTCATGTCTAGATGTTGAATTCTGCTTAAGTAGGTTCATTATATGCAATACGACAAAAATAAAAAAAATGAAATTAGAAATGAATGAACCATTGTGCCTTTAAATGCCATACGTTATCAGTACGTTTTTATGTATTTTACATAATTTTCTATTATAGTTTATAGTTCTTTTAAACTTTACAACTGCTTTAGAACTATACGTATTTCAAAAATTAACCTACCAATGGGTATGTTACATTTGTTTGTCGCAAGAGTCAGTGAGCAAGGGTCAAGTTCAAGTAGAATATTGTACTCAAATTCAGAATACCACCAATTATGCTCTTGGGTCATTTCAACAAGGTACTTGATGTCATCTTTCACAGCATAGCGGAAATTCATCTTCGTTCTTATATTGCTTTGTCTCCATAATTTCTGAGTTTATATGCAATATTTTATTTAGCAATACACGTTCATGTTAGAAAAAAATTTATTTAAAACATGTCATGTACTTGTCTAATATGATTTATGGTGAAAAAAAAAATAATTGTTATCCCTCTGAAGCATTAATCACAACAAAATTACATTAAAATTGCAGATACGGTTTGAGGGGTAATAAAAAGTGCAACATCCATCATATCATCCCAACTCAGCACCGACTTTAACATCTGCCACACAGCACTTGACACCTTGCTATTGAGAAGTATAAAAATCTGGATAAAGGGTGATTCCTCGGAAGTATTAATCACAACAAAATTACATGAAATTTGCAGACTCGGTCTAATTGTAACTCTATATGTTTACTCTATGTTTGTTTATTGTTACTGTTGTCGTGAACAGTGCTTTTGTTAGTGACGAAATTCATTCGACAATTAATGCATTTGATTTGATTAAGAAAATATGTCGAATAAAAGTAATTGATTGTTATTAATTATTTAACTGAATAAGAAACGTACATGTATAAAGCTATATTACCGATAATAGTTGATCTGCTCGTAGTTCAGCTGGTTGACAAGACACACTAGATGTTGGATTACATACATTATGACTACCTCTGTCGGCTGTAGTCGAATAAGGTATTGAAGACACAGCTAAATCACATGATGATACTGAAGAGAAAGCATTCCCTCGGACTTGTAATATCCAACTTAATGCTCCATACCTGGGAATTACTCTAAGCATGTTAAAAATTATAAAGCAAAATATCACTCGTTTATAGTTCATAAAACACTTATTTTCCAAAGAGTTGATCCGTCAACGATTTACTTACAAGTTTTATTAATAGCTTACTTTGATCAGCTGTTGTTTTTTTTACCGTGACAACAAGTTTATTGTATAGGTAATATATAACCATCAACGCGGAACGAAATGGTCAATGTTAGGTCTCGCTTCTCAAGTATTCAAAAAATCTTTATCAACTTATTCAACCGATTAATTATCATTTCAAATAATTATGTCCTTTTACAAACTGTATCATCAAATTCAAAATTTATATATGTATGCTTTAAAGTAGGAAGGAAATGAAATAGATTCGTTGTTTTATGCAACATAAATATCATGTTAACAGTTTATAAATGATATTTTCATTATTTGCCAGTTAAGTTAATGTTGTATAAAAGAGGAGAGCTATAAGTATTTAAATGTTTAATTCTTTGTACAGAAATATCCCACAAAAACTTTCAGATATGTTTCTGTTTAAAACTCGCTATGTTTTATTGCACGATCTTTTTGTTTTGATGTTATGTTCGGTATGCTAGCGACTGTCAAAGTATATGGGATGGCTGGATAAATGCTAGATGAATTCTTAAGTCTTATGTAGACATTTGCTCACAAATGAGTTAAAGCAACCGTCACCATGATATCAAAAAGCTACTCAAAACCTCCAGATTTACGTGAAAGTTTATATCCGTCAATTTTAAAAAACTTTTATTTGTCATAAAGTTATTTATGTTTATGGCTGTTTCAAACAAGTCACTCCACAAAATAATCCAAATAGTTATTATTGTTCACGCATTTAAGCTGCAATTTACAGGACCTTATGTCTTGCTTAATATTACTTTTAAATACTAGTCTGACATGTTTTAAAAACACGCATTTTGCATACATCATTGTATAATGTCACAGTGGGGCCTTAAGAATTTAATTTGAACCACAAATGTATGTATGTATGTATGTATGTATGTATGTATGTATGTATGTATGTATGCGTGTATGCGTGTATGTATGTATGTATGTATGGATGGATGGATGGATGGATGTGCGTGCGTGCGTGCGTGTGTATGTATTTTGCACACATGTCAAAACTGTAAGTCCTTTTTCAATTGAACGGTCGTTTATACGTATGTTTCACTTTAAATGCAATTTCATGAAAATACAGACGGGTCCTTATATCGAAGCTCAATATAAGCAAGTTAACACATATACTAGTGTTTATTCTTTTCGACATAATATATTTAAATCAACTCTTACCTAAGTTTCCCAAACGATTGTTTGACATCGATAATGACACGAAAAACATTTTTATTAGCATAGGAACCAAAAGGTTTTGTTTTTTTCGCATTTTATCCTATAATGTTTGGGACCGTTTTATTTTGTAAACATTGATTTAATAATTGAAACTGTACAACAACAACAACATCTATAACATTACAATTCTAATATCATGATAAGCTGCACACATTTTTATTTCTATACCTCAGAACTGCCTGTCAGAATCAGCCCGGTAAGCTTCAGAGATGTTATATTCACGAACTTTTTGCTTATTTATGGCTTGTTTGCATGGACATTTTTTTACCAAAAATGAAGAACTTTGATTTAGTTTATATGGAAGTATATATAATAAACTGTTATTGTTAGGTGATTTCGGTGAATACCCAAGTACTTGAACTGTTCTTATGTGATATTCATTTCGGCCTTCAGTTCAAGTGAATATTACACTAGCCAGGTCATATATTCACCTCATCATCCTACAATAATTGTAAAAATCTAATGTTGTCATCCTTATAAACCTGAACACTACAGGTAAATATCACCAATTGAAATTACTCATATACCTTACACCCATGTATTTATTATACGCAGGTTGATATAATTTTAAAGCAATGCAATGGTTTGCAATACAAATAATCTTTCATGAAACAGTCTCAGGAAGAAGGTTACAATGCGGGCTTACTTTCAAATTAAACAATGATGAGTATCATAGAATTTTATATGTCAGAACCGTGTGATAAGTTGCTGGGTAATTTCTTAGCAATCTATTGATGCAGAAATGTTACAAGTAATGTTATACTTTACTAGAGTATAGTTGCATACGGGTTGCTTTACCAGTTTGCTGGAACAGTTTACTAAATGGATGTCATCTTTACAATTGATATGTCTCTTATTATACAATATAGCAGAGACTCAGGGTCTTAAGATTTATAAACAAAAATGTACATGTTTAATTCAACTGTCGGGTTTGTTGTTTAAATTAAACGATAACAATAATATGTTATTTACAGCGGCAGTTTATAAATAGCTTAATCAAGAGCACCGCTAGGTGGAGCATTATATGCGTGAAAATATTTTTTCTTAGAAAGGATGAATCATTTGTAAGACATGGGAATTAAATAAAGTATTACCTCCTTCACAAAGCAATCCTTTATAGCTGAAGAACCTTCATATATATACAGTTGCTGTTTCCAAAGCATCACCATCAAGTTGTTATCTTGTAAGTAAAAATGCTACGACGGATACGCCAGGGGTATAACATTTATAACAAATTTTTTAGGGCATATAATTAATGTACTCAATATAAGTGATCATCCTATGAAGTTTGACAGTTGTAAAACTGTTAACAATATCAAGGTCATTTGATATTGACCTTTGACCTTGTGACCCCAATATAGATGTGGATCTTTTATTCAATAAAGGCAATCATCTTATGAAGTTTGAACACTGTTAGCCAATTGGAACTTAAGTTATGCTCCAGAAAAAACAATTTTCAGTGTAAAGATCATTGCAACCCTGACCTTATGACGCTTAGATCAATAGGGTTCATGTATTGGACTTGGCTGTTCATCCTATAAATTTTTACAGCTGTAGGTTGATTAATACTTAAGTTATTGAGCGGAAAGTTTGAATATTGTGGGCCAAATGGAACTTAAGTTATGCCCCGGAAACCAAATTGCTTACGGACGGATGGGCGGACGGACGGAAGTGCCAACCATTGGGGTTTATGTGCTTTTTTCTTTGATCCTTATGTGGCATTTTCCCCCATAAACCAGTAAAATTACCACATAAACCAGTCGGTTTATGGGATTTTCTTCTCTTTTTTAACTAAAATTATGGAAGGAATGAAGCTTATAGACTGGATGATCGCCCGGACAGACGGATGGACGGACGCCAGGGGGTAGAACATAATATGCCCGAAATTCTTTCGGGCATATAAAAATCGACTGTAAAAGCGGTTTTCAAATCTTTCATTACCAGCAGTACAAACGTACTCTACTGTTAGTATTTGCAACAAATATAGATGTATTACGGCTGTAAGTTAAACTGCTGTTACTGATAGAACTTACGGGCAGAAATTGCACTTACTCCTCACTGCTAACTTCACGTACATCTCTTCATGAGGATATTCATCTTTTTTTTTTCGTAAGGAAATGTTTTAATATTTACCCATCCTAAATTGTTAAATACAAGATTGAATAAAAGATCCTTAAATATTTATTACAATTCTTTACATAAATGTCTAAGACGCAAAATGTGGATCTGTCACTCTCAGTGACAGAAAATCTCTTAACCTGCATACCTTTCAAAATGCCAGTCATATAACTTGATTCAACTTTAATTTGCATATTTTATATATCTGACTTTATTATATACTTATATATGAAATATTGAAAAATATTGATGAAATAAAATGCGTATTTTCATTTTCCGTATTTTCACTGTAAAAATTTATTTTTTACTGCAGTGAAACATATTTTCCGTATTTTCACTGGTGTCTTGCCGGACTACTTTCTTTTAAATTCTGCCACTCACTGTACACAAAATTTAAGGGAAAGTCTTTCAAATTTTAATGTCAAAAAAGAGAAAAATGTATATAATAAACAGAAAATTCAAGTTTTTTCTATAAATACATGATTTATTTTCATCTTGTGGCATGAAAATTACCATATTTCACTTGTGGCTACCGCCACTCATGAAATATTTATTTTCATACCACTCGATGAAAATAAATCATGTATTTATAGAAAAAACTTGAATATCCTCTATGTATCTCAGCAACATATAATAAATACCAACAAAGTAATGAAAATGGGACATTTTGACACAAATCGATAGTTCTGTGTTTTCTTAGAAAGTTGTTAATTAATGATAATGTTTTTTGAACTGTCTTGTATATTCCCAGTGTTTCTCACAAAGCTGCATGTATACTAGCCGAACCAATGTCTTTTCTGGCACGTATATTCCCAGTGTTTCTCACAAAGCCAGCACCAATCCATTTTACATTTGATACATGTCATATGCATACATCCACCTGTGAATAAAACAAAGATATAGACTAAGTTTCCATTTTAAACTAAAATTAATTGACTTTTCTTTCTTGATAATGAGTATCTATTGTTTGTTTCTGGAACATAAAATGTCCAAAACCTAATTGCCTAGTTTTTGTTCATACCCCAGAAACTTGCAGCTAGGCCTAGGCATAATGAGCAAAGTCTATGAAACTTCCAGTCAATGATGAACCGTCTGCATATATATCATTTGAAACTGACAACCTAGGTGTGGCGTTAAGTCAAAGTAAAATGACTATTAAATGCCATTTCGTTTTAGGTAGGATAAAGATAAGTTCTTGTTTTATGCTACTGACTTCTCTACTGTTTAATATTTCGTTTTAACCTATTGCATCATGTTTGACTGTTTAATAGTGCATCGGATAGTGTGATGCTGGTTAAAACAAGAACATAATGTTGTAGAAAAAAAGTTCAAATGAAGCATTTCTTTTCACAATCGAAATGTAAATAATCTTTGTGACAAAGAATGTGCAAATTATCCACATTCTTTTAAACTATTCAATTTTTAAATATTCCCAGTTTACAGTTTACCGATCTTAGACATGATTTTATTGTACCTTATTTTATAACTGTCAAAACATTATTTTTTCAAATTATTTAAAGATTACAAATATTTTATTTTTAAAGTATTGTCAGTTTTAAGAAACAAACCATCTTTCTCTGTATGAGCTCCACAATGCGGGCATGCTTTTGTTGTTTCTTTAATGACTTTGTTTGCAGCACGATTTTCACGTGAATGTACAACCTTTGCAACAGTTGCATCTGATAACTGAACATAGAATAAAGTGATTATTATTACAACTATTTGAGCACCCTTTTGTAAAATACATTTGTTTAAAAGTGCTGCATCAATTATATTCACACATATCTTCACTTACGGGGCCTATTTATAAGACCGAGTTGAGTGGCATTATTTCATGCAGTCAGTTTTTATATATGCCACTATGTAGGCATATAATGACATTTCCAAACAACAGAACTAAGGGGTACTAAGTTATATATATCAACTATATATTTAATTTTACCATAGGTGAAAACATATTGACCAATAACATAAAACCCCATTAAAAATATATACATTTGTGGGACATATATATATATATTATTCAATTGTTAAGATGATTTAACAATTAAAAAACACACATGTACATCTGTTAATAAATTTCAAAAATGGCTACGTTTTTTGTTTGTTATTGTTGATGTTGTTTTTGTTATTGTTGTTGTTTTGGTGGTGATGTTGTTCAAATAATGATTGGAAATTATTTCATTATTTCAAAAGAGAAAGCAATATATTTGTTTTAATTCCAGTGTTCTGAAAGTTGTCCAGGAAAGGCGGTAAGGTGGGGGTGATAAAAATGTGTTAAATCGTTGTAAAATCGGGAAAATATTCGTCTTAGGCTTAAAAATGAAATATCATGAAAGTTGGTAATGCTTTACCCCCAAGCAGTGCTAGTTAAGTGTTTCATAAAAAGATCGCCTAAATTCTGGTTCTTGGAATCTCTACAATGTTTGTTTTCGTACGTACATTTCTTACAAGTTTTTATACAAGCTTCGTCTTTTGCAATTGTAAATTAAACTTTTGAAAACATAGCTAGTGTAACTCTCTTATCACAGCTGCAATGTGATCATAATTCTAGGTCTTTGTAATGAGTAGAGCAACTTAAATTTGAACTTTTTGGAGCTTATTTAGAATATTGTTTGGCATGACATAGAGAAAATAGTTGCCGCGATCTACTCTTGATTCTACATGTATAAATGAATAAATAATTGTCATCAGTAGTCGAGTAATTTGTATTGTAGGAACCTCGGAAATACATAATTTATAATAAGTGATAACAGCATTGAATATATTATACATTGATTAAAATCGCGTGCCTCACTTTTACACTATTTGATGTAAATCGATTTTAATTTTGTTGTTACAATTTTAATGTCGAATAAAAGTTATGTTATGTTATGTTATGTTATGTTATGTTATGTTATGTTATGTTATGTTATGTTAGTGTTTAATCTGTTTATTACCGGCAATATGAAACAGGTAAAGGAATTATCTCGTTATGAAATAATTGTTTTGAATTGTCGAATAATGTCGTAAATATATTCTACTTGGATTTAAATGCCTCAGTTTGTGAAACGTTGTCTACATGTATAACCATGAGTCGTCGGCGTAATAATGACGATTAAGTTTATGCTTCTTATTTATATATACTATAGCTAATTACTGGAAATGAAGTCTTAAGACCGATCATTGAGATATGTTTGATTTCATAAGTATTAGTTGTTAAACATTTCTTTCATTAGTGTCCACGATTTTTAAACTGTCACTTGCTGAAGTGAATTGATAGAGGATATTTGTTTAGTTCAGTGTAAGATCGGAATATATTTCACCGAGTGAGCACCAAAAGGTATATTTCACGAGTGGCGCAGCCACGAGTGAAATATGAACTTTTGGTGTTCACAAGGTGAAATATATTTCAATCTTGCACTAAACTAAACAAATTTTCTTTTTATTACATGCAAAGAAACGTTTTAAAAAGACATTTAACCTAATACTGAATGAAAAGCGCGCCAAATAATAATACAACGTGACGTCATTTACGACGTCACGTCATTAAGTTGGTACCCAGTACTGTGTACGCTGGTATTTCACTAAAACAACGTAAGGGGCTTAAATTCAAAACAGTGAAATTATCAAAGTGTTAATTTCACTGTTTCAAACAGTGAAATAACCAGTTTTATTACATGCTTTTCGGTGGTTTATAAAAATTTATTTTATGCTTTTCAGTGGATTACTGATTTATCCGTGAAAATTATATTTGATAATTTCACAGTGAAAATTAACAAAATATAATTTCACTTTTTTCAATGACAAAACTACTTTTTTAAGATTTTCCCCATGTGGTACCTCAATTTTATTTTTACTGACAATTCTGACAATATCAGGCTGTTGAAAAAAAATAGCAAAGCTGAAATAGATAAATAACTTAAATGTCAAAAGTAATAAAGAGATAAAACTTACTTCTATTTCTTCAAATTCCAATCACAAAATTTCGTCTCTAATTTTTTTTGTTTCGTTTTTACTGTCTGAAAAATACATTCCTTCCCCATGCTAAACTGCTCTTGATTACATTTGGGCATATTAAAGTATCCTACGAGCAATAACTGCCGTATGCTTTATGAAAAATTGAAAAGCATTGACAGCCATCACTCGTAAAATAAGTTAAACAACCCAAGCGTTCCTTACAATGCCTTAGCAAGCTTCCAAGTTTTCCATTTTCCTAGCTCCTTTTCTGAATATTTTCACTTCTGTCAACACTTATTTTTTGTCTGTTACAATCCTCAAATAAGTTTTCTTTCTTTTAAAAAGGTGTATGACTAACAAATCCAAATTATATCCTCCTGAATCTTACACAATTATTTTCCTCCCATGAAATACACAACTTTAAAAAAATGGCTGCCGCTTACATTTTACAAAGCCAGGTCTAATATAAATTCGCAGTAAGTAACAGAAATATGGATGGATGGTTGGACTTTTTCTCCTACAAGAATTGTTTGTTTTTATTATTAAAACAAGCGATCATTCATATTTTTTTAATAAAATGAATAAATATCACCGTCATTTAACCTTGATTGGCGGACTTATTTCTCAGCTCAAGACTTCTTGTTTTTAATGAGAAATTCCCTCTGAATGGGGCTCTCAATGGGGGAAACAGATTTTAATATTAACGTTAAAATTATGGAAATTTCGTTTTAACTTGTTTTAAAGCATAAAATAAAAAGAAAATTTGTCTGTTTTTTGTGTAAGATGTAATTTTATTTCATCTCGTGAACTTTAAAAACAGTATTCTCACGAGTGGCGTAGCCCACTCGATGAAATAAAATTTCATCTTGCACACAAACAAATAAATATCCTCTATATATCAGTGAATTAAAACTGGTAATTTCACTGTTTTAAACAGTGAAATTATCAATTTGATAATTTCACTGTTTTGAATTTAAGCCCCTTACGTTGTTTCAGTGAAATACCAGCGTGCACAATACTGGGAACCAACTTAATGACGTGACGTCGTAAATGACGTCACGTTGTATTATTATTTGGCGCGCTTTTCATTCAGTATTAAGTTTAATGTCTTTTAAAAACGTTTCTTTGTATATAATAAAAAGAAAATTAGTTTAGTTTAGTGTAAGATCGAAATATATTTCACCTTGTGAACACCAGAAGTTCATATTTCACTCGTGGCTGCGCCACTCGTGAAATATACCTTTTGGTGCTCACTCGGTGAAATATATTCCGATCTCACACTGAACTAAACAAATATCCTCTATTTATATCACTGATATATTTCTATAAACCACCGAAAAGCATGTAATAAATTAGATTACCTACTACATGTATTTCGTTTATCTGATTGCATAATTATTGGTGTCAAAGTTGCAAACAGAAATGCTACATAAGAATAGTATTGTTGTTCCTCGCCAGTGATTGAATAATATCATCTTGACCCTTAACTGACGCTTTTCGTAAAATTGATTTGCTGCTAGATGTTGGACAACTGGTACATTAGCCATGCATATTTCTTACAGGTTTGTATTTTTCATTTCAGATTTTTTCCAAGGTCCGGCTACTTTATCAATGATCGTATGCATGAACTTTGTCATGTGACATGTTTATCTTTTGTGCGTGTATGTATTAATATGGGTAAAAATAATTTGATACTTTTTAACCAGGTTCAAAGTCTTCAGTTATGTTTGGAGAACTGACTGTGTAATTAAACTATATCAGACCTAAGTCTCTTATTTCAACTGATTAAAGTTGAAACCTTTTACTACTTCTTTGATAGAGTCATGTACCTGTAGCAACACTGAAAATGTAGTTGTTTTGAACAGATTTTTCTAAGTTATTTTATTTGCTGTACATGACAATTTATTTACTCATGTTACTCCATGTTTCTAAAATGTCATGATCGGTTCGTTAGTTTAGTCCTATGCCACTTATATTCATATTTGCGTTTCAATGTCTGACATGATATAAGTCTTCATTCTGCAACAAGTAAAATATTTTGGATTTTAAAGGGGGTGCATTCTTGCCGTTTTTAAAAGCGCTGTCAAAGTATAGGTGGATTAAATTGATTTTTATGCAGTATATATTGCTCCTTTGTTGATACGTGTTCAGTTCTTTATGCCTTAGATGCATTAGGCATAAAATCACATATGGTCCACTGGTCTAATTAGTTGTGTAAAAATCTTAATTTTCCACAAAGAAAATAACAAATAAATTCCGCTTGTAAATTGTATATAGCTAATAATTGTGCACTTGTATACATTTGTATTCCACAACATTATAAACAGTATTTATAGAGATAATATATATATTAGTACAGAACCTTTTCAACCCCCAACACCTGTTACAATTTACAAAATAAACTATAAGCTTTATGAATTGTGCAATCGCTAGCATTGTTTTTGTCATTCAAGTCAAACGTCGCTTTAGGAAATATTTTGTATGAATTAGTAAAGTGTCGAAATTAAAAACTTCTATTCTGAAAACAATGATAGATATCAGAATATTATATACCTTTGTCACTTATTGGTCAATAAGAAGAAGAATGTTTTAAAAATAAACATTTAATTTTAAGAAATGTTAACAAACCTGCTTTCTATTTCTGGGACCACGGCATTCTGGACAAATTAGATCTTCGGGTTTGAATTGGTCTTCTTCACTGCCGCATTCTGTTCGCATTGTGCCACCGAAATATGCCTTAAATAATTGAAGTATTACTTGTTTTACACATTTCAATTATCATAGATTTAGGATAGAATAGTTCGTTGCATTAAGGTACTGCATATGAAGAATCATTAGTAAAACCTTTATATACATTGTACTTATTTCGTTTTTATAGATTTGTTCTGCACGGACTTTGGCATGCAGTACATGTTGTTTCTGGACATACTAGTATTGAGATGCCTCCTCAATCTCCAGTAAGGTAGCATTCTGTATGTGTGGTTTAATTTGTCCGTGGCTGCGTTCTGCGAGCGTCGCTTTCTCTTGTCGATGTTTGCTCCTATATTTTATTAAATGTGCGACCAATAAGATAGAGTTTGGATTGGTAGAATGTCAAGGCTCTACACTGATAGCATTTAAAAGTCATTATTTTAACTATCTCTGTAAGGATATATCCAGTCTTTTTTTTCAGTTAAAAGAATATCATTTATGTTTAAATTTTCAAAAAAATGATTGCGGTAAATAAATGTCTTTGAAATAGTTGGCATGTTATTTTACTTCCATGTAAAAAGTCAATTTTGAGTCAAAACTGTTAAGTTTATTTCTACAAAATAATGTGGCAAAATATACCTTTTTACACTTAAAACAGAGGTAGTAAATGTATCTATCCATTGCAAACCGTTCGGGATCACCATAATACTTGCTACTTCTATTTGTAATTTCTTTACACTTTTCCAGACCATCATACTGTAACCTCAACATTGCTTTATGCTTGACGTCATCGTACAGTGCTTTTATTGGAACCAATAATCTATCTAACTCTTGATGCTCGATAGATTCCTGAAAATAGAGAATATATCAAACATCAGTTAATCATAAATTTGACTAAAAAAATATAAAAAAAATCATGATAATGCCAAATTTAAAGAAACAACTATTCTTGCAAAACATGCCTATCTTTGTACATAATTTCATGTAATGCTTACTATGTGATAGACATCATAGTATCAAGTCAAACCTTATAATACAGGATTAACACAAAATACAAATCTTATTAACAGTTCTTATTTAAAACAAATACTGGTATCACAAATAAGATAAAACATGAGTTTGAGTAGTGTATGACCTAGGAAGTATATGGTCAATATGGCCCCTTGGATCTAATTCTAACACAAACCTGATAATTTCATTCTTACCCGAGTTTATTTGCCAAGCTGTTTTAACTATAATAAAAATGACATACATAATGCATTCAAATGCAATTATTCTATGATTCACGAATATGAAATATTCTTAATATTTAAATAATTTATCTAGAAACCAAGCTTCGCCTTAACTATGTAAAATGACTTAAAACTTAAAAGATTTTATTGTTATACCTTACAAATAGGACATCTCGTAAAGCTGAAAGTGATTTTCGAGCCAACCCATCTATTCTGTACAATTCTTTTCACACAATGTAAGTGAAATAAATGTCCGCATTTTAGCTTAAAAAAAAGAATACAAAATCTCGTATAGCCAGTAACAGAAATATTATAGATCGGATTAGTACTTCGTAAATATGCCATGCATAATATATATTTCCATACATAGTTTTAACGATGCGTCGTAAAGTACATATAAGGACTGCTGGATAAGCACGTTTATTATCTTGTAATCATAGTTACCATGATAATCGGCGCCGCGGCAAGAGGATCTGTGTAGCAAATAATACAGTCATCTTCCGAGGTCTGGTGCCCGTCACTACTAACACAGTCTACCTGTAAACATGGCGGGCAAACAACCTCTTTCTTGTAACCTCCGCAAATATGGCCACAATCTAAAACCTTTTTACAAGAATTTCGGTTTGTTTCACGCACACAAGTAGACAAAAAATCTGGAAAAAAAGAAAATAGATAATGCTTCAAACATTCCGTTGGCGTTCGGATAAACAAATACAATATAATTCTATCAATTATGTCTTGATTTGTGAAATGTGTCGTTTTGATGCGAAAAAAATAAACACTAAGGCATACGGCCTTCGTGGTCAATTCAAAATTCGTGGTCGAATCAAAAGTGAAAACCGGTGTTAAATAGCCGATAAACACCTCTCATATCGATCCTAAAGTTGTGCCAATTCTTACCTCTTGGTGCTTGTTTCCTTTGTAATAAAGACTGTCTCAAATTCTGGTGATGTTTTTTCGCAACAACTCCTGGTTCTGTACTGAATTCCTGCTCGAACACCTAGAGAATTCAAATACTATTTCATTTCAATTGGAAACCATATAATTATGAAATCGGACATGATTTTATTTGATATAATACTGCAATTCTTATTCTGAAAGGGTCCAAATTAATTTTAAACGCCTGAATAAACCAATTGACAAATGATATTTTACCTGTTTGATATGTTGCCAGTCTTTTCCTTTTGGCCATACCACAATAAGTGAACGCATTAAGGTTGAAGAGGGCGTTTCCCTTTCAAATGATGCTATGCAATCATGCATTGTGCGTGCAACGTTGTCGTGATTATAATTGAGGAATCCACAACCTAACGTGGGAAATGCTATTGACGTCATTTTATCCGCGTGTGCACGCTGTAGGCACGCGCAAACAGTCACACATAATATCTGTATTGAGAAAAATATACTCTGATACATGTTTCAGTTGTTAAAATCATTCATAGTCTAACTTAGTGGTTTAAAACAGTTTTGTATTTACCTTATAGAACCTTGGAGTGATACTATCTAACTCCATTTATGAACTCAGATTCTTTACTTTTGACTTCGGTTATATAGAAAAAAACTAAATATTGCTGTTATCCGTGAATAATGCAAGTGTATATTATGTTAAGAAAACGAAGTATTACGTAAATCATCATTATTTGCATTATTATCTGATGGTATAATGTATATAAATACCTCTGAAGCATTAAATGATTCGGAGTCCCAAGGTGGCAACGCTACATGGTAAACCACCTTGCAGTTTAACTTGTAACCCTTAGTTACTGCAATATCCCCGAAACAAATTCCATTAGGATATGTTTTGGAAACTTCCACCTGAATGTCAGGACCTGCTTTTTTAGCTAATGATTTCGATGCACCACCATGATCTAACATCAAAGCCAGGTTACAACTGTTCACTATAACATCCACCTGTTACAACAATACAATACCTAAATGTATATAAATACATGTTTCAGGTTACAACTGTTCACTATAACATCCACCTGTTACAACAATACAATACCTAAATGTATATAAATACATGTATAAATTTGGTATGCTATAATACTTTACATGGCAATTCAAAACAAGTTAAGGTTGACAAATAAATAATTTGGATGTTAGGTTCCCTGATATAAGATTTTTTTCTTTGTTTCTGAATTTACTCCTACATAGAACACAAAAACTGAAAAAGGCGGGGAATCTTTTCGTCAAGATCAAACTTAAGACAAAATTTGCATGTTTAGATTATATAATCAGGAGTCATGAAGATGCTTTCAATACCTCATTCCTTGACAGTGTAGACGAATATGCCAAGCTTAGGACAAGAGCACCTCTGTGGATTTACTGCAAAATCATAGCTACTATATATAATCGACGGTCCCCGATCTCTAAAGACCGCCGGAGACCGTTGATTACGCATTTTTGTTAAACATAATTAATATGACCTAAAAAGACTAAATGACAAAGTATTCAAGACGATAGATATTTTAGTAATTCAGATTTTATGCTTATTCCGATGTAATTTAGGTATATTTCTCTACAGGTCAACAGTCTCCGAGGGTCTTTGGGGACGGTCGACTCTGCGGAGACCGCCGATTAGTAGGTCGTATAAATGTCAAAGGATCAAGCAGTTTAAATGAATCTACAAGACCAACTTTGTAAAGGTCAGCAACTTGAATATCTATGCTTATTATCTTAGATAACTGTATCTGTTTCACACATTACCGAATAAAACCTCAGTATTCGCACCACGAGATAATCAAATATAAATCATTATTGCATTAAATCTTATCAAATTAGCCTCGTTTTCATCTCCAGAGCCCGAAAGGCCTTATCAAATCCATACCACACCCTTATAGCCATGTTTTCATTTCCAGAGTCCGAAAGGTTCATATCAAATCCATATCACTCCCCATCTTAAGGTGATTCGGCTTTGTCAGCCATGAATTTTGGCCTACTTTCACTTTGGAAAGACTTGGTGAAAACAAACATGGCTGACAAAGCGGAATCACCTTAAGCCTCGTTTTCTTTTTTGAGAGTCCAAAATCCATATCAAATCCTTATTGTCATTGAAGAAAAAAGTTCTGTAAAACAATTAAAAATGGTCTGAAATAAAGAGGTCGTTAAACATGGTTGAAAACAATATTGATTCCATTGGACTCGTTAACAGCTGCAAAACCTATATCAGACTAGGCTAGCGCCTCTTCCAATATAATTTTGTCAACGAATGGAATTCAGTATGTATAATAACCTCATAATAAAGGCTCTCTCTGGTCATCGATATAGTCCTTTATTTACGGATTTTTCTTTAGATAATACAAGTAAAATATTAGCCGATAAGCATTTCAAAGGGATTGAAAAAGTACATTATACAGCAACCATTCCTACTTACAATAAGTGAAAGCTTTGCATGGATTAAATTGTGAAATTTTCTGGGAAAATGTAGAAACATGTCTTTTAAAATTTGCGCCTTAAAATGCACCAGTAGCCATCATACAATAGGCAGATTCAATTTTTTCCTGGGGACGTTCCACTGAACCCCACTCTTAATAAAAAATATGCACTACAATATGAAAATGTTAAATAAAGGCATGTTTTATGTATATGACTTGAGTTCTTATATTTATCTTTAAATTTCACAATGAAAAGGATATTTTAAGAGTACCAAACGTTACCAAATGTTTAGCTTTATGTTAAACGTGACAATAGTTATTTGAGAAGAAAAACAAACGTTTTATTTCATTTTGCCAAAACAAAAAAAAAGCAGTCGTAACTTCATTTCAACACAATAGGGTATTGCGTGTCATAAGTGTTTACATGATATCATATTTATTTACGACTACAATTCGTATTGTTCAAATATATACATGAACAATACATGTACATTCAAACAATACATTCAAGTACTCTGTTATTAAATATATGTTATCATCACGATCTTATCTTCATGCTAGTATATCTAATATTGTTTATGACAATTTAACAATGCTTTCTTTAAAATTCAATCACATGTGAAATTATTTATACCTTTGTGCATTTGTAATTTTGTGAGAAAATACAATTATATCATATACATGTATATATCTAGTACATATAATGAACGTGCACGTGTAAACTTATCTTAGACTCTAATTTCTATCTTATGTTTTACAATTTTTAAAACTAAATTCTTCTATTATACAAATTAGAACCACAATGTCGTAAAGTTCACCAACAGGTCTGGACAAGAAAGACGAGTTCTTAATTTGATCTGATTTAATATAATTATATCAAATAATATATGTATGTGTAAAATGCACAATAGACAGCTGGTCTTTTGATGCTTTAAATAAACGCCTACTCAAATTGTACTACTAAATTCAATTTGTTAAAACTCTAAAACATTTTTATGGATTTGTATTGTATTTATTTAACATTTACAGGCAATGTTTTGATATAGATAACATAAATTATCAATAAATGTATAATAAAAGAAATTACCTTAGTCTCAGCTATTGTTCCTTGTTTTATTTCGATCTTCATTTTCAAGTCGAAAATGATCAGTCAGTTCAGATTTATTAAAAATATTGATTAATGTGTCCAATTACGCAGAATATCTCAATAATACATGATTTTCCTATTGACTCTTGTATTTATTTGTTAATATACGTAAATATTTTAAAGCTGAGTAATCCATTTACTTTGTATTATCTATCATTAGATATATAATTATTATCAAAATCATCGCTTGCTTTTATATTTGTTTATCATGTAACTACTTAACATGGTTAGATAATAGGTCATGTTTTATACACGTGACCAGGAAGTAGAAGTGCGGGTAGAAAAATAACATGTATTTAACGACACTGTAAGTAAGTAAGTACTCCAATATCCAACCTGCAGAAATGGTCTTCCAGATCTAATTCACAATCAAAACTGACAAAAAAAACTGTTTTGGCTTAATCAGAGGTTTTTTTGGACGGGTTTTTTATACAAATTTCCTAGAGTTGGGGTACTTATGTGTATACCTATATTTTAGGAAATTTCGAATACACTCCTTTATATTAGCAATATCTGTTTACGTGTCATTCTTAACAAAAGACTGATAATCAATATAACATACGATCATTCCTCGTATACACCTTATAAAGTTTCTAAACATCCACACACTTGGTGTTTGAATTATCATTATTATTATGAGATTTACTATAAGTATAAAACAGAAAGACACCAACTTGTTTAATACAATTAAAATTAAACGCTTTTTCATTGAAAACATTCATAGAAAGTGTTATCATTAAAACAGTTTTTATCATTTCTAACAATCTAATTGGATTTAAAATTCTTTGCCAGATCAATCATATTGCGGAATAGGGGTTGAGCACCAATCAAAGCAGTCATGTCGAAGTATGGGCACCAGATATAACTGTCGTATTTGGATATTGGCACAAATGATTCCTATCGTATTGATGTACACAGCAATCATACCTGTCGTGTCGGGTGGACCAGTTATACTTGTCGTATTAGGGTACTTGTACCAACCATACCTAGGATACCTTTTGTATTTGGGGACTAATAACAAATAATGAGTCGTATCTTGGACTTGTTCCAAATCATATCTGCGGTATCCGAGCTCTTTTAGTCATCTTGTCATTTTTCAGCACAAGTATTAAATTTTACCTGTCGTACTGGGGTACTACATCAAAATATCATATAAGAGTACTTGTACCAAATCATAACTGTCGTATTTAGGTACTTTACCAACTCATATTGGGGTAGTAGTTTCAAATCATACCTTTCGTATTGGTGCACTAATACTGAATTATACCTGATGTAATGGAGTACTAGCACCAATCATATCGTCGTATTACAGTGCCAGCAACGATCATACTATATCTAAATGTTCATGCTTTATAGTAATACAATATCAAAGTCGGATTGCACACGATATACCTTTATGAAATGTGATTTTGTGAAGATGTCTTTTTACATTGAGTGAGAGTTTTTTTCATGTGTAAAATATCATAGTAGACAGTTTGAAGGCATCTTTAATGTCAGCCGTGTTCTTTCTGTCAGTAGTTTATCTATGTTTTCAAAAAGTATAAGCGCTGGTTTGAACGTTTTTTAATTTGGATCTTTGTCAACAATTTTCCGCTTTCTTGAAGATTTAATAAAATGAGAAAAAGAGGACATTTATTTGTTTTCATGGAATAAAGTGAAAAAAAAAACTGAAACTGTTCTATTTAATTAAACGCCTATTTCTATATACATATTCAATGGCGTTGTACAAAGGGATAATAAAAGTATGTACATATAGATAAAAAAAAACAACACATATGCATGGCAAATGAACTACAAAAAAATATGTTAAAGAAATCAGCCGTGTAAAATATAAAGTATTAAAAACTTTAAAAAAAGAAAAAATATTTAAAAAATAACAATAAAAAATAATTTAAAAGAAAATAAAAATTAATGGTTATTTCAGTAAAATTTCAAACACATTTCCACATCTCTATCAGTTTACAGCCCAATCACAATCTTAAAACAATGCGTAAAAATCTCTAAAATAGTAGGTTTTGACATTTTTCTTGAACATGTCCAAAGTCGAAGACTGTCTTATATACAGAGGCAATTTATTCCAGAGAGTTGGACCAACGGTACTAAAACTTCTGTCGTTAAATGTTTTCCTTTTGTTAAAGGGGACAGCAAAACAATAATCCATATTATCAACAGATCTGAGATTTGGTCTTTTTATGACAGGCTTGTGTAACAGTTCTGTTAGATAAACCGGAGCATTGCCCATAAAACAGTTATACATTGTACATAGTATTTTAAAATTGATCCTAGCTTTAATTGGTAACCAATGCAGTTCCAACAAAGAGTCTTTGGAACTATCATATTTTCCGCGTTGCAAAACAAGTTTAGCGCACATATTCTGGATACGCTGTAATTTCTGTAACTCACTTTCTGAAATGCAAACAATATAGCGTTGCAATAATCCAAATGTGAGATTACAAGCGACAATACTAGGATTTTTGTGGCGTCCTGAGTCAGATATTTGCGAATGCTCTTTATTCTCAAATAATTTAACAAAGCAGTTCTACACTTGGTCTTAACATGTGTTGAGAATCTTAGGCCCTCGTCTAAGTAGGCACCTAAGTATCTTATGACACTGACATTTTGAATTTTATCACCGGCGATATCAATTTCTTTAATTGAACATTTACCAAGTTGGGCTTTACTACCAAACATAATGAATTCTGTCTAAGTGGTGTTCATTTTGAGTTTATTGGCATTCATCCAGTCATTGATGATTACAGCACTGTCTTCAAGTTGCTTTATAGCGTTAAGTTCATTGGTCACTGAAGTTGGTCGAAAGCGTTGACTAGCAATGTGGTCATCAGCAAAGCCGTACACAGATATGGATGGTGGTATCACATCAAAAAGGGTTCCCGCATATGTAAGATAGAGCCACGGACCAAGACAGCTCCCCTGAGGTACACTGCATTCCAGCAATCGTGGAGTCGATTCAGTAGAATTAACACTGACGCGACAAGTACGAGGTCGTAGGTACGAGTCCACCCAAGCTAACACGGTACCATTGACACCGTACTGACTGTGTAAACACTTCGAGTAGAATGTTGTGGTCAACGGTGTCGAAAGCTGCACTTAGATCTATTGCAATTAGAGCTGTGACCTCTTGCTTCTCCATACCGTCTAGAAGATCATTGACAAGTCTGAGTAAAGCAGTCTCACATGAATGATGACGCCTGTATGCTGATTGATTTTTGGGTAACAAATTATGGGTATCGACATGGTTATTTAGTCTGAAGAGCGCAGCCTTTTCTATCAATTTTGAAAGAAACGATAAGTTACTGACAGGCCTGTAGTTTGACAATTATAATTCTAAACCAGACTTCTTAAGAAGGGGTCTAACAATCGCCTGTTTCCAGTGTGTTGGAAATACGCCTTTAGACAGAGATAGATTGACCAGTTTGGTAATGGTTGGCAGAAGCTCATCTAGATGTGACTTTAATATATGTGTGGGTATTAAGTCCAGCTCACACGATTTGGTATTTAGTTCACAAATAAGGCTCTTCACCTGTGTTTCTGTAAGATCCTCGAAATTTTCTAAAGGTTGAATTTGTTTGACATTTGGAATGAAGCTTGGAAAATCCTGAAGTGATTTACGAATTTTAGCTATTTTGTTCATAAAAAAGTCTGCAAACTTCTCAGCTAGCTCACCGTCATTTGTAGACTGTGGCATAGGATTTTCAGCTTTAGTACCAGTTAATTCCGAAATTAAACCATAGAGTTTTTTTGAATCACCTTTGGCATTTAGAATTTTCTCACTTATTACTAGTTTTTTCTCAGAATCAATTTCTTTACAGTATCTATTCCGTGCTTCTTTAAATTGCTTGAACTTTTCTGGCTCTTTGTACTTTCTCCAAATTCTCTCTTTTTTCCGGACAATACGCTTAGATTCCAATATTGACTCATTGAACCAAAGTGAAATGAGTAAAAAGCAGCATTTTAAAGTGTGAATATATTTTCATTTCAATGTGAGCTATGTTTCCTATTCCCATTCATTAAAACAAAACATATCCGGACATATTTCCCTCTAAAATGGTTCCTGGAGTGCAAACTAAAATAGTAATGATTATTTTTTAATAATTTGAATAATCGTCTACCTTCAGTTCTTTAAAGTACTTTGATTATTAAATTGCTTTATTACATTTCTTATGTTGTTGTTCATGAGATAAAAATCTGCTGTTTTTTTATTGAGGCACAGGAAACAGAAGCACGTTGATGACAACAGACGTTCAAAGGCTGAGAATTATGATGTAACGTTGCAATGACACAAGTTTATTTTTTAATCGAGATAAACGCCACAAACATCAGAACAATATATAACTTATTTCAAAGTAAATTTATTCAATAAAAAATAAAATGCATGACAACAATAACTGGCAAAGCTGTATCAGTGTATATGTATACTGATTAAACTCAGTATTTCACTGATTAAAACAAAATATATATTTTTTTGTTGTTGTTTTTGTTTTTTTATTCTTTTTTTAAAATGTTTCTTTATAGGGCACGTTCGGTTATTGTCCAAACCGGAAAATATGTTTGGAATGAACAGCGCGTTGACATTTAAAAGCCGAAACATTATTTGGAAAATATAGTCTGCTTTATGTTTTAATACTTATCTCTTTAATACAAATAAATGATACTTAAGGTACTTTATACATGTACTGCTAATGGTATCACAGTGAACACATTGCTGTCTTATTTATGAAATGATTTAACATACATTTTTAGCCCACTGGTTCATGTGGTTACATAAACAAGATTCTCAGAAAATGTCAGATGAAATAAAGGTCACTTGAATAAATTTGTCCTGGTTGAATAATTGTAGTCTTATTCAGCAAGAAAAGTTTACAGTAAACAAATACAAGCATGTCCATCTATCATACGTACAAAGTCACAATTTAGAAGGATTGTAAGTTAGAGCAGAGGCCACAACCTAAACAAAATTCGGATCCGTTTGGCGCATGTTCAATCCCCAGTGGACAGTCCCCTGTGAGTTGTTTTCCGTTTGGACCAGCAGGACATTTTGGCAAGTTGTTACCCATCCCTGTCATTCTGCCATGGTTATTGTGGCATTCGTTACAAAAATGAGTGGTACCAAAACAGTGGAACAGGGCAACCGTGCAGCAATACCGGCATTTATACTCTGTAAAGTCTGTACCATGGATATTACAGTTCTGCAATAAACAATTATACCGCTGTATTCTACATATGAATAGTGAGACATGACACGCTGATACAGATTCAAAATATAACAGAACTCGATTTAATTCCACTCATATATGTTATTTTGCTAGATTAGATAGATAAATAATCGATCGCTCCAATTTAGATTTTAACGACCCTATTGATTAGGTCAAGGTAACGTTTAGAATGGAAGCATGAGTTTTTTCGGCTCTGCATAAATCTTTAAAAATATTATTCTTTTGGATTTTTATCAAACTGTTTTTGGACTTAAGTGCTTGTGAATATATTTCTTAATGTCAGAGAGAACTAAAATAACGGAAACACCAAACATTAATATAGGAAAGAAGAAAAAGAATATTGAACATAATATTCCATGAATCATCTTATGTTTGCTGTAAAATCCATGTTTTGATCTCCAAACATTATATATATTACAATTTATACTTTTTATAAGCATAGTACTATGTTTTATGCAAATAAACTTTTCGTATTCGTATCATTACAACTGATGCTTCGTTCAGAAATGAAAGGAATACCAGCACTCCCTGTAATCCACTACATGCGGAACAAATCATCTCTTCCGGTTTTAGATTCACGTCATCTGCTCCATCTTCACATTGCGCCGCGCCTCCAAAAAAGGACTTGAATGAAAGAAAGGTTCATCAACAAATTATTAAAAATTATTAAGAGTAATTAATAGGAATTCAGTTATGATAATACCAATGAGATCAACTTTTTTGATATAAAGAATATATGTTTGTTGAGCAATGTTCTGTTGTTGCTAATTTAACGTGCACTGTTAATATATAGCCTATTAAACTTATTATAATTGAATTAATAACTTACTCTCTTGCATTTAAAACAGGAATAGTAGCAGTATCTATCCATGGCAAACTGTTCCGGATTATTGTAGTACGGGCTAGCACTGTTGATAATCTGGTCTGATTTCTCAAGGCCTTCATACTGTAATCTTGTCAAGGCTTTACGTTTAACTTCCTCGTAAAGTTCGTGAATTGGATTTAAAAGTGACTGGAGTTCTGGGTGATCCATGGGTTGCTGTATTATAGAAAAAAAACATTGACCGATACATATTTACACACAAAATCCGCAAGATTGTATTTCATCTATATACAAGAAAAGCATTGATGCAAAGCATCAAAGGGCATCCATGCAAGAAATGCAGCAAGTGAAGATGAACTAGTAGACATCTGATGACCAGATAGATATTCTTATAAACTTTTCTATGGTTAATTGGTTTTTACCAGAATTGTATAATATTTATGAATGGGCGGACGAAAGACATTGTTAATCATGAACTTTGGTAGGCATGCTAGAGATTAGAATATTATTTATTTCCACAGGAACTTGAAATTCTATCAATATCAACGATAATATCCAAAAAATACTGGTCTTTATTACATGCTTTTCGGTGGTTTATAGAAATATATCAGTGATATAAAACTGGTAATTTCACTGTTTGAAACAGTGAAATTACCACTTTGATAATTTCACTGTTTTGAATTTAAGCCCCTTACGTTGTTTCGGTGAAATACCAGCGTGCACAGTACTGGGTACCAACTTAATGACGTGACGTCGTAAATGACGTCACGTTCTATTATTATTTGGCGCGCTTTTCATTCAGTATTAGGTATAATGTCTTTTTAAAACGTTTCAATGCATATAATAAAAAGAAAATTTGTTTAGTTTAGTGTAAGATCGAAATATATTTCACCTTGTGAACACCAAAAGTTCATATTTCACTCGTGGCTGCGCCACTCGTGAAATATACCTTTTGCTGCTCACTCGGTGAAATATATTTCGATCTTACACTGAACTAAACAAATATCCTCTATATAATATCCAAAGTGCAATTAGTTGTTTGAAAATGTTTCATTTTTTAAATTTCATTTCCTGCAATATTCTCCAGTTCGTTATTTATAACCATAGCTACACGAATGACCGTTTCGTTAAACTAAAACTACTTCTATAAATAGATGTCCGGACTTTCACAATGTTGAGGTCATCATTCTATTTATAGGTACAGCAATACACAATAACCCACTATGTGTACTACAAAATGATTAATAAAAACACCGAATAACGCGATTAATTGACGGATAAGATAATTTCATTTGAATATGTTTGCATTGCGAAATTCCGCAGTTCGCTATTCATTGTTCGCGACATTTCATTTTTGATAATCAAACACCCTCATACCAATCGGAATGATCGGCTATTATGACCGACGAAATGGCCCGCCCTTTCACAAAATCTGATTTCATTCCATAAGGGGCGTCGCGCTTCAACGCGGACGCCAATAATAGATTAGATGTGATAACAATATAATATTAAATGTTTTGTTTGCTTATACTCTTAATTTGACACGCAAATACATTAACATAGAAAATGGTATTAATATCCACTTTATGAAGAGATCATTATGTTATGAACATTACATACCTTACACATTGGACAGAGAATAAAATTGAAAGTTATCCTCGGTCCTACCCATTTGTTCTCGAGAATTCTCTTTACACAGTGAAGGTGATATTTGTGCCCACAATTTAACTGAAATAAAGAATATTGTAAATATTTATTCAAAATTGTAAAACATTGATACTTTTGAAGAAAATATCTTATGATTTGGAGACAGCAAGTGAATATTGTAGACTGTGGCACATTATAGAACGTCAAACTCGGCAAAATTAAAAATGCGAGCCTATTCAAGGAACTATACAATATAGAATTTTAGAGAGGATCAGATGTTATTAAGCCTGAATAAAATTACAAATCAGGCAAGTATCCAAAGATTGATTATACAGTATTCAAGGACGAATAATGGAACCACCCAAAAACAAAAATGAAAGTACTAGAAAATACCAAAAACACAACAAAATCTTATGTTGAACGATCTGCAAGGATGAAAATATCTGTGATAAAATGTACGGGGAGACTTTTAAAGTCGCAAGACGTGCAATATGCCACTCACATCGCTGATGCTACAATAAAAATCATTAAATTGGAAACCTAAAGGACGCCCAATACAGCTTAATTGAAAATGTTAAAACTTTATACATTTGTATAACCTATTAGTGAAGAAATGTGGCTTACTAAGATACACGGTGCAGTCCTGAGTGGGTCCGTGTAGCAGACGGCACAATTGTCATCCCCTGTCTGGCCATGACCTTTGTGTATACAGTCCTTGTCCATACAGGGTGGACACTGGGGTTCATCCCGATACCCTGCACATTGGTGACCACAAAACAGCACTTTCACGCACGAGTTATTTTTCATTTCACGTATACACGTTTGTGAAACATCTAAAAAGAAAACAAATAATCAACTTAGAATACAATAGTTTGGGTAACCTCTTTATAAATACGTAGGCATGGAGTGTAGGAATATATTATGATGTTTGTAAAGTTAAAGTATTTTTTTCTTTTAAACGTTTTTGTCCCAAATGTCTCAGAATGTTACACTATGTTATACTGTCCTCTCATTTCTATAAAGTTTTTATGAGTTAACATATATAAAAGACTTTTAATTGAATGGTAAATAAATATTACCTGTAGGTAGACTGTAAGGTTTGTTCAATGGAGGTTTGGCGTTCATACTTGTTACAGATCTGTCCTTATTTTCGAACACTAGATGAAATGCCTGTAATAATTACTGTATTACTAATATTTTACTTAACGTTTAACTGTACTTATACTGTATAGTCAGTTTATCTCCATCGTATAACATTCAAACTGTATTCTAGGCTTATCTCCATTTTCAAAAAAAAAAATATTTATAGTAGTACATGGACTTTCCTTGAAAGAGGCTGAGTCATTAATTGTTATAAAAAAATATAAAGTGAATTAATAATAGCAAATATAAATGTCACTACTGCCAAATTAAACTTGAAAACTTTGAAAGACTTCCGTGTTAGACATATATACGTAAAAAATATCTTGTTTAAATTACTTACTTGATATTGCGCAATCTTATTCATTTTTATCATTTATGGTTTATCCCATTTGTTTCACATAATTCTATTTTTATAATTTTGGTTTTTCCCAGTTAAATGTTTTAAGGCCGTCTTTCAGCTAACATCTTCTATATGATTTCGAATTATATCAACGAGTTAACAGCGTTTCCGATAACTTACTTTTGTAATATGTTCCTAGTCTCTGGCTTTGGTGAACACGACAACAAACACTTGTTTTAATGTTGTAACTGGGAATGCTTCTTGAAATTGTGCAATATATTGTTTCATGATGTTTGCAACGATATCGGGAGGATGGCTCAGAAATCCACAACCCAGTGTCGGAAATGCTATAGACGTCATAATGTCCTCATGTGCCTTTCTAAGACATCCAGTCGTCACTTCACTCAATATCTGTGCATACCAAAGCAAACAATTTTAAATCTTTAATGTGATTATTGTATCTATTTAAAGTAATTAACTTCCTAATTACAAATCATAACATTGGTTTCAATATCATGTACGTTACTACATAATGTGCTACTATCATGATTATGCCATCAATTTGAATGACATGTAAATATTTACCCATTGGGCATCCGCGAACTCGGAATCCCAGGCGCATACTGACACGTGATAAACTTTCTGGCAGTGCAGACCATATCCATTGGTTGACACAACTTCACAAAATAATATTCCGTTAGGATATGCTTGGGAACATTCTTTCTGCAAGTCAGGACCGGCCTTCCTGGATAAAGATTGTGACAACCCTCCAAGATCCAACATCAGAGCCGGGTTTGTACTGTTAACTATCACATCAGCCTAACCATGAACAGGAAATAAAGAAGGAATTATAAAGTATTATTAAGATTTATCTTGATGTGTTTCATAAAGGAATTAGTTTGTTTATTTAACTGCAGTAATAGTTGTATGTAGGGCCCTATTACTGTTTTCTTTTGCTGACCTTCGGGTTTGGAGTTTAAATAAGTACACAAATACTGTTCATGTTAATCAGTTTAACAATATGCATTATGGCTTGTATCGAAATAAAATTATCAGTATATTTACGCCGCTATTCTCATTTGATACGAGTATCACACAAACTTATCGTAATGTAATATTGATTTTGGAAAATTGTAAATTGATGACATGACATATTTTACTATTTACAAATCTCTCATCAATAGAAAATGCTGAATCGTCAAATTTACTAGTATATCATGAATTCTGTTGTATTTTCGATTTGTTTTGTAGGTTTTTATAGATTTATTTTTAATTTACATGATATTCGTTCAGTTTAAACTGATAAAATCTAATTTGAGACTTCTATTTATATACATGTAAACCGTAACACATACAAGTTTCGTTTATATATAAGAGTACTTTTATCAACAGCTGCGTAAAATAAGCTGTTAATGTTGGTAAATAATTTATAATCAGAATGTATAACTGAACATATAAATACCTGAAAATCTGATAATATCCCTTCTACAATGTTGACATCCATTTCTAAATAATAAAACGAAACTACACTTTATCAACATGAAGAAAATATTGATTTAAACCTATATGAGACTGAATTGCGCAATACAGTGAAATACACAAAAGAACAATGAACAGTAATTGAGTAGTTCGTATCAAATATGTTTGTAACAATTTTACCTTTTCGTAGTAATTAAATGCATTCAGTGCATTTAGCATGCTGTTATGATACAATCAATACTTGTTGAGAAATGTGAATATTTAGAAATTTCTTATTAGTTCTTTAAAGCTATGTGGTTCAGTAAATTTAGTTTTAAATCATTCGAGATGGTGCAGATGTTGTGATTATTGATAAAATATCAGTATGAGTCCATCTGATTTTTTCAAGCTCAGTTTGACCAATATTAGCACCTGGTTAACACCTAAAGTTTGAATTTAGAAACATACGCAGGCGTAATAATGGAACGTACAATTTGACATTTTCAAAACTTATTAACATATAATTTTGAAAAGGCATCCTGCATATCTAAAACAAGCCGTTAAAAAACAAATTTATAAAGCAGGCAACATATCCTATAAGGATAATCATAACGTATTCAAGTATGAAAATTGAACGATAAATATAACAACATCCCTGCTAAATATTCGATATTTTACGTCATTCGTACGGCAAAAATAATGCTTATGTGGCGACACAATAGAGTAAAAAAGAATCCCTTAAGAAGTAAAAAGCTGCAAATTAAAAAATGTTGCCATAGGCTCGGTTTGATTGAACCTGTTAATGGTATAAGATATTGACCACGCCTCCTAGCACCGGCTTAAGCAGAATTCATCATTAAAATTTGAAATAGTGAAAGTTTGTTTTTGAATTTGTGTCCATGCGGTGGTTTTCATTGAGCAATCTATGTGTGATATTCGTGGCATTTCATGGGCAAGTCTGTCATTCAATTACCTGATCATCTCTTCACGACTAGTGGATTTTTCGTCTATGTGGTGTAATCAGGAAAATACATTAGATTTCATTTCAAAGAAGTTAATTTGGTAACTCATCCCACAATGCCTCATATAGCCTACAGGCCGTGTGGGCCTCACACAGTCTTCACAATCTTTCCACGCAAGTGAAAAAGTAAAATTTATAATACTCCAAATCGCAACTCCCACACTCCAGAACATATCGCAAGACCCCCTTCAAGCCCTTTTTTGTTGTTCTATGGTGATTGCTGTACATTCACATACATTACTTAAAACAGTTACAGTATATAACTTACGTCCTCGATCATTTTTTGTAGAGAAAGACCCTCGATGACGCCCAAGGTAACGATATTTCCACATGCTATACTAAAACTATTATGACATGTTAACTTAAATCTCTCCTGTATTATATTAAATACTGAGCACGTTCCTAATCGATGCACACGGCATTCATAGACCTGTCTTAGGTAGGATTTCTTTTTTCAAGATTATGTTATGCAAAATTAAGCCGTTACAGACATGGACAGCAGTTGAAATAATATTAAACCTGAGTGTGTGCAAGTTTAGCGCAAATACTTTTTTGTAACACGGACACAGATCGGATGTGTCGAACCCGCGACCCCATCCTAATCGAGTACTGGCCTTTTAAAACAAAATAAATTGAATTTCAAAGAATCTCAAAACGAACACTATTAATAGCTACTAACCATTTAAAAACAAAATAAAACTTAGTTAAGCTAGTTTGAAAAAAGAATCGTACTATTAGACATACTTCAAATACACAATAGCTTGTGAAAGGTTTTGATAGGTACCAAATTCTAGACCTGAAAGGTTCAAACCATTCTGGGATGCAACGTGTTTTCACGGAAACAGATTTTATATGTTCAAACGTATTAAAAAGGGGGATGTGATATAATAGGGACAAATTTAATTTTGCTTTTGAAAACATTTTTTTCCAAGTTCTGTATCATATTATTTTTTTAATTATGATTACATCCATTGCATATTTAATAAAACGTATTCATGTTTTCTATTTATAACATGTGTTTGTCGGTCTATAGTGTAAGCAATAATGTAGCATGTAGCAGTGTGATCTAATGTGATAGCTTTAAAAGCCCGCGAAAACTGAATCAAGATTAGGTGGAATAATTATAATTACCGTCCGGCAATTTCTTTGGATGAAAATGTACGTTATGTTCTAAAACTGATTTAGATATTGAACGGTGTTAATTAACAAAATTGTAAATAATAAGGTGATTTCATATTGGTTTTGTATGGTATTGGGCATTCGTATGGACTGTCGAGCTTGCGGCATTAATAACTACTCAAATAGGAAAAATACTTTGCACTAAAAACACATTTATCAAATATAACTTGTGAAATCATACATTTACAAATAACAAAAATAATAAACATATTTGACTGTACAATAAATGATAATACTTTGATTTTAATGCCATAAGCATATATTTACAAACAACAAAAATAATAAACATATTTGAACTGTACAATATACACAACACTTTGATTTTAATGCTATAATAATTTTCAAAATTGCTTTATTGTACTAAACATTTAAAGTTCCTTTATCAATTGACAGGGGAAATTGATTGTGTCATGTTGCTTTTTTATATATGTTCCTATATTATTGATCTTCACCTTCATTAATCACACAACCGAGCCACTTTTCAGACTCCAAAAGGATATTGCCCTGCCGTGCATAATTAGGATTTATCTCAATACAGGATTGGAGCAGTACCTCTAATCATTATCATAAAATAGACAAAAATCGTTTTTTCGCCGATTTTTAAATTTTCATTCATTACCATGCATAAATCGGTGTAAAAGATGAATGGTATCACAGTGAACACATTGCTGTCTTATTTATGAAATGATTTTAACATATATTTATAGCGCACTGGTTACATAAACAGGATTCTCAGAAAATGTCAGATGAAATAAAGGTCACTTTAATACATTTGTCGTAATTGAATAATTGTAGTTTTCTTCAGCAAGAAAAGTTAACAGTATACAAATACATTCCCATCTATCATACGCACAGAGTCACAATTTAGAAGGATTGTAAGTTAGAGCAGAGGCCACAACCTAAACAAAATTCGGATCCGTTTGGCGCATGTTCAATCCCCAGTGGACAGTCCCCTGTGAGTTGTTTTCCGTTTGGACCAGCAGGACATTTTGGCAAGTTGTCACCCATTTGTGCCACTCCATGAGGGTTATTGTGACATTCGTTACAAAAATGAGTCGTACCAAAACAGTGGAACAGGGCAACCGTGCAGCAATACCGGCATTTATACTCTATAAAGTCTGTACCATGGATATTACAGTTCTGCAATAAAAATACTGTTGTATTTTATAGATGAATAATGAGTCAAGTCGCGCTGATACCGATTTAAAATATAACAGAACTCGTTTTAATTCCACCCATACGTAATTTTGCTAGAATAGATAGATACAATGTAGATGATAGATGGCTCTAATTTACTTACTTACACACGTAAGACTCTATTCATAACAAGTGATGCTTTGTTCAAGTACAGATATAAAAGCAATACCTGCACTCCCTGTAGTCCACTACATGCGAGACAAATCATCTCCTCCGGTTTTAGATTCACGTCATCCGCACCATCTTCACATTGCGCCGCGCCTCCAAAAAAGGACTTAAATGAAAGAAAGGTTCATCAACAAATGATTAAGAATAATTAACAGGAATTGAGTTTATTTTTTCAGATTTGACTTGTATGATATCAATGCGATCAACTTTTTTAATATAAGAATATAAGTTTTGTTAAGCAATGCTCTGTTACTGCTTATTTAACGCGCATTGTTAATATAGCCGGTTAAACTAATTAAATTAAAAAAAATAACTTACTCTCTTGCATTTAAAACAGGAATAGTAGCAGTATCTATCCATGGCAAACTGTTCCGGATTATTGTAGTACGGGCTAGCACTGTTGATAATCTGGTCTGATTTCTCCAGGCCTTCATACTGTAATCTTGTCAAGGCTTTTCGTTTAACTTCCTCGTAAAGTTCGTGAATTGGATTTAAAAGTGACTGGAGCTCTGGGTGTTCCATGGGTTGCTGCAATACAGGAAAAATTATTGACCTATACATATATTTACTGACAACATGACAAGCACAAAACATTACATTTCAACAAATATAATAATTTGCATGTGGTAACTATTATAATGAATGTTCCGTTTGCCTAAATTCTTAATTTGACACTCGAAGACATTAATATAGAAAATGGTGTGATTGTGTTTCAAATTTGAATTTTCACAAGATGAAGAAATCATTATGTTATAAACATTACATAGCCTACCTTACACATTGGACAGAGAATAAAATTGAAAGTTATCCTCGGTCCTACCCATTTATTCTCGAGAATTCTCTTTACACAGTGAAGGTGATATTTGTGCCCACAATTCAACTGAAATAAAGGATCTCTAATTGTAAGTATTTATTTAAAATTGTAAAACATTGATACTTTTTAAGAGAATATCGTATTATTTGAGACATCAGGAGAATATTGTAGACTGTGGCACATTATAGAACGTCAAACTCGGCAAAACTAAAAATGCGAGCCTGTTCAAGGACAGTAGTGGTAAATGAATACTGTCCGTGTCCCAAGCATCAGCTCAGTTGAACATAAACATGATGTTTAAACATTCACATATGTGCTTTTATGAAAGTGATCATGGAACCTTTAATGTTACATGTTCATGTCATTCCACGAAAAGCGGCGTATGGTTCCCAAGTAATAATGTTAATGCCTTAAATGGCGCAAATATACAAAATAGAATTTTTAGAGGATCAGAGGTTATTAAGCCTGTATATCTCGACAGCTTTCACAAGATAAAATTAAAAAGCAGGCAAGTATCCAAAAATTGATTATACAGTATTCAAGTACGGATAATGGAACCACCAAAAAAAATGAAAGTACATGTACTAAAAAATACCAAAAACACAAAAAATGTCGATCTGATAAAATATATGTGATCAAATGTACGAGGAGACTTTTACAGTCGCAACACACCACTAACATAATAAAATAATTAAATTGGAAACATCAAGGACGTCCAACACAGCTTAATTGATAATGTAAGACATTTTTGTTCGATTTAAACATACATTTGTATAATCTTTTAGAGAAGAAATGTGGCTTACTAAGATACAAGGTGCAGCCCTGAGTGGGTCCGTGTAGCAGACGGCACAATTATCATCCCCTGTCTGACCATGACCTTTGTGTATACAGTCCTTTTCCATACAGGGCGGACACTGGGGCTCATCCCGATACCCTGCACATTGGTGACCACAAAACAGCACTTTCACGCACGAGTTATTTTTCATTTCACGAATACAAGTTTGTGAAACATCTAAAAAGAAAACAAATACTCAACTAAAAATACAATAGTTTGTTGCATACTTAGGCATGAAGTGTAGAAATAAATTATGATGTTTGTAAAGTTAAAAGTACGTTGTTTTTTTTTTTCTTTAAAACGTTTTTGTCACAAATGTCTCAAAATAATACACAATTAATGTTGTATTGTTCTCATATTTCCGATATATTTTGTATATATTTAAAAGACTTTTTATTGAATGGTAAATAATTAATCTATAACCTGAAGGAATACTGTAAGGTTTGTTCAATGGAGGTTTGGCGTTCATTGTAGTTACAGCTCTATCCTTATTTACGAACACGAGATGAAATGCCTGTAATAATTAGTGTTAACTAATATTTTATTTAACGAATAACTGCATTTGAATAGATAGTTTATCTCCATTTTCAAAAAAATCTATCTATAGTAGTACATTAACTTTCCTTGAAAGAGGCTGAGTCATTTATTGTTATAAATAAAAATAAAGTGAATTAATAAAAGCAAATATAAAATGTCACTACCGCCAAATTAAAATTGAAAACTTGAAAGACTTCCGTGTTAAAGGGGAGACATATATACGTAAAATAATATCTTGTTTAATGTACTTACTTGATATTGCACAATCTAATTCTCGTTTATCGGGTATCCCATTTGTTTCACATAATTCTATTTTTATAATTTTGGTTTTTGTTTAAAGTGATCCCAGTTAAATACTATCTATATGATTTCGAATTATATTTACGAGTTAACAGCGTTTCCGATAACTTACTTTTGTAACATGTTCCCAGTCTCTTGCTTTGGTGAACACGACAAAAAACACTTGTTTTAATGTTGTATCTGGAAATGTTTCTTCAAATTGTGCAATACATCGTTTCATGATGTTTGCCACGATATCGGGAGGATGGCTCAGAAATCCACAACCCAGTGTCGGAAATGCTATAGACGTCATTCTGTCCTCATGTGCCTTTCTAAGACATCCAGTCGTCACTTCATTTAATATCTGTGAATACCAAATCAAACAATTTTAAATCTTTAATGTGATTATTGTATTTATTTAAAGTAATTTACTTCCTTATTACAAGTCATAACATTGGTTTCAATTTCATGCACGGTACTACATAATGTGCTATTATCATGATTTTGCTATCTATTTGAATGACATGTAAATATTTACCGATTGGGCATCAGCAAACTCAGAATCCCACGCGCATACTGACACGTGGTAAACTCTCTGGCAGTGCAGACCATATCCATTGGTTGACACAACTTCACCAAATGATATTCCGTTAGGATATGATTGGGAACATTCTTTCTGCAAGTCAGGACCGGCCTTCCTGGATAAAGACTGTGACAACCCTCCAAGATCCAACATAAGAGCCGGGTTGGTACTGTTAACTATCACATCAGCCTAACAATAAACAGGCAATAAAGAAGGAATTTAGTTTTTTGACGACATAAAATGTGTTCATTACAGTCGTCATATATCACACGTTCGATACTACCATCATATTTGAGTGATTGCAATAAAGAAATTAAGGTATTTCTCTTCCTTTTATTTTCATTCTTTTTTCTTCTTTTTTAAAATGTATTAAAAGATTAAAGAGATTTGTCTTGATGTGTTTTATAAAAGGTATTACGTCATTTATTCAACTGCAGTATTGGTAGTCGTTAGGCCTATAGAGGCCTGGGTACTGTTCATGTTTAGCAGTTTAAAGGAACTCCGCTGAGGTTTATAAGGCTAAAAATTTATTCTGAAAAAACTGAGCGAGCTAATGATCTGAAATTTTGCACATAATTTATTGGTATAGATCTACATCAAATGGAGTATTAATCTCAAAATATTATTTCCAGTCCCGTCATTTCAAAAAACCTCAGTGGAGTCCCTTTAACAATGTGCCTGAGATACAAGTATATTTACGTCGCTATCCTGGTCATTTGATACGAGTAGGACACAAACTTATCGTAATGTAATATTGATTTTGGAAAATTGTAAATTGATGACATGACATATTTTACTATTTACAAATCTATCAATAGAAAATGCTGAATCGTCTAATTTACCTATTTTCTGGTATATTATAAATTCTGTTCTATTTTCGATTTGTTTTGTGGGTTTTTGTAGATTTATTTTTAATTTACATGATGTTTAAACTTGAGGCTTCTATTTATACACATGTAAACCGTAACACATACAATTAAGTTTCTTTCATATGTAAGACAGCTGCGTAAAATAAACTGTTTATGTTGGTTAATAATTTATAATTAGAATGTATAGCTGAAAATATAAATACCTGAAAATCTGATAATATCCCTTCTACAATGTTGACCTCCATGATTGTGAAACTATACTTTATCAACATGAAGAAGATAGGATTTACACTGTGACTGAATTGCGCAATACAGTGCAATACACAAAATAACGATGTTGATTTTAAACTGTACTGTAATTGGGTAAATCGTATCAAATATATCTGTTACAATCTTAAAGCAAAATATCAGTTAGCATATTATAATATTGTGCTATCGATTGTGCCGACTTCAAAACATTACATAGAACATAGATGAATCGATACTTAATTGTAGGTAAATGCAAATATCTAAAAAGTATTTGCTCCTTTTCAGTCTATCTTGCGGGTGTGAGCATGAATTCTTGGATGAAATATCACGATAAGTAAGTTAATTTTTGTAGGGAATTGTTTCAGATGTCAAAATAGAGAATAACGGGATTCCAAAATAACGTCCAAAATGGCAAAACTGAAAATGTTTCAGACTCGGATATGCGTATGAATGAAACTCAAGTAAATCTTTACTCATGTTGTCTTATTGGGTTGCATACTATTGTGGTTGTGGTTCTCCAAGAAATTGTTGCTTTGTTGTTTTGTTGCATATTAATGTATATATAATATTCCTTTGTTGTCGTCGGCTTTGGTTTTTCAGAACAAAATATGGAGATGTGATACTAGGACATTTAAAACTGTTAAACCGCACATTTTCCGCGTAATAGTCATTATAAAACTATAAAAAGAATTGGGCATAAATGAATATAACTTGAAAGAAATACCAAAGGATTTTAAAAATACCTTGCAAATTATAGTTTGTTTATTTGAATAACTTTACCTTTAAAGCTTTTCACATCATTCAATGTAAGATACTTATTTTCATACAAAATGTATGGGATATATTTTTCCAGCTTGAATTGAAACTAGCCTATCAGACTGGACAAGGAACTGGATCAAACGTATAGCTTCATTACTAAGTTAATTGAACTCGCTGAATAAAATAATATGATTGCCAGTGCCTCTAATAATATTATTATATTATTCAACTCTATCAAAATAGTAAATATTCACCCTACACTCATTTAATACCCTGTATAAGAATTATACAACTTCTAAAAACGTTTCACCTTATTCATGAAAAGCTGGCATAACCATTTAGTCAACACACTTAATTTCTGATATAGCGGACTTATCTAGCCTTTGGTATGTAATCATTATCGTTAATCGTATCCAAGACGTGCATCACAATATTATCATCCTTTATGGAGCAATGGACAATGATTGTTAACATCCGTGTTCAACAAAGCTTTAATACGAGATGAGAATTCAGAAGGAATGCAGGTTTGAGCAGAGACTAAACAACCTAAACAGAAGAATATCTCTTTTTTTTTTTAATAATTGAATTTCAAGATCAATCACACTTGACGTATAGGGGAACCAATCATGACTTTCGTTTCGGGGATTTAGTATCACCAATCATATGCACGAGTACAAATCGTTACTGTTGACACTATTCATGACAGTTATATTCAATCACGATCGTCGTATCGTAGCTCAGGTACAAATCGTACAGTCGGACTTGGGCATCGATCATATCTGTCGTATCAGAATTCGGGCAACAATCATGACATGACTGTCGTCTCTTGGGTATTAACACAAGTTATGACTGCTGAATTAAGCCACAGGTACAAATCATAACGGTCGTATCGTTACCAATCTTCAGTAATGTTTATTCACGGTTACCAATAATTACAGTCGTTTCGGGACTCGTGCATCAAACATGTGTGTCGAATTCAGGTATGTACTGCCGTATTAGTACGGACTCGAGCACCAATCTTCACATTCGTATTGGTACACGGACACAAATCATGACTGTCGTATCAGGGCTCGAACACCAAGGACGGGCATAAATATGACTGTCGTGTAAATGCACGGCCACCAATCATGATAGTTCTACAGTAAAAAGGTACCGATCGTGCCTGGCATATCAAGATACGGACACCAATCATGACTGTCGTATTTGGGTGCAGAAACCAGCCGATGACTATCGTATAGGAGGATGGATACCAACATTCGTATAGGAGGATGGACACCAACATGGCTGTCGTATTTGTGCACGTATTTAGTGACTTATGCACCAATCATGACAAACGTTTTGGGGTTTCGGAACTGATCATGACTGTCGTATCGGGATACGGGCACTATAATCATGACAGTCGTATTTGGATTCGAGCGCCGATCTTAACTGTCGTATTTAGGTACGTCCGTCCATAATGTATGTGGTATCGGGGTATGTGCACCAATAAAGACTGTTGTTTAGGAAACCGACCATGCATGTCATTTCGGGGCTGAGGCACTTATCATTACAGTCGATTCTGGGTAATGGCATCAATTACGACAGACGTGTATTGCGAAAAACATCGATTGCAACTTCTGTACTTTTGTACCGACACCAATTAAGACGGTCGTATAGGGGCTAGGGTACCGATCATGACAGTCGTATTGAGGTTGGACAGTCTTATCGGAGTGTGGGCACCGAACATTAAAGTCTTGTGGGAGTGCGAGGACCGACCACGACAGCCTTTTGGCCCTCAGGATGCTTCTGAAATTCTCAAAAACCGTGCTAGCTCAATTTTTTTCACAAATCTGAAGAACTGCTAACATATACCATTAAATCATGATTTTGTGGAGTTCAAATACAAAATGTACAAGTCTTTGCATATCTTAAATATCTTAGCAGACTGTTTAAACAGTTATAAAAGGACTATATAAATATAAGCAGTAGCTTTCAACCATTTTAGAAACTTTTTAAATTGTTTTACTCAGGGGGGGGGGAGGCATTCAAACCCAGTTGTAAAAAATTTTCCAAACTTTGGCAGGACAAACACTTTACAAAATTTTAATTTGGCTCTTTGGACCTCAAAAATAACTATAAAATACAAAGCTTATATATTTTAATACTGACCTTTCAAAAATATTATAACACTCTTTAAACAATCTTTTGTCAAAGAAACATTTTGTATGCGTTAATAATGATATGTGTTAAAGTATATACACATTACACAGTTATCATATTGCTTTGTTAGCTACGAAATGCTTCAAAGCTTACCCTAAGCACACTAGTAATATAATAAAATTCTCAGGAATACTTTAGTAATTCGATGCAGTGGTTGGCAAGAGTAGCTTGAATAAATATATCATTGAATATTAATGGGTTCTTCTTCTGATGATATAGATAAGGTAGTGTAAAGTAGTGTAATCTTGTAGAGCATTGGAGGATTGCAGCACACAAATAAAAACACAAGTTTAGAAAGACTGCAGGTTCGAGCAGAGGCCACAACCTAAACAAAACTCTGTCCCATTTGGTGCGTGTTCAATCCCCAGTGGACAGTCCTCTGTGAGTTGTTTACCGCATGGACCAGCAGGACATTTTGGCAAGTTGTCACCCATCCCTGCCACTCTGATGTTGTCATTGTGACATTCGTTACAAAAATGAGTGTTACCAAAACAGTAGAACACGGCAACCGTGCAGCAATACCGGCATTTATACTCTATAAAGTCTGTACCATGGATATTACAGTTCTGAAAGATATATAATTCTGCTGTACAATAAGCATAAAATATAATAGATGAACAAGTCAAATAAGCCCGAAATAGATTGAAAAATATAATATAAATCACGTTTTGTTCTAAATTAACTCAGCAAGAGTCCTTTTTGTCAAATTATGAACAGTATTGAAAAGATAAATGAATTTAATTTTCTAAATGACCACTTAAAATAAATTATTTGCAAAAATTGAAATTGTTATAGAGTTTGTGAAACAATCGAATACCTGTACTCCCTGTACTCCACTACATGCGGAACAAATCAACTCCTCTGGTTTTAGATTCACGTCGCCCGCTCCATCTTCACATTGCGCCGCTCCTCCAAAGAAGGGCTAAATTGAAAAACGTTTCATCAACTAGTATCAAAATTTGCAATTCAAATGAGTTGGAAATTTTCCTAAAATTTAACTGTAATCAATAACTATTTATCTATTTTCATATAAGTTTGAATGAACTGTTTTGTTATACGTTGTTCTGCTATTGCCGATTTGACGTGCATTGTTTATGGTATTGTTAAACTTATTAGAATTAAATTATTAACTTACTCTATTGCATTTAAAACAAGTATAGTAGCAGTATCTATCCATAGCAAACTGTGCCGGATTATTGTAGTACGGGCTAGCACTGTTTGTAATCTGGTCTGATTTTTCCAGACCTTCATACTGTAATCTTGTCAAGGCTTTTCGTTTTACTTCCTCGTTAAGTTCGTGAATTGGATTTAAAAGTGACTGGAGCTCTGGGTGATCCATGGGTTGCTGCATCATAGAAAAAAAAACATTGACCTATACATATATTTACTGAAAACATTATAAACAAAATCTGCAAGATTATATTTCATCTATACATAATAGATTAGATGTGATAACTATAATATTAAATGTTTTGTTTGCTTTAACTCTTAAATTACACGCGAATACATTAACATAGAAAATGGTATTAATATCCACTTTATGAAGAGTTCATTATGTTATAAACATTACATACCTTACACATTGGACAGAGAATAAAATTGAAAGTTATCCTCGGTCCTACCCATTTATTCTCGAGAATTCTCTTTACACAGTGAAGGTGATATTTGTGCCCACAATTTAACTAAAATAAAGGATAATTTTTATATTATTGTAAATATTTATGCATAATTGCGAAATAATATTTGTCGTTTAAAACGACTTTAACAAAATATTATTTGGAAGACATCAAGAGAACATTGTAGGCAGTGGCACATTATAGAACGTCCAACTTGGCAAATGTGAAAATGCGAGTCTGTTCATAGACATTAGTGGTAAATGCACGATGTTTTAGGTCTCCCTAACACCAGCTTCAGTGTAACTCAAAGGATGTTGTTTGAACATCCACAGATGTGCTCTTATGGAAGTGATCATGGGTCAATCAATGTGACATTTTCATGTCATTCAATAACAAAGCGGTGTATGGTCCCACAAGTAAAAATGTAAATGCCCAAAACGAGAAAACAACGGGCAACTTAATTAGAGCAGCGGAAACTTAATTAGAGCAGCGACACACCACAATCATCGCTGTTTTATTAATATAATAAATAAGTTGGAAAACACAACCGAATTAAAAATGTCGTTAGGACATGTTATGGTCACTTTAAATATACATTTGTATAACCTATTAGTGAAGAAATGTGGCTTACTAAGATACACGGTGCAGCCCTGAGTGGGTCCGTGTAGCAGACGGCACAATTGTCATCCCCTGTCTGGCCATGACCTTTGTGTATACAGTCCTTGTCCATACAGGGTGGACACTGGGGTTCGTCACGATAACCTGCACATTGGTGACCACAAAACAGCACCTTCACGCATGAGTTATTTTTCATTTCACGAATACATGTTTGTGAAAAATCTGTGAACAAAAAACAATTTGTTGGAATCTGATTATATACTTCAGCTTTAAGTTTATGTATGTACTATGTACGGTTTGTTTTTGTTTTTGGGGTTGTTTTTTGTTGCTGTTTTTCGGGGGGGGGGGTTGTTTTTTGTTGTTGTTTTTTTTTTTTTTTTTTTTTTGGGGGGGGGGGCTAAGTTAGGAACTAATGTTTAAAGATTTTATACATGATTTTATACATGAGAACTATTCAATAAATAAATGATACATTTTCTATTTTAATATGTATACACATGTAACATACTTTTTATTTCAATAAATCACTTAACAGGCAAATAACTATTATATTACCTGAAGTAAGACTGTAAGGTTTATTTAATGAAGGTCTGGCGTCCATTGTAGTTACAGCTCTATCCTCTTTATTTTCGAACACTAGATGAAATGCCTGAAAGAATTATTTAATTAACTAATAATTTCTTTAACTTATATCTGCATTTATCCTGTATTGATTCCCATTTTCGGATATTTATTTATTTCTAGGTGTATCTTAACTTTAGGAAGCGGCTGAGTCATATATTGTTGTAAATATACAATGTACAATGAATTGATAATAAGTTACACGTACAATGTCACTACTGGTCAATTAAGCTTGATTGACTCGGCTACTTACTTAAGTTTGCCCAATCTGATTTCAGTTGTAAGCATTTCGTTTTTTGTTTGCTTTTTTCCCCTTTTTTTTATTTCTGTTTGTCTCAATTGCTAAACATATTTCTTAAGCTTGTAGGCCATCATTTTGATTTAAAATGATGCCAACTAAGGCCGCCTTTTAAGCTGACATTATTATGTTGACTTTATATTTTATTCACATGTAAAATGCGTTACCGATAACTTACCTGTAAAACATGTTCCCAGCCTCTGGGTTTGGTGAACACGACAACAAACACTTGTTTTAATGTTGTAACTGGGAATGATTCTTCAAACTGCTCTATACATTGTTTCATGATGTTTGCAACGATATCGGGAGGATGGCTCAGAAATCCACAACCCAGTGTCGGAAATGCTATAGACGTCATTCCGTCCTCATGTGCCTTTCTAAGACATCCAGTCGTCACTTCATTCAATATCTGTGCATACCAAAGCAAATAATTTTAAATCTTTAATGTGATCATTGTATTTATTTAAAGTAATTTTCTTCCTTATTACAAATCATAACATTGGTTTCAATTTCATGCACGGTACTACATAATGTGCTACTATCATGATTTTGCTATCTATTTAAATGGCAAGTAAATATTTACCCATTGGGCATCAGCAAACTCAGAATCCCACGCGCATACTGACACGTGATAAACTTTCTGGCAGTGCAGACCATATCCATTGGTTGACACAACTTCACCAAATGATATTCCGTTAGGATATGATTGGGAACATTCTTTCTGCAAGTCAGGACCGGCCTTCCTGGATAAAGATTGTGACAACCCTCCAAGATCCAACATCAGAGCCGGGTTGGTACTGTTTACTATCACATCAGCCTAATAATAAACAGGAAATAAAGAAGGAATACATTCTAGAACAAGGCTAGGGGAACTTGTTATTGTGTTGTCATATATTTCTAGTTAATATACATTTATACTAGTATAGCATTACAATTAATGATCAATAAAAGAGAAAAGCTTGTATCTTCTAAATTTAAAAAGTAGTTTAGAGATTTATTGGACATGTGGCTGCTATTGCGTGTTTAAGTTGCAGTTTTTGCCTATCTAGACACGTTTCATAAATCACTTAATCAAAAACAAAATATTTATACATAACAATGTTGTTTTTTTTTAAGTGTTAATAAACTTGGTATGTTCTATTATATTTGTATATTTACGACGGTATATGTAACGTTTTATATCACACAAACTTATCTAGGTGTGCATGTACTATACAGTACATTTTGTAGGCCAATACCAATTTCGGAAAATGATATACAAATGTACATGTATATTTTATACGAAACAAACATAGATGTTATAATGTACAATGTTACTCGCTGTTTTTTTATTTGATTATCCTCCTCTTATTCTGATAATACTTATTAATTTAAGTTATTATAACAATAAATACCTGAAAATCGGATAATATCCCTTCTACAATGTTGACCTCCATGTTTGAATGCTAAAACGAAACTAGAAACTATAGTTCATTCGAGTATAGATTTATATACTGTTGTACAATTGCGCAATGTCTTGAGATACGCGTGAAAAGGAAGATTACGATTTCATGTTGTGTTTTTTATGATATACATGTATATTTGTATTAAAATTACAATTCAGAGTAGATTAGTATTGAAGAAATATAATACTGTATTGTCATTTTCGATTACCGACTGTGTAAAGGTGGCTGTATCAAATAATGCACGATTTATAACGTAGATATATATGTACGAAATGTTAATACAAATGTATCCCTTTTGTGGATGGTTTGGAATTGGGGTGACTTGGATCACTTCAAGTCCAGTTCTTTCCGTCAAACTTCGGATAAGAAGAACGGATACAGTATTTCGGAAAGATAAAAAAATGATATTATTGTTTTATTCAACGAGTTCAATAAATTTAGCTTTGAATTTACACGAAAATAGGAACGGATTTATTCAGTATTGAGCCCAAACTCAATCAATATCCTCTATTTTTTGCTCTCTCCGCCGCTATTTATGTGATTATTATTGTTGCAGAAACCGAAAGTACAAAGTCTACCGGTTGACATTAATTTAGATTTGTTCGTCAGTGGGCATTTTTAAAATGATTTTGGTTATCAGCCATATTTTCAATAATAACTTTCCGAGATAGACTTCATTTTCCTTCAGATGTCAAAAAATATACACTTGTTACACGTTATCAAAGATTACACTGTCTGTTTTTGTTTACATATAAACCACGTGGTAACACTACTTACAATTAATATTAAAGCAGCACGCCTCCAGATTTGTGATGATTTTCATGAAAATCTTAAATCGTTTTACTTTTCTTAAAATCTCAGTAAGTTTTGTCAAGTACGATATTCTTTCAATATTTTGGGTCATCTGGAGGAATGCAGCTTTAAGTCCGCGGTTATTATCAATAATAACCGAGATTGTTACAAGTCATGTTTGCTTTGTTTGGGTTTTTTGCAGGGAGGTGTGCATATGTCAAGTGCCTGTACACTGCCCTGTGTCTGCCGTTCAGCCACCTTATCAAATGTTTACAAGTAATGGATTTTTCGAGTAGAGAAATTCCTAGTTCAGTTGTTCTACATAAATAAATCAACTGTTTTCATATTACTCATTTACTGCAGTTTATCAAATATAATACATAATGTAAACACAAGTATAGGTTTTCTTGTACAATTTTATTAAAACAGTTACTTAAATATATAACTCATACAGTTACATATTTCCTTATTTGTAACAATGAATAACTGTAGCTCATTTCATTTTACTATAATAAAAAAATGCCTGACTATTTCAAATTTCATTTAAATTTTCTTTTTTACCTCATGATTACTTACAAAACAACACCAATCAAATAAAGTTTTACCTTTTATTAACCTTAGTATTTATTCTAGAAGGAATATATATTTCATCTTTAATACTGCACTTAAATTATACTGTAAGAACTCAATAACATCCAAGACTTTCTATTACCAAGCAATAATAAATACCCAATGTTTAAAGGAACCCCACTGAGGTCCTAAACCCTAAAGACATAAAATTTCAATTTCTTCCAGAAATCAATATGGGCATTAAACACAGGTAGATATGCAAAAGAAAATTAAGAAATATGCAAACACAAATATGATAACATATTTTTGTGCTATTTTTAGCTTGATTTGAGATCTGAGTGAAAAACGTTGCAATGCTTTTCAATATTTGATCATTTTTCACAATTAGAATAAATACTCTGGAATAACAGAGTGAGCGAATGATCAGAAATTTTGCAAACAAGTCGTTGGTTTAGACCTACATCGTGCTAAAAACAAACCTCGAAAAATTAGTCCATAGTTTGTCATGCCAAAAAACCTCAGTCAAGTCCCTTTAACCCTTGTATTATTCACATGTTACTATAAACAGATTTTGAATACTTAAATACAGAAGGGCAAACCTTAAATAACATCTTAGTAGTCAAAAATCATTTCTATTATGCCAATCACTAATTGACAGCATTATAAGCCCCCACCCATATGTGACTACAGTTACTGCCCCTGTTGTACAAATTTTAACTTAAAGTTCCCTCCCCTGATTTGACAACAGGATTAATATATGATTTTCAACAAATGCTTACATATCTGTTACATTTAACCAGACCCCTCTTTGGTATAGGTAAACTGCCGCTTGTGTGAGAGAATAAATTTAGCACTTTCTATTTCAAGCCACATAAGAATCTAGTGTTTGTGTAACCAATACATTCTTTGATGTTAAACAAGCCTGAAGGGCTTACAATACAAATTTAAAAATAAAAATTTGTTATAAATATATCTAAAACATTGTAAATATAATATGTTTTAATGAAATTCATAGTCGCAGAGGAAATTCAGTGAAAAAAAATAGATTTACTGTTTCAATACTGTTTGTGTACACTTGTACATAATTGTGAAATAAAAAGAGTTATATCCCCTTTGAATCATTTAATGCACTAATTTATGTATTTTGATCTTCCAGGCGCGTAGCTGCCTATACGCGAGGACGCAGCTGAATCCACATTATTTTGACCAAAAAAAAATTTTTTAGTAAAAAAAATGTGGTTTGAAATTCAGCCGCGTTCGCCAGATCTGATTATTACCACACTGAATACTTTATAAATCATATAGCCTAAATCGTACACCACACCGTAGTATTTTTTTGAAAAGCTGTCGGCCTTTGCAGCTCTTCAAAGTCGGAAGTTTGCACGCGCCGTATTTTCGAAATGTAAATGATGAGACGCCTGAAAAACTACATGAGATCAACGATGCTCACAGAACGGATGTCTGGACTAGCGCTGTTGCACGCCTACAGACACATGGGTTTAGATATTGATATTATCATTAATGAGTTTGCGGCCAGCAAAGGCCGCAAGTTAGACTTGCTGTGAAATGTAGACTAGTTGAAATAAACGAAAGTAAAGCTATTCATCTCCATTTTTATGCTAAAATAAATGGATTTTCGTTGGTCAAGAAAGCTCTCCGGAGGCCCCAAAACGCACCAAATTGCACCATTTATTTCAAAATTTTCAGGGGGGGCATGCCCCCTGACCCCCCTAGATTATTTTGAATCCACATTCTTTATAGGCTAGCTACGCGCCTGTCTTCTATATCAATAATTTGTCATTTAACAGAAGAAAAAATTCATATTAAAATAAATGCATAGTTCTAAAGCTACAGGTGAAATATAAATAGCACAATGACTTAAAAACTTTCAAAACCTTCATTGTCATATAGCTGTAATACAGGACTGAATTTCATTTGTTTTCTTAACATGCATAAAAAATTAAATGCCATTCTTTTTTACTATCCTTAATTACTAAATGTAATGCTAAGATAATATATCTTATCATTTGTAAACTTTGTAAACACAAGATTAAGTTTTAGCTACATTTTCCTCATAACTTTGCATGTATCTCCTCGGCATTTTGGACAAAACCACTTTCCTTTTGGCTTACTGGTAAGTCCTACACAATTAAAATGGAACCATTCTATTGCACATGCATCATTGTCACAACCAATCATTTCACCATATGATACTTGTTGACATAAACAATAAAGAGGCTCATCAGGGTCAATAGGGGGATCAATAGGAGACTGTTCTTTATCTTTCTTTGTCTTCCTTTTCTTCTTTTTCTTTGGAATTTTCTCTTCCTAAAATGTAATGTTCAATCAAAATAATCAGAAGATTTATTTCTCCGCAACGAATCATTTATTTGTTTTAAACCTATTAATTAAACCAAGTTAACATAATATATTTTCTTCTATTAACAAACAAAACTTTTTTCCTTCTAATCAAAACCAAACTATGACATAAAGAATAAGCTTTTCCAATTTTAATGAACAACTAACTAGAAAAATAAGTCTATATACCTCTTCTTTTATAAGTGTGTCATGATTTTTCTGTCGTCTTTGTCTCTTGCTTGTAGTAATTATTCTTTGCTCTACAATTCGTTCCTCTTGTTTATTGACCTTGATATTGTTAACCACAGGAGGTTGTGGTGTGAACTCCTCACGCTCATGATCACGTGATGATGATGTTGAGGTAGGATCTTAAACACAAAATAATCAAAGAGTTATTCTAAAATGTAACAGTCTTGACTACAGTCGGACTGAAAAAAGATTAATTTCAACAAGAAAAACATATTAATTACACTTCATGACAAAGAACTTTGTTGTAAAGAAAATAGTCATTACTATTGCATTTTTTGTAAATTGTATCATATAATATTTACCAAATATATCATATCATTACATATACTTTCAAAGGTAATTAATCCTTTCTGTTGCAGGTATGTCACATTATTTTTTGAAGTTATAAATATTTATTCAGTGTGTATACTGAAGCTTACCAAACAAAATTCCCAGATTTTCCCTGTCTTGGTCAAGTTGTCTATGCCTATTCTCTATGAATTCATGAATCAATGTTAAAAGGTGTAATTTTTCATCTCCAATTTCCTGACACTTCACAAGTGTTCTCTGTATTGCAATAAATGCCTTTTTCTTTGCAGGTCCATTCTCTTCCTTCAAATAAACTTCTTTATGTTGTTCAGTATCCTGTAAGAGACCTAAAATTAAATAAGTAACAGGAATTAGCAAAATATAAAACTATAAATAGAAATCACGTGACAATGACGCCACGTGACTTGTTGTGTACAACGCTAATTCTATTTTTAGACCAAAATATTTCTTTCGATCTCGGCGGAAATGGCAGTAAATATGATGAAAATATGTTCAACACTCAAATGGATGCACTTAAGTTGTATCAAATGATAATATACTGAGAAAAGATCAGAAAAAAATATGTAAAACGCTTTTGAATAAAACAAAACCAATCATCAAAGAACATGCAAAACATTCTGTTACCTTCAAAATTACAAATAAAATCTTCAGAGTGACAAACAGCTATGGTCTGAATATGTAATAAAACTAATGTTAAAATGAAAACTTACTTCTGCATTGAATATCAAGTTCTCTGAGTTGAGTCACTATACGTTGCAAATCGTCTGGCAGGTTGTCCATAGTTTCAAGGTAATTTTCTAAATATGTAGCCGAGCAAAGAGCTTCCACGGCTGCTTGATTTAAAATAGACATATTTATCAATGTAATTCTATCACCTTTCAAATAAATTTTCCATTTGGTAAGTAGCAAAACGTTACGGAAATGTGTGTATTTATCAACACACGGATTGTTTTCCCTCGCCGTTAAGTTGAATACAAGCCTCGTTTCAAATTTGTGTATTGAAACGGCATATATATTGTTTACACAAATTGGAACTGCATAGGGGCCTCAATAACAAAAACTACCAAAAAGGAAGAGTCTAGATGTCCAATAATAAATTATTATCTTTCCAACAATGTTTTATTGTATGTTTTTACGCATAAGTAAAATGAATATTAAAAAAGAATGCTTAAAATAAATGTGGAAATAGATAATTATAAAAATGTGTATTTAAACAATGCTTAATTGTATTCTTATTTTATCAATATTTGAGGGGATCATTAAATTAAAAAAAAAACAAAAACAAAAAAACATCAGTGCATGGTCTTTGACTAAATCTTCTTATCAGGATTGACTAATTAAAGGGCGCTCGTTCAATAACAATACTAGCGTTAAATAATTTGTCCAGTCTTCAAATAAATCGGATAACAACAACAACAACATAAACTTTATTATGCTCAAGTCATGATAACAAGCATGTGAGCATACAGCGAATAATACAAACAAAAAAACCTTGAGAGGTGTAACGATTCTATGATGAAATATTCCAGTTCTAAATAACCCCAAGGATAATATTTTAGTCTACGCTTCATTGTTACATCAATAGAGACAACAACTGAAACACAGAAAATACTGAATATTATTAATTAATTAATTACGTACTATTGTATGAAGATGGTAAAGAAAAATAGGGTTAATAACAAAAAGAGTAATTTTGAGTGGTAAAAAGACAGATCCTATATGAAATGTGTATTTTTAGAATGTGTCATTATTTAATTACGGTCATTAATGTATGACCATCCTAACGGGCACTATAAGGAACTGAAAAATTGACAACAGATATGTACCTGAAAGGACACCTGAATGCAAAATTTAAACAAACTTAACTTTACCGTACGGAAATCGAGTTATGGCAACTTTTCTTAATTTAATCTTGGGTGTTAGGAGGGCAATTTTCCAGAAATAAGGAACCTTTTAATAATCTCCAATAATTATGATCGTTATAAAAAATGTTTTCACGTTGACTTTGGTAAGAAACAAAATGTAATATTCAGTTAACAACACACATAAGCAAAATCATTGTTCCTACTCAAAAATTATTAAATATGTATAAGATGTTACCCTACTCCACCCATTTTTAACACTTGTTTGACCAATTTCCTGCTTTGAGAGCCTAATTAAAAATAAAAAAAAATTACTAAAAGTGTTTGTTTTTTTCAAATTTCCCTAAATTTTCTCTAAAGTATATTGGCTGATCTTGTAAAATTTTGAATACCTTTACCATCTAGTTTTGACTTTATTGACTTAAAATATCAGGTACCATATTTGTTCTTAGATTCAGCATTATTTAGCCGATAAATACCTAAATTAATAAAAACACTTGTTTACTTAAAAGGGATATAAGAGATAAATAACGTTAAAAGAAAAAAGAAAAATAAGTTGACCCTTCTGGGGTTTGAACCCACGCTCTAATTTTTAATATATTTAAAAGTAGTTCTAGCCTATTTGATATACATGTACTTTTCAAACGGCGGAAATGCATAAGGATGGTCATACCATAGTTATTTAAAGCCAATTATCACTTTTCAAAATGTCTCTGATCGACATGTATTTTTCAAAATAAACTTATTATATATACGAGATAGAACAACAATAACGTGTGCATTTCAGTCCTAAAAACCTGTTTCTAATGCAGAGTTCCTCCCCTTTTTATAACAAATACCCAGTCGCTAGTAGTTTTTTTTTGTTTTTTGTTGTTGGTTTTTTTGGGGGGATGTCCTTGTTTTTTCTTCTTTCTTTCTTTTGTTCGTTAGTGGTTTTTGTGGTGTTGTTTCTTTTTCAAGTAAAAGCACGGATTTATACAAGTATAAATCGGTGGTAAAAGTATGTGCTTATATCAGTTTTTAGTAAAGTTTTAATTATAGAATCAAAGCATCCTTACCGAAAACTCCACTTTTACTTTTCAGCTTGATTGTTAATCTGACGGTAAATGTGATGTCTCATTTGACCATTTTCGTATTCTACAAACCCATCATAATTAAAAATATTTCGCCCGGGACACAAACTGATAAACTGATGATTGGTCACGTGACACTCATAACTATAGTTAAATTATGGTCAAATTTGTTAGTGCGTATTTAACAAAATTTGCGGCAAATCAAAATAGAACGTTAAAATTTACCAAGTAATAACTATTGTACAGAAACATGTCACGCTATGGGATATTGAATAATCCTACCACATGTATATTATAACCATAGTTGAAATATGCTCTTATATTAAACTCTCACATTACAATGCAGTATCATTTGGAAGACATGTAGATCAAAATTTGATGTATAGTACATTTCCTAATAGAAATGCAAGTATTTCCTTTCATTATTTGGCAATATGAATAGAATTATGTCATTTTGACATTTTCTATAGCTCATTCAACCAAGCCTCCTTCGAAATGGGACTAATGGCCGTTCAAAATGCTCTTTTTAGTCTTTTCAGCTAGTAAATTTGATTTTATTAATTTACTTTTGTAAAGTAAAATATTGGTATTTTTATGCTACTAACAGATCTTATTGCTGTTGGGCGGTCGGGTGGTTTCCAGTACTCCTCACTTGAATTCTATTAAATCTCCCTTAGGATATGTTGCCTGCATATTTATTTTGTCTTTTGACAGCTTATCTATTATATGCACGCTTCGTGACCTGATCCCCTTTCGAATTTCCTTTTTTTTAGTTTCGCACATTGTTTTCTTGTTTAGGGCAGATGCATTTCTTTACTTGGAACCATACACCGCTTGTCATGGAATTACGTGCCACATTGAAGGTTCCATGATAATCGCCATATGAACACATCTGCGGATGTTTCAAAGTTCAAATTTTTACCTTTTCATTTTAAATGCTAAAGTTGCATGCCTCCAGATGATTCGAAATAGTTCAATAAAATCAAACTAAAAAATAAAATCGAAATATGTACTGAGATTTTAGGAAAAGTAAAATGATTCAAGATTCAAGTAATATTTTACATGTTATGTGCAGTATTACAAATATATTTCTACTGCGTTACTAACGAAGTAAGGACTATTTTGCATTCTGGAGCCACTTTTTGTTTTGGTAATTTACTTGGTTTGCAAGTGCTATTGATAATGTGTTTTTTTGCTTATTTTTGGTTATTTCAATATATTATTAATTCAAATACATTTTCAAAATTTTCATGAACATAAGCAAGAATCTGGAGGCGTTCTGCTTTAGATATTGCTTAAGCCGGTGCTACGGGGCATGTACGGAAGCATGCAATTACCACTTCTATCCATGAACAGGCTCAGTCTGCAAAATATATACAGTTTTGCCATGTTGGGCTTTTTATGGATTCTGGTTTTCTCTATTTTATTCCTACATACATGTAGCAGTGCTGTGACAGAATATACATGTAAGTATATGGTACTGTCTAAAAATTCCTGGTGTGTATAGCCATACAGTAGACATATTTTGACTTTTTTAAGCGGTTAGACCATTTCGTATTCTTCATCCGAATGGTATCTTACTTTTGTGTTTGATTGAATATTTCAAATAATCGATGAAATTATTAAAGTTTGTGTTTGTGCCTTTGAAATAGTTAATTAATATAGAATCTACTTATTAAAACATGTGTCGACTTATTTAACAAACTATTGAAAAATGTTCATTCCATTTTCATATATTTAAATATTGATGAAATGAGTTAAATGTTCATAAAATGATAAGATTTCCCGATTTATTCAATACTGGCATGGTTCATATGAACATGTGACATAAAATATAAAATTGTGAACATATATAACAACCGGAATACATAAAAATATACAATAAAAAAACAGGAGAATGAGTGACAATTATATTGTACCCGTAAAATAAAATAAAGATTTGATTACATTCTTATTAATAACGGAAATTTATGCTTCATTAACAAAATTTTCTAGGAGATTAATGATACAATAAAATACTTATAAAACCTATTCAGCACTTTCTGCGAATTATTTTACTTGTTGGTAGTTTCATACCGTTTCGCATCACCAAACTTGTTATTACCGCCATATTTTGATTTACAAAGTAAGTAAAAAAAGATTTTTAAGCAGCGTGTAGTATTATGAAACGGACCTCTTTTGAAAGGTTATAATATAACACTAACATTCCATTGATTTGTCACACCTATGTCTTAAATATCGTGACTTGATCCTCATTTGTTTAATATTTTAAAATTTCATGTTCTTTTCGTACCAAATATTTTCGACTCCTTGTCTTTTAAAAGAAGGTGCGGCACATACCTGTACAGTAGGCACCCAAATGGCAACGTTTATAAATATCTCAAATTTCTAAATTGCTGAATAATTTTTCCTCGTTTTACCAACATAATTAATGAACATTTATTTTAACCCTTTACCACATATATACGCGAAACAACGCACTTTCGACCCCCCCCCCCTTTTTTAGGCCTCAAATAGTGAAAAAATGTCCTATTTGGGCCCAAACATAAGTTTTCGTTTAAGAAATGTTGCTTAAAAAATTGAGCACTTTTTCGGCGCCGCCCCCCATCCAAAAGATACATCAGGGGGTTGCCAGAAGGGGGATGTGCCCCCTTCTGTTTGAGGGGTTTGAAGGGGGCGGAGTCCCCCTCATCGCCAAGAAAATTTTGGACTTGTGAGAGGCTAAAAATGACCCCAGGTCGATCATAATGTAACGTTTAACCAACGCTGAAAAGCCTTTGACTCTATCTCAATCCCTTGAGCAGTTGCAGCACTTTGAAATAAATTTTGATGGAAAAAATCGAGGCAAAATAGTGATTTTTTGCTATTTTGAGATGTCCCCTCGTTGCCATGGTAACAGGAAATTTAAGACTGAGCATGTCGTTACAAAGGCAATGGTCCAGTCAACATTTGTGCCAAGTTTGATTAGTATTGAAGCATTTCTCATAGTTTCATAGCAGTTTGAACTTGTAACAGGAGGCTTTTCAGTGAAAACGGCCATTTTTCACAATATGCTCATGGGGGAAAGGGTTAAATTATAATGGGAAAGGCCTTGCACTGGCATAGATCTACTGCATAGCCATATATTCTAGGTAACTATAGCGAGCTCGAAGGGCCTGCGAGCTTTACAGTAACGCGAGTACCTGCTGGATATGATTGTTTTGAAAACTTTCGTCCATCCAAAGTACCAAATTGCCACATGGCAACTTTTCGAATTACAAAATAACAATATCCGAGAAGATAGAAACAGAAGTGTAGACTGGTGTCCTGCGCAATTATATGGGATCCATAATAGGACAGGGAACCAGAATAAACGGAAGCAGTGTATAAAATACCGAATGACAATTTTAAAAGGGAAAATGTAAAATAAAAAAGATCAATTATTTTATACTATTTCACGGTAAAAACTAAAATAAAATCAAGCTCGCTTTGAGGCTTTGCCTTTTTCATATTATTTATATTTATTATGTCTATAAATTTGCACTTAACATATTTGTTTTTAACAGCTATTCCCAAACAACGCGCCTGCTTAGTGCAATCAATAACGTTTTGAAGCAGTATAATGAAGATGTAATAATATGCACTTAACTGGTATGCTCTCATTGTACTTGCCTAAATGTAAATATGACAGCCCATTTTAATTGAACCAATTGGGGAAAGCAGGTGTTTGGAGGTGGTACTGGTCAGTGACCAACAACAAGACACTTTTTGAATATTTTTCCATACAGGTTTCATAATTTCAAACCTAGAGACCTGAAAATTTGCCAAAGTACAGCTAGGTTGTTCTCCTAACTAACAAACTAGTTTGTTATTTCTGATTATATTGACACAGTGATTTTACTACTGTAACGTGTACCGAGCTTAAATATACGCATTTGTATTCAATTAATGTAATATATTGAATATATTACATTAATAATTTTCCTCTAGGTTTCCTTACCTAAATGATTGAAGAACAATGATTTCAAAATGATAGGAATATAAATTAACTTGAATTAAACAAATATTAAATAAACAATACACAATATGGATATATTTGTTAACAATTCCAAATCATAGACTTTCCTAGTCTCTATGCCTAGTCTCGATGCCTTTCAAACATATAAAGTCTCGATGCCTACGTATTATATTATGCTCGTATTTTCTATGCTTCTATTCTTACATGTTCTGACTCATTTTTCTTTTTTGAAAACACTGTTTAACTTTCTCCTCCCTGGCCAAACATTTTAATGAATATTTTAAAAATATTTTGTGAACAAATTTTTGTATATCTAAAGATTGTTTTTTGCAGAACATACCGGAATCGCCGCACAAGCTTTTAGTATATTTAACAAAACGGAATCGGACAAAATTTAGCGTTGCATTCAACAAATCAACATCCTTTTAGCCCATCAAACACACGGGAATTATTTCATGCTCTGTTTTACTAGTGAAACTTGAAAAATGGTTTCAAAAGAATTGAATTGAAATTTGATTATTTTCTGCTAGAAATTTCACTCGTCCTGCAGGACGAGCATTTCCGGGAGGTTCACTCGTCCGGAGTCAATTTTAACTCGTATTTACAAGCGAACAAGTGGATTTGTCGAGCCCTGACTATATAAAAATCTGCAAGCCTCTCCGGTAGCGTTGCCCATAGAGAACACACATAACAGACAATATATAGCAGGTATAACTTCAAAGCTCCAAGATTAGATGTTGACAATCTGACTTCCACCAACACAAAAACAAACTCACCTTGAATACCTCTGATTATATATGCTTTGCACAACAACGCCCTCTTACGACTAGTTATGATTGGCTAATCAACTTACAATACAATTATACAAAAACGAGCACCTGCTAATAATGTTATATAGATCATATAGCCTGATTACAAATAATGTCAATTAAAACATTGTAGTAGAAACTATTTATACATTTCATTAGAATTACAGCAAAGGACTACTCGCATTATTATTTACAACAGAATAATAGCAAACTAAACTTAAAAATATAATTTGATATAGAACATATTGCCTATGTTTGTTCACGTGCAAATGACGTCCCTGTATTAAAGGGCCGTATCTCGTCATGTCAGATTGTTACACTACTTATATAACAGACTCCGAAGAAAGGCCTCTTCCCAATTGAAATTTTCTTTAAAATCATGCAGTTTTCCCAAATATCTGAACTTAAACCAGCTTTTTTACTTCCCAAGCGATAATTTTTCCCAAAATCAAGAGGCTAAGGCCTCTTCCCAATAACGTGAGAAAAAACACTGACTTATATCTGAGGCCTGTCAACGAGGGTATCAAAATTACATAAATTTTCCACACTACAGTACCAATACCATGTGTCCAGACAGATATGTACATGAAGTAATTAAATTCAGATAAAAGATTGGGTGTTTTAATTTTTTATTTTTAACATGATATACAATATTTCAGCAGCAAATGCTGATGTTTTGGATATTCTATTGTTTACTCTACCAATAATCAAAGCTGGCTTCTGCTTCTGATGTATTTCTGTGTACCAGTCAAGTGCATTTTGTCCAAAATAAAATAACAATCCCATACAAATTACATTGGTAATGATAAATTCTGCAGTTTTTCTGGTTATTTATCAATCAAAATAGCATTAAACTTCATATTAAGAAGTTTTATTCAATCAAGAGTGATCAAATTTATTTTGGAATAAAATAGGAAGTGAAACATTTCAGTCCCAAGGTGAACCCACTCAGGAGTGAGTCTGTTTTTCATACAGAGTAGTGGCAACATATAGTGATTACTTCTCCGTCATCTGTCCTTCTTTCACAAAACTTGTCTGACCTCAAAAACTACTGGTGCAATTTCATCCAAACTTTACATGAATGAACAGTTCCAAGTCTTGTTGTGCATGATATTGTCATTTTACGGTTCAGTGATTTTTGACAGTGTTATGGCCTTTTAATGATAGATTTGAAAATTTTAAAGTTAGTCCAGACTACTCCTCTTATACCACTATAAATGTAAATTCGATGAAACTTTATTGTCTATAGCAGGGGCCATTATAGGACTGCTTCCCAAAAGAAAGATTCTTTAAAATCGTGCAGTTTTCCCCCAAGCCTTTCCCCGGGAATTTTACCAGGCACAGAGGCATTTCAGTGAGGAATGTAGCAATTTTAGGGGGAAATATATACATGTATATTTTAATTTTTTTGGCTAGGTGAAACAGCCTTTATTTGGCTGTAAAATATAATCGATAATATAAAATAAATATAAAACGATTGCTAACTGATGAAAGTTGTAATTGTTAATACTTAAAAATTCATCATTTTTATATACAAATTTATTTTTAGATAACCTGAATTTGGATATGTAATTGTAGTAATTATTGAGAAGTTCCCTTTATTTCTCAAAATTTGATAACTGCTGTCTCTATTGAACTTTGAAGGCAAACATGAGTTTCATTTAAAAAAAAAAAAGGATATGTAAGTAGCATTATTATAGAATTTTCTAAATTGGCAAATTTGTTCCTTTTCTTTTTCAGAACACCATGTCTGTGATTCCTCTTAAAGTTGTGGTAAGAGCACGGCCACTCATTCAAAAAGAGATTGACGAAGGATGCCAGACTTGTCTTAATTTCATTCCATATGAGCCACAGATTATTCTTGGCAAAGACAGAAGTTTCACATATGATTTTGTCTTCAGGCCAACTGACCCCCAAATCTCAGTGTATGAAGATGCCGTCAAACCTCTCATCCAACATATTTTCAAAGGTTTAACAAAATGTTGATAATTTACTTCAAGTTAATTTTTGTGTTTTATTCTAACATTATATGTTCATAAGTAAAAATTAAAGCAACAAATTTTACAATGCTGTAAATTAAGAGTATATGTTACGGAAGAGTTATGAAAGTATTTGTGGTACATTTTTTTGTCCCCACATTGAATGATTGATAATTTGAGGTGGGTCACATGTATGTACATATGTATTGTAATACATATGTAATACAATGTACCTAATAGTAACAATGGATGCCAATTGTGATTTATTCATAAAAGTTTGCGTAAAATATTTTTAGCACTCATTTAAATGTTGTCATTCTTGCTGTTTCAGGTTATAATTCAACTGTTCTTGCGTATGGACAGACAGGAAGTGGTAAAACATTTACTATGGGTGGTGGTTATGAAGATTCCCTGAAGATGGACCCTGACGGTATGGGTATTATACCTAGGATTGTACAGGAAATCTTTAATACCATCAGTGAGAAGGAGAACTACAAATTCAAAGTAGCAGTTTCATATTTAGAGGTAAATTATCAATATTGAATTGTAACATCTTATATTGTGTATTGCCTTTGAGGAAGAAACTTGCATGGTACAATGGTCCAAGTCCTCCATTGCTTATTCAAACCAGATATACTATTTGTTTTTTCTCATAGTAGAAATAGACCCAGGGACAAGGGCTCAAGTCACTGGCCTTGAACACTTCACTTTATCCATTGTACTTCTGAGAGATTGTATTCATTGAGGTTAGGATGCTATCCAGCTAGGCAGCAAGTCTATAGAACTACAATAGAAGGTTTGTACCTGTGCTTTGCCTGTTCCAGAAATAAACCACAAAAAATATGTGGAGAAGTCTTTCTTCATCAGTGTAAGTCTTTATGCAGTATGTAGACACCCACCAAAAATCCAGGATAATTTAAGAATTTTTATTTTTAAATTCAGATCATTAATGAGGATTTGCAAGATCTGCTTGTCAACAACAAGAAAGACTCTTTAACAATAAGAGAAGAAAATGGAGTCATAAAGGTATGTGAAAACAATTTCATCTGCATCTAGCCATTTTGTGAAATTTACTCATTTTCAAGAAATGATAGTTTCTCTTGAACTGATTGTATGTTTTCACTTTGTATACTGGACTCACCCAGGCGTCATTGTAACACTGGTTAGAGTTTCACATGAAACTTCTTGAAGATATTTGCTTGTAGCGTAACACTTAATTGCGAAAATATAAGGTTACTGTCCAAGGCATGGATTTTGACAGAATTTTTGCCCTATTTGATCTTGTAAAATTCTTGGATAAAGTTTTGCAACCAATGCAGGCAAATATCACTCTTAAAAAACTGCTGAACTTAAAGTTATTCACTCATTACATGTCTTCAGGACACTGTCCAAGATCCATAACTGACATGGATTTTGACAGAAGTATGACTGTGTGTAAACTTTGAATATTCATGGTGCTACATCAATCTTCATAATTACTGAAGATGTTCACTTAAAACATGGATTTGAAATCATAATTGAAAGTCACAGTTCAATGCCCATAATTCTAGCATGGATTTTGAAATAATTATGGCTCTGAGTTGTACTTTGAAAAAATATTTGATTTGATAATGTTTTGCACACAACATTACTCTTCAGTACTACTGTATTCATGTCTTTGGGATCATAATTGGAAGTCACTTCCCAAGGCCTATAACTGACATGGATTATGACTGAATTATAACCCCATGTGAACATAGAAAATTCATGGTTCAGGTTTTCATACAACATACAAAACTGCTGAAGATATTCTCTTAAAACTTAATACAGTAAATTCTCTCTATTAAGACCACTAACGGGACTGACTCAAAGTGGTCTTAATAGTGAACTGGTCTTAATAGTGAATAAGTCACTTTAACAGCTAACGAAGTCCAACTTAACTAAATGTATACCTTGTATAGTTTTGTGCACATAGTAAATGTACTTAATTAAATGAGTAACAAGAAACACATTTTTTTTAAACAAAAACATTTTTAATGTATGATAATATGATACATCATTAATACATGTATAATGAAAATATTAATTTACGGCTAGTGTTTCAAGTTTCCCCTTTAGAAGAAAAAATATGAGGTATTAAATATAGTTATGACTCTCATTATAATTAGTACATCAATTACATATCGAAATAAAGCACACATGAACTGATAATTTGGTGTAATTACCAATTTTTACCATACTTGATATAAATTGTGATGCACAACAAACAATTTTAAATGCTATTCACCTGTTTATTACATCCTAATTACGCCGACAAATTAATCGTTTCTCACACCATAGCTGCTTAGATTAATTAGCCAGAAGTGGTTTAAACTGATCATGTTGACGCTTGAATGCTACAGATACATTGTAAAGCAAGCGTCTAATCAATCGATATATATTAATGACCTCATTTGACCCGGTGTATTTGTTTACGCCAGAGGGAAGATTACGACAATTAATTGGGGGGCAATAAACACCAAGTGATGTCTGGCCATTATGTTGCATGGTCGTACTACAGGTTAATGTTTTGATAAGAAAAACACACAAATGTCTGACAGAAGTGGTCGTTATGCCGGATTAGAGACGTGGTCGGTATACTGGTCATTTTTCTCAATGACTAAAGAAGGCAAATATTTTGTACTTTTAAAAAGTGCCCGTAATAGTGGCGTGGTCCTATTTGTGGCGTGGTCGTTAGATGGCATTTTACTGTACTTGTCTTTTGGAGTCATAATGTTTTTATGATATGAAGCAAAAATAAAACAAACAAACAACAAAACATGAAAAAACAACAAAACTCTGTGTTATTCAAAGAAAATCATGTAATTTCCTAGAAGTTAATAAATATATGGAAACATGTTGAATGGAATTATAAAGAAAAATGCTATATTTGTATGATGTTTTCAGCTTCCTGGTTTACGAGAAGTGCCAGTAAGCAATACTGAGGAGACAATGAAATATTTAGAGCAAGGTTGTAACAACAGGACCACAGCTGCTACTGCCATGAATAACACATCCAGTAGATCACATGCCATCTTCTCTGTATATATAGAACAACAACACGAGGAAGATATGTAAGTTTATGTCAGCTAAATGTCATATCATCCCTGTTAAATTCTGGTTTTATACTTACTTCCATTGTAATAATATTTTTATCTCAACATAAAAAACCATTTACAAGTGAGTTCTACAGGTATGTTCTGAAAATCATTCAGGATTTATCCATGTGTAGATATAATTCTTACTCAGCATGGTTTTATGACTTGTATTCTACATATATCTATATTTATATTTTTCTGTTAGAAATGACTTCTGGAAGGTCAAATTACAGCTGGTGGATTTAGCAGGGTCAGAGAGGGTCAAGAAAACACATGCAGAAGGGGCCAGACTTAAAGAAGGTACAACAAAATTTTTACAAGTTTAATCTTTGGACACTAAATCCTGTATTATGTACCAAGATGTTCTCTTTTTCTACTAGATCTCTTGAATTAAGGTTGCCTTGCATTTTTTACTTGTAATTTTTGACTTTTTATTACTTTATGACATTGTCATATATTTGAAGCCAGATGAATGATGTAAATAATAAAACTACTCATTTTGATATTAAAAGTTGGTTCTAGTCAAGGTCTAGTCATTATGATGGTATAACAGATAAACATTTATAAAACAGAACTATGGTTTATTTGGTATTGAATTAGAAAGACTTAAGTATTAAAACCTTCTTTCATTTTGTCTAAAATGTATGTAACAATATTGTGGTACAACAAAGATACTGTGATAAAATATTGATTTATAATACATTTTCAGCTGCAATACCAAACTTTAAGTCGAATAGTCCAAGATAATTTTAATTCAGAAAATGCCAACCTGTTTTCTGAAATCTTCTTTTACTGAAATAGCCCTATTATCCCTACTTTTTTTTTGAAGTAATGAAAAGATGAAAATTGATGCTTGAAAAAATATTACTTCAGTTGAATTTTCTGTTCCTTGTGATTAGTAATTATAGTTAAAGAAATAATTGTTTCATTTTGTCAGTTATTTTTCATCCAGGGCATGTTTTTCAAGTATGAACAAATATAAAAGTACACACAACCTGCTGCATTAGTATATTATGGTTATTTCAAACTAATATATAAAGAAAGTACCTTCTTAAAATCAAATATCCCTACTGTGCCCTACTTTGGGATAAAGTGACACTACTCTTTCCTTCTTTTTGTTGAAGAGACAGTTGAAAGCTTGGATCTAGGCCTAACAAGGATGCTTTGATAAAGATATGATTAAAGATATCTTCATACAAACTTGTTTTCAATGTCTGTATTTTTCCCCCAAATAGAAAAAAAGACCAATAGTAAATTGTGTCTTTTTTGTAGGTATAAACATCAACAAAGGGCTATTAGCTCTAGGAAATGTTATAAGTATTCTTGGAGACGAGACAAAGAAGATATTACATGTACCATATAGAGACAGCAAACTTACCAGGATATTACAAGGTGGGTGTTTATATGTTTTAGTGTTTTACTTGTTATGAAACATTGAGAGCATTATTGCATGTGCTAAGTTTTTTGAAGAGAAAGTTGCATTTGGTTTTCTGTATAAAGTGTATTGTTTCCAATTAGTTTCTCTAGGGAGTGACAGTGAATTACTAATATGTAAATATATAATATATATTCAGGACGATTGTTGCTTCTAGGACAAAACATAAGGGGGACACTAATGTTTATTATAGGTTGAAATTTTGAGGAAGAATTGAGAGACACATAATATTATTGTTAAAACTTGCCTTGGAAACAGGTTATTGCATAAAACTGCTCCTTACTATTAGGCACACTTCAAAGCATATGAGAGTGTTTCACAAAGTTTATAGCTTGAAAAATTTGTTTTTCACTTCTTCTTGGATCCTTAAGGTTCAAAAGGAGATGTAGATTTTGCTGATATCACTTGAGAAATGTTTTTCATTTGCGAACTGTATTTAGATCCAATAAACTGGGTCAAGTGCATCTGTCTTTGCCAATTTGTTGAACTAACATGGTACCAGTTCTTTTAAAGGAATAATGTGTACAGCATAGTAAGTCGAAGCAAAATCACCAGAAAGGCAGAAAGGCTCACTACAGAAAAATATGAAAAATTAAGGGATAAATTGTGTGCATGGCCCCTGGGGTCAAATTTAAGTGGACACTAAACATTGTATAATTCCCAAGGCCAGGATCCTGTGCTGTAAAAGCAACAGTGCAGGATAGCCATTAATATTACATTCATTACTTTATGTGATAAACATAACTGTATGTTTAGATTTTAACAATTTTTGCTAGTTTTGAAAGTTCTGTCTTCAGATTCACTGGGTGGAAATAGTCATACTTTAATGATAGCTTGTGTTAGCCCAGCTGACAGCAATATGGAAGAATCATTAAATACACTAAGATATGCAGATAGAGCTAGAAAGATCAAAAATAAGCCAGTGGTGAACTGGGACCCACAGACTGCAGAAATAATGAGGTTGAAAGGACAGGTTCAACAGCTGACTATGAAGTTAATCAACGCAGGGCTCACAGAGCTTGATAGGTAATATAAGATACTGGTCAAACATTAAAAAATCTATATGTCAGTGATTAGAACTCATAACTTTAACATTGATTTTACCTAATTATTGCCATTTGTAGGTTGAGAAAAAAATAATTTATGGTTTTAAATGCAACTTTATAACAAAGGAAGGTCTTCTCAGTAATGATTAAACGTCAAACGTCACTTGTTAAGACTCGGGCATGTACTTATGTCGGTGATTTTTACCAAATTATTTCAAATTTTGACTTGAGAAAATCCCACCTGGCTTTTGTTTTACTATCTAGTTTTCAGGTTAGCTAAATGTGCTGCAAATGTGACCTCATATTGTAAATGATATATTTCAGTGAAAGTGACTTGAACATAGTTAAACCTGATTCACCTACCAGAGAAAAAGACGCTCAAGCTCTACAGAAATGGATAGATAAATGTAAAGAATTAGAGGTATGTACATGTTGTTGTGCTCTAATTCTTTCACTGCTGATGATATACTATATAAATAAAATTGCAAAACACACTAAAAATATATTTTGAAAGTTTTGTTTGGTTCAGTATATCATATTTTCATGAAACTGGAATTTTGACATTTAAAAGAATCATTTGTAGATATTTTAGCTCAGGAAAATTATCTAAAATAAAGACTAATTTTTTGTGCAGTTTTATGTCATTTTGTTCACTTGCATTTATAAAATTTGCAAATGATAGCAAGCAAACAAAATGTTATTTTAATTGTCAAAATTGTCATATGATCAGGAAATATACAATATATTTTAATACTGCACATTTGTAATGTCATTTTTCATTGGATAATCGTGACTTTTATATATATTTATATACACGGCTGCTGTCGATTTATGAAAAAAAATTTACTTTTTTCTCTAAAAATGATGCTTGCTGTATTATTACTTCATTATAAAGATTGTTGACAGGTTATATGGCCGTATATAAAGCTGTTTGCAATATAACCTGAGTCGTTATATTTACAAATAGTCGTTTATATAGGGCCATATAACCTGTCAACGATCTTTATAACTAATAATATATAGGAACGTACATAGTTTTGTATGGTGTATAATTAGGATATGAATTCACTTTTATAGGCATTGATGAAAGTGTTTAAGATGTTAATAAAATCCTTGAATGATGTTAAATTTCTACATATGTTTTGTGTATAAAAGAGAGCATAAAGTTTGATTTAGCTGGTTACATAGCCAGTCAGCACAATAACTTACCTCAACATGTCTTTGAAAACATGTAGTTAATTGCAGTACAAGTTTACAAAAGTACATTTAAAATATACTCTAGTTTTCCACATTATAGTTTATTTTATGCATACACCAGTGTTAAACATGTTTTGATACATAATTTTCCTTAAAGAAGTAAAGAAAAGAGTTGCTCAACCTTTACCATGCTAAATATCTTAACAGGACTTGTCCATCTTTCAATCTGGACAAAATCATCATTTTGAGCGAAATTGTCTTCCAAAAAATGTAGTGAATAAATAAGGAACAGTGCAGATCAGATTGAGAATTAGACAGCACAGGTAAGCCGGCTGATCTTGGACTTCACTGGTAGCAAGGGTGGAATCTGTTGCCACCAGCAAGCTAGGAGTTAAGACTGCTTTTCTTTGTTTTCTGAACACGATTATAATTATTGTATAGGAGGAGGTTATAAACCTGCACAAGGAGTTAAGAATATCAGTTGACCAGGCAGCTACAATGGGGGAGAAGGCATTAAGATGGGAGATGAAATGTGAAAGACTAAAGTCACGTCTAAAAGAGCTGGAATCTAATATAGGGTAGGCAAAGTCTTCCTTACATGGCTATCTTATATTATTTATGTTTTATATTATAATATTTTATTATTGCATTATAATCTAATTCTCAGTGTACTCTGTTTTGACTGATTTATTAGTGTTAGGAATGAGATATTTCATTTACACTTAAACTTAACACACTTGTGACAAAACAAACATGTTGAATAGTGCAAATACGACATTGAAATGACCATAACTGTCAAGGTCAAATTATAGAAATTTGATAAAATTGCCAAAACTATTAATTATTATTATAGACAATACTGATTCGTACTATAAGGAAACAAATCATATGACAAAACCTACAGGTAATTTAAGTATGACTTTACTGTTACATTTGTCTTGTAATTTTGCATAATTTGCCATAACTGTTATTTGTATACAAATTTGATACAGACTTTGACAAAACAACACTTGACAAATTGTTGAATCATTTAACTTGAGCTGAAAATAATGTTGACAATAAATGATCATCAAGGTAAAGTTATTTAAAAAATTAAATTATCCTTACTTTGTTATTTTTGGACAGATGAAACTCATTCTTTAAAGAATTAATAAATACTTATGGCAGAATAAACATGTTGAATTAATGGAAGTTACTAGTATGACATTTACATGTAAATGACCGTGACTGTCTAGGTCACATATGAAATATATTCTTCAATTCTGTAAAACTTTCCTGATAGTCATTGACTTAAGTTAATATTTTGACCAAATACCATGTTTAACATCATCATAATAATAAATGAGTTTGACCTTGAATCTTTATTGACCTTGACCATGAAGGTCATGTTTTAAAAATTAATTAAATTTAGCAATAACTTAGTTATTAAATGATAGATTGAATTCATACTTTGATAAAACAACAGTTAAAGCAAACAATGATATTGAGTACTTTAAATATGACTTTTACCTATGAATGACCTAAATCCAATAGAGATTTTTTAGTAATAAAAAGCCAAGATTGTGACCTGCTTGGGGTGGCTCTTGTTGAAAACTAGTTTTCGTGTCATCACAATGTTTATTGTTTACTCATTAACACAAAACAATGTGTTGTGAAATTACATGTTTCAATGTTGAGTTATTATAATTATGTAGAAATACATATAATTACAATATTATGATGATATTAATATTATGATATTTACAGTGTAGACTTTGATTTGCTGAGTTCAAGCATTGTTGATGAGAACAACCCTGCATTGGCTGAACAGCTGGAGAAATTAAAAGCTCTTGCTAGCAAACTTAATGATTCAGTGGTATGTGCTTTTTAATAACAGATTCAATATTTGCTTTTTTTAACCATGAGAAAGGTTAAACATATGTGTTCATAAAGTGAAATGAATGTACACGATAACCTTAGTTCTGACTACAAGCTCACCTTTTTAGATTTATTACAACAAACGATACGTAGCTGTTTCTAATGTATTTCTGTAGATTATTAGATTCTGTCATTTCTGTCATATACTTAAGAAATAATATATCCCAAACAGTGATTTTATCGCTCAATAACATCACTGTTTGGAGTTCTAATGCGGAGAATTATATCTCGAGGGCGTAGCCCGAGTGATATAATGATGCGCATCTGAACGACAAACAGTGATGTTATCAGGTGATAAAATCACGGATTTGGATATATTATTTCGATTCTAACACAACACAAACAAAGAAATGCTGCTGTACCTGATACTCGGCTAAATTGCGCATGATTTGTTTCCGTACTTATTTTCAGCGCGTCGCATTTCTAGTGGTTACGTCACGTGTATAATGTTTACGTCTCATGTTTAAAAATAGAACGTCAAACTGTGATTTTAAAGCATAATAACACACACTTTCGGTTCTTCTATGTTCAATGGGGGAAAATGCGGGTCGTATTAGAATTGCTGTTTTAAAGTATTTCCCAGAAAGACAAAGGAGGTTTTTATTTTCATTCATCTGTAATATCTTGGAATCATGAAAATAACACAGAGAGTCAGTTAACAGTTAAAATAGAAACTGATTCCCTTTCAAGAATGTGAAAGCTAAATGCTGATTGGCTGATTAAGAAGATGATAACTATTGGTGATCCTAATGGCTTAGTGTTATTTGATAGGTGACTTGTCAGACTGTTTGAATGGCCTTCTTATGATGTTTAAAACAGTGATGACTGGAACACACATTACTTTGTTTGATCATGTATATTTATTATCAGTATGTTTGTTAATTTGTATATTTGATTTATTTAGAGTACAGAGAATACAGCAGAATCTTCTGAAGACGAGGAAAATGCTGAAACTGAGGTAATTAAACATGATGATTTTACTTTAAATGAAGGTCTAGTGCATAGATGTATTAATAAAACTGTCAAGGGTTTGTTGTGAAGGATAGAACTTAAACAGGGTAGTCGGGTGAATAGACTGTAATTGCTTGATATGAAAGATTTATTATTTAATGGATGCACTTAAATTTCACTCTCCTTTGATTTTTATAGCCTAATCAGCTATGATACAATGATAATTACAAGTGAATGTTTGATTTGAAATATTTGTTTAAATATGAATATGTTAGAAGAATGTATTTAAAACATTATAAAGTGTCTTTGGGGAGCAAAGCTTGAAAAACTTGTCTGCTAAGTACAATGGGAAGAGCTTCTGATTTGTAATCAAGGGGTCACTGGTTCAATCCACGTGACAAGTGATTTTTTTCTCAGTAACAATTGATTTCAGTGAGTAATATGGTGATTTGTCTCTCACCACTGATTCAGAAATCTTATAGAATTAGTTGTCTTTGACTAACTTCATTGCCGGTTAGTTGTCCAGGAAAGCTGGTTAGGGGATAATCCACCAGGATATGATGGTAACTGTGTTCGAATCAACATAAAATAATAAAAAAACAGAAAAACTTAAAAGGACATGTAATGAGAATTGTATATGCACTTATAAGAATGTTAAATGTATATGAGTATCTGAGTTAGAAAGGTTTTGTAATGTACAAGATTTTTTTCTTCACAGGCTGAGGAAGGTCAGGATGAAATGCCGTGCACACCAGAGTCTCGTGAGATGTTAAAACAACATACATTACGACGAGCACGCATGAACAATCAACTGACTGAGTTAAACAAGATCTTAGAAACAAAAGAGAAATTAGCCAACAAATTCATCCAAAATGATACCAAGATGGTTGAAATGCAAGCAAAATATGAGGTATTCTTTCTTTTAGCTTTATTTTGATCTTCCTCCCTTTTGCAACAGGATTGTCGTAATATGTGTATTAAAATAAAATTACTTTAATAAGTTATGTTGATATACCAGATTATTGAACAGGAGATAATATGTAATGTATAAAGACACTTGTCATACAAAAGCTGGTTATTAAAATCATCTTTATACAAGGGTTGTTCAAAAGGTAATAGGATTGCAGCTCTACTGTTAACATTTTTTATTTTTAGTGCATAAATTTACAAGAAACAAATATAGGAACATGTTCTCTATATACAGTGAAAAAATCAATACAAAATGTTTTTAAAGAACAATTCTGTGAAATTTTCAAATGACAAGGGGTATAAAACCCGGCGCACGCTGACAATACAATAAATGACGTAAATGACGTCATTAACTAAATACAAAAAAAACAAGTGTCATCCATCTTTAGAGTATTCTCCCTAGTGCTCTAGTGTCTGAATCACGTGATCATGATCAGGTCTCAGATGGGGAGATTAAGCTAGAAAGAAAGAGATCACAATTTTGTTCAACTCTCCAAGAAAAATGCGTGATAGCCGGCCATTCTCCACTTTTTTCGAATATTTTGAGTAAACTGTTAACTCAACAAGCATGGACTTGTAATGTAATGCAAAAGCGCTTTATATTATTAATTTTCACATGTATGTCATTGTACGTTTTCAAAACAATATGATTAATACACTAAAATAACAATATTTATCAATTTAAAAGTATAATTTATTAAAAGTAATTTGGGGGGAAAATACTACAAATCATTAACGTTAATCATTATTATATTAATTTATTAAAACCAAGTATATCTAATGAGATACAATGAAATTTTGTTTGATAGAAAGGTCTTATATACAATCCTTTGGTGACAACTGAATAAGTAGACCCGAAGCGGACATAATAAATTTATAAGTGCCGGACAGACGTGTACCGTTTCACTGTCGATCCATTTACAGCGATTTTGCATTTAATGTCAGAGATTTTGTAATAGCCGTTTTTAAATTGATTGTACAAGCTGAAAACGAGTGTCCTAATGGCAGGCTAATTTTCCTTTCTTAATTTTATCATTTTGTATGTATCTGAAAGAATATTGCCAATTTGTTGGCACAATTTAACGATGGAACGAATTTGTGTTTGCTACAGAGTGCTGTATTTCTACAATCAACGCCATGACCACAGCTGTTCAAAACTAAATAATTATACCATTTCATGCCCAAATGATGTCAACTTTAGATATAATGTCACTTAAATATAAATAAATGTGTTGTTGGAAAATATGAACAAACAGTATAAATTATTAATAAATTAGAAGTACAATTTAGCTCAAATAACTATTTTTGTGTGCTGCGCCGTGGGTGTGTTACCATGGTTATTCAATATCACAGCAAACGCGCATTCATCACAAAAAATTTATTAACTTATGCATAAATTGTAGAAAACATTTTACCATCCCTAAATATATGAAAATATTCTAAATTGGATGAAACATGAATATGCAAGACTCTCAGTCCTATTACTTTTTGAACAACCCTTGTACTCTGATGTTACAACTGAGTTTTCCTATTTTGAACTTGCATCTTAATATTCTGTTACACACAATAATAGTGTAATAATGTTAGTGTTTACAGTTGTGATTAACTCATTTATTACACACAATTAAAGCTGAATATTGCTATACATACAGCTTGATACAGGTGTTATATCACATATGTGCGTTGTAATGAAACAAGAAATAATTACAGTAGGTTAAAAGCATAGAGGTTTTATGAAACAAACATAAACATGATTATACAAATGTTTCTATAGCAAGACATGAAGAATCTAGAGGTGGAGATAAGTTCTTTACAGAAAGAAAAAGAGAATCTATCAACAGCTTTAGAGGATGCCAAGACAAATGTTGCTGCCAGCAAGTATGTTACATGTGTATTTTTTCTCTCTTACCAATTTTACTGATCTAAATATGTAATAATGGCTTCAGATTTCAAAATCCTTATTTAATGCGTGTGTCATGAATAGATATAATGTCTGTTCAATTTATCATTGATACTTTTTTGCCAATCGATTATTCATAAGAATTATAAAATGTATATATAAATTGCTTATAAATATAATGTATAGAAGCAAGAAGCAAAGTGTCCTGTTGAAAGCTCGTGTAGTACATTACTAAGCTGTTGTTGCTTAATGGACAACTTCACTTTGCATATTTTATACCAGTAATGAGAAGATGGTGAGAAAAAAATATGCTAATGACATTTGTAAACAATATACATTATAATATTATACTGAAGTTTTGAAAACAAGTATGAACATAAAATATAGATAATACTCTATGTATAGTCAGTTTTTGTCATCCTATATCAATACATCATTGATATGTTTTGATCTGAATCAATAACAGCTCTTTGTGATTAAAATTATTGATAATGTAATTGATGAGTTTTGTAATGATATCATACATTAAAATTTATCCGGCAAACTTACGAAACAACGATGGTTCCATTTGGATGCCCTCTGCTTTATATTTCCAACTAGCTTACCGAATGTTGGTGGTTCTGCTCAGGTGCTTGCCGGTTACTAATATATAATGCATGATGGCACCTGAAGTCTTCCCTCCACCAATATAGCCTGGAAAGTCTTCATATGACCTTTACAGTCAGTTTGACTTAAAAACCAGCAAAACAACCATTAAGATATACTTTATGAGATTGAAATATTTGGGATAATCATAAATATTCATATATCAGGTTAAGTGAACAGAGAAGGAAAAGGCTACAAGAACTGGAGGGTCAAATGGGTGATTTGAAGAAGAAATTGGTAGAGCAGAAAAAAATGCTGAAAGTAAAAGATCAGTCAGAGAAACAAGTTACTCAGCTTAACACAGAAATTCAGGCAAGTTATTAGATCTAATTGTTTTATTATGCCCCCGCCATGTAATGGCCGGGGCATATAGTGTTACCCTGTTCCGTCATTCCATCCTTCCGTCCTTCCATCCTTCCGTCATTCTGTCATTCCGTCATCATTAGTTTCCGTTCATTATCTTAAGAACGGTTGCACACATTCAACTCAAATTTTACATATGGATATGTCATGAGAAAATACAGGTAAAGTTCGAATTTGGTCATGGTTCGATGATTTTTGGCAGAGTTATGCCCCTTTTACTTGTAAATATTATGATATTTCAGTTTCCGTTCATTATCTCCCCAACGGAACAACACATTCAACTCAAACTTCACATATGGATATGTCATGAGAAAATACAGGTCAAGTTCGAATTTGGTCATGGTTCCATGATTTTTGGCAGAGTTATGCCCCCTTTTACTTTGAAAATAATATGAAATTTTCAGTTTCCATTCATTATCTCCCCAAAGGTACAACACATTCAACTCAAACTTGACATATTGATGCCTCAAAGGAATGCGCAGGTCAAGTTCAAATTTGGTCAAGGTTCAATGATTTTTGGCAGAGTTATGCCCCTTACACTTTGAAAGTAATATGAAATTTTCAGTTTCCGTTTATTATCTCCCAAATGGTACAACACATTCAACTCAAATTTGACATATTGATGCCTCAAAGGAATGCGCAGGTCAAGTTCAAATTTGGTCAAGGTTCAATGATTTTTGGCAGAGTTATGCCCCTTACACTTTGAAAGTAATATGAAATTTTCAGTTTCCGTTTATTATCTCCCAAATGGTACAACACATTCAACTCAAATTTGACATATTGATGCCTCAAAGGAATGCCCAGGCCAATTTCCAATTTGGTCATGGTTCAATGATTTTTGGCAGAGTTATGCCCCTTTCACTTTGAAAATAATATGAAATTTACAGTTTCTGTTTATTATCTACCCAAAGGTACAACACATTCAACTCAAACTTGACATATGGATGCCTCAAAGGAATGCGCAGGTCAAGTTCAAATTTGGTCAAGGTTCAATGATTTTTGGCAGAGTTATGCCCCTTTCACTTTGAAAGTACATGATGTGTAAGCAAAAGCTTGCCAATTAAATTAATATGAGCAAACTTGATAAAAAAAACTACCTAAGAATGCTATATGTCAAATTTGAGTTGAATGTGTTGTACCATTTGGGAGATTATAAACTGAAACTGAAAATGTCATATTACTTTCAAAGTGAAAGGGGCATAACTCTGCCAAAAATCATTGTTTTGGAATGCCCAGGCCAATTTCGAATTTGGTCATGGTTCAATGATTTTTTGCAGAGTAATGCCCCCTTTCACTTTGAAAATAATATGAAATTTACAGTTTCTGTTCATTATCTACCCAACAGTGTTACATATTCAACTCAAATTTGACATATGGATATGTCAAAGGAATGGGCAGGTCAAGTTGGAATTTGGTCATGGTTTGATGATTTTTTGGCAGAGTTATGTCCCTTTCACTTTGAAAATAATATAGATACATCTTAGGAATAAGCAGTTTAAGTTTGAATTTGGTTGTGGTTCAATGATTTTAGACAAACTTATCTTTCCTGAATGTTGGAAAAATTTTGAACTTTCAGCTTCAGTACACCTACTGTTAGCCATTATTTTGGCTACAAATATGCAATATGCTATTTTTAAAAGGTTAAGACTGAATAATTTCAGTGCCTTGAACATTGTATGAAAATGGTTTGTGTTAACATTAAAAAGTTTTAAGGGCTTTGAACTTGAAATGAAAAAAATAATTAATGCACCATCTGAAATTTTGGCTGCATGCGGGGGCATCCGTGGCATGATGACACATTTCTAGTTTAATAAGATAATAGGAGGGTACAAGCACAAATATTGGGTTGCAGAAAAAAATAACAATTACAATTAAATCATTTAAATAATTAATAATTAGAAAAAAATAGCAAGGGCCAGACAAATAATTGGTATGCTTCTGATATCATGTTATCAAATAATCATATAAACATTGTTATTTTAACACTGATGTGACAATATGCCTATGTGTTACATACCACATAGAAATCTTTGTTCAAATTTGCAGTTATAATTAGCTTATCAAATCTTTCCATCCACTTTGGATCTGATTAACTCATGTATGATCAAAATTGTGAAAAATAGTAAACTTTTAGATAGTTATTGTTACCAGTTATTTGCAGCAAATAAAAAAAAAACCTTAGCAACACAAAATTTGATAAATTGTTTCAGCATAATTAAAATTTATGGATAGTAGACTTAATGATTTTTAATCATTTTGGAGGTGAAAAAATATCAGTAAATGTTATAGTTTCTACAGTTTAAGACATTAGTAAAGCAGAGTAATAGAGATGCAAGAAATGACACAAGAAAGGGATTTCAACACATGGATTTGTAGGATTATTTCATTAGTAATAGGGTAATGATTTTGCAAGTAACCTTTAAACAGAATACATATCGTTGAACTGATAATATTTCTTTATGATCTGATATGTTCAATGTCTGTTTTATATATATTTTATAGGGTTTGAAGACACAGAGAGTAAAGTTAATGAAACAGATGAAGGAGGACAATGACCAGTGGAGGAAGTGGAGACAAAAGAAAGACAAGGAAGTCTTACAGTTACAACAAAAGGTCAGTGATCATCACATAAAATTAAAATTTATTCTTCTTGATCACATAAAAAGTGAAGTTATTTCGCTAGGCACCATGTACGTTATTGAGTTTCTGTTTGAACAGACACAGCAACACAATTTATTGGAAATTGTACACAATTTATTGGAAATTGTATCATAAAAGCTGGATTTTTTTAACTTTAAAGTTTTTGAAAGATTTTTAGTAAGAAAATGCAGTTATCCATTATTGATCCAATCTTTTGTAACACTAAGAAAATTACTTAGTATTGTTTATTTCTTCACTCTTTTTATTTCAGGATAGAAAACGTCAGTTTGAAATCCAGAAATTACAACGTGAGAACAAGAGAACTCAAAATGTTCTTCATAGAAAGTCGGAAGAGGTACATTTTGTGATTGAAATTATTAACTCATAACCATACTTAATGTTTATAATGTATTAGCAGTGCTTTGAAGTTACAACTGCCTGTTGTAAATAATTTAAATATTTGAGTACTGTAACTAACTGTAAAGAAATCTCGGTCTGGTCAGATTAGATTTTTTATCATAACACTGGTGATTTCCTAAGTAATAATAGAAATAGTGCTTTTCTTTCAATGATATTTCACTTAATGTATACCTTTAATACCACAGAATGATTGGCTAAGTTAATTGATTGCATTAGATGGAACTATGAAGATGCTGAATGATTGGCTAAGTTAATTGATTTAAATAGATGGTACTATCCAGTTGCTATGTGACCAGGTAGATTATAAATATGTGAATCATTGTTTCAGGCTGCAGCAGCCAATAGAAGATTAAAGGAAGCTTTAGCAAAACAGAAACAAGTTATAGAGGAGAGAAACCAAAAGTTTGAGAAATGTGATAAAAATGCTATAGGAAATAGAGTTAGGGTAGGTATATGCTTTCTGTCTAGTTATGGCAGTGTTTTTTCCCTTATATAACTGATACCAGAAAATGGCACTGTTCCCAATAGAAAATAGACAGCAAATTTCCCAATTCATAACTAAAAAATTCCCAAAATAACACTGAAAATTTCCTTAAAAAATAGGCAAATTTAAAGGTAAACAAAAACAGTAATGTCATTGATCAGTGTGATATACAATAAAAAAGAACAAGTATAACCACATGAGTGATATTATTACCCAGTTCATTTCGTACTTTTAGTGTTTCACACCTTAATATTATTCATGTACAATTGTTATAACTATCAATTTTTTTTAACCTCAAGTAGCAAAAATAATCATTAAAGTTTAATAATACATGGTTTTAAAGTGTATATTATGCATAATTTTGATGTCACCCTGGATAAAAGAAATTCCCAATAAATTTTTTGCATCTTATGTAAAGTTCCCAATTTGATTCAAACCAATGGTTTTTTCCAAATTTGACCTGTACCGGCACCATCCCAAAAAAGGGGGAAAAAACACTGTATTGTTATTCTTTATATATAGAAAATATTAACGGTAATGTATGGGTTAGGGGAGGGGCAACCTGTTTTTAAAATATTGTGCTTTATGGCCCTTCATTTTGATTTTGGCACATTGGCTGCTATATGATGGGGATGTTTCTGTTGGTAGTAATTTGTTTTGTCATTTTCGATTCATAACATTGAGCTGCAAATTATACATGTATTTTATGATTGAAAATCTATTCAATTTTACAAAATTGTTAAGCAGGAAAGATTGGTGAATGTCTGCAGGCAGCTAGGTTTAAACAGTTTCTTCAAATGCAAATCTTACATTTCTCAAAGAAATTCTACCAAACTGGTACACAGGAATGTCTAAAAGCATTGTGCTTTGATCACTTTTGGCAGAGTATTGCCACTGTGTTGTTTACTTGTTGGTTTTTTTTTACATGCGATATTGGCTGAAAACTTGTGACAATGACCTGTCACTTATTAAATATAATGTTTTGTTATAGAAATGGTTGAGTTTTGAGCTAGATGTTAAAGTTGGAATAATGGAAGCCAAATACCACAGAGAAAGTCTGTTACAGGATCGTAAAATGTTGGCAGAACAACTGAAGGAGTTAAAGGAGAGTCTGAATGATGATGCTCCACCATCAAAGGTATATTTCATAGTAAACTATTGTCATTAAACGGTAACAGAATACTTTGATATTTGTAGGAATCACAGTGGTAGGAAAATCAATCGTCTGTATTGCCTAGGTTGTCTTACAGCCTGTACAGACAAGAGAATCTTTGCTGAATTTACTTAATAAATATTATACAGACAGATGAAGAAATTATGCAGATCAGACAGTGAAGGAATTGAAAATCAGATTTTGCTAGATCGGGTCACCTTACATGTTTTTCAGTCAATTGTTTAAACTGCTAAAGTTGCTATAGCTACAGTACATATAAACATATAGGCAGAATGAAAACTGTAGTACAGAGTGTATTTAAACTTTGCATGGTATTAGAATATAAAAACAGAAATATTTTTTAATTATAAGCTTTATAGCTTGATTTAAGGATCTTTTATCATAATATTATTTTATGTGCTAATATGATGTTGTGAGTTATATAAGTATAGGCCAGATGCAAAGGTGTCATCAACATACTTTTAAATTTTACTCTTTTACTGTTGCATAGATTATCTTAGTTAAGACAATTGTGTTAGGCAATGTATACTTGTTATTTATAGAAAATGGCATGGATGGATGACTCTGGAAAGAAACATGAGACAAGTTTTGAGGAGGAAGAAACTAAGAAAAAAGTTCATCATCTTCAACAGCAGATAGAATTAAGGTATTAATTATTGTCCCTTAAATGTTGTACATTTAGATCATGTTTTGGTTGATTAGTTTTATTAATCTATGTTAGTTTGATTGTGCTGAAAGCTTTAAGCTTATTCAATCACTGAAATCCACTCCTGGAACCAACAAGTAATAAGAGGAGTGTAAGGTTTTTTGCTCATAGAAACAAAGGCTTGCCCCTGGTGGGGTTTGAACACACACAGCTGGCAGTCCTTAAATTACTTGCCTAACGTGTTAACCACTTAACACTAACAGGCAGGGCTGTTGTAAACTTTAATGACAACATCTATCCATGTTGTCCTAGAGAATCTTTAGGTACAAGTGCCAAGTTGGCCTTGATATAATTTATCAGCTGATTATTCACCATATAATGTTTAAAAGGTGATGGTATGGCAAACTTAATCAAATAGGAATATAACTGGTTTAAATAATTTGTGTAAACTTATCTTTGATATTATTCTTTGATAATGTAGTCATTTTCATAATAGTGTAAAGTCTTTACTGTGTTGAATTTTAAACCTGGGGCCAGTTTCTCAAAGCTCTGTTAAATTTAACCGTCCGTTAAATCCACTAACAGACAGTTAAATTTAACCTTTGTGTTAAATTTTGTTGCTCAAAATTAACGCTCACTTTAACTGCCACTTTAACAGCTGAATATGTCTGTTAATTTAATCGAGGTTTGAACCTCCGTTAAAATTTAACAGAGGGATCATAGAAATGATATGTGTATATGTGAAATGTATTTTTATGCGTTGGCAGTCGTATTTAAATGAAACATATGCAAATTATCAAAATAGATATAATGAAAAAACAAATCTAAATTCCTTATAGGTCTAGTTCCTTTTGCTGCAATCGAGATTTCTTCTTTTACATGACATTGTTTAAGTTTTTTCACTTTAGAGAGATCTACCATAAATTATTTGTTGTTAAAAGTTTGAGTATAAGTAACACCTATGTATGTTTTCTCCGTTCAATGTATGAGCTACCTTTCCTTTTTTTCTCTTCTTTTATTTCCCTTGTGAGTTTGTTTGTATGTACATGAGTATATATTACTGTAAAAGTGTGAGGTTTTGTTGCATTGAGTATTTATCAAAACTTCACACTTTTACAATAATATATAGATAGATAGTTTATTCATATAAGACGTGTACAAAATGCACATGGTCACAAAATACATACATTCAAATATAATTAAACATCACGTAATCATCAAAGTTAACATTATTTAGTAGCAAATATATACACATGTACATAATACACACACATACAATGTACCCATGACAAGGGAAATAAAGTTAAAAAAAAATATTTGTTTTTGTTCAGCTTTAAAACACATAATGATACATAAATGAATACAGTAAGGTTTTTCAATTTTAAGTGTCTATCAAAACATTTTTGTGTGGATGTTATTCTGTAACCACATTGCATTACAATTTTCTTACTAGTGTTAATGGGCTTTCTGACATAGATCTATCGTAAAATAAAATCAATCCAAGCAAAAATTCTAATGACAATTGGTTACGACTATTTTTAAATCTATTCTTCATACATATTTATTTTTGCTTCTGACACTGATCTCTCAGAATTTAAATTACATTATATTTCCTTAATCAACTCACATGTCAAATGATCACAGGTCAAAGTTCAATGTTAATTATTGTAAAAGAATTTATGCTGACGTCATTTGGTTTATTTACGTCATGTCTGACGTCATATGGGGTCTAAGCATCCCATTTTTATGCATAAATTAATTATTAATGCACGAATAATGTAAACTGTGTCAGAATTTGAGTTTAACACATCAAAATTTCCATTTACCAATTCCTCAAGAAGAAGAGTTTTTGTTAATATTGAAATTTGTTGCTCTTATCTTTTAAACATGATTATTTTTAGACAAGATATTTGACTCAGACGCCATTTTGCAAACTACAGAATGAGGAATTATGGGATAGAATGAACCTGTTAACAGCTGGTTAAAATTTAACAGGGGTGTTAATTAACACTCCTGTTAAAAAGTTTTGAGCAACAAGTTTTTAACAGGCTGTTAAGTAACAGTCGGTTAGTTATTTTAACGGACTGTTAATTTAACAGGCAGTTAAATTTAACAGAGCTTTGAGAAACTGGCCCCTGATCTTTATTTTAATAATATTTGTTATTAATTACAGTTGAAAAATATTAATGTTTGTCACTCATGTGGAATGATTGTTATAACTTTTTATATTTCTGAAGTCAACTAAATGTTTTGTTTCTTTTTACTCTATCAGAAATGTTCAAATTGCTGACTTACAACAGAAAATCTTTGATGCAGAGCAAGGTATTTATATAATGACTTCTAATACTGAACATTTGTAACAGTGATTTTTATTGGATAATCATGTTTATGTTATTTTTTATCGTCTTCAAGTTATGTATTGGAAAACAAGTTATGTATTGGGAAAAAAAGTGGTTGTAAATTATCATAAATTAGTTAAATGCAACAAGTATGTTTTGTGTTAATTTGATAAAATAGCTAGTTTATATTTATGTATATATTACAGAGGGTAAAGGCAAATCTACAAAGGATAATCTTCATACAATGATGGAGGCTAAGATAGCTCTCAAATGGCTTTTAGATCAGGTATTTATATATAGATGATAATAAAAGCTGTAAAATTGTTTAATTAACCCTTGTCCACAATAGTATCCAGGCATTTTACTTTCACCTAATTTTTGTTGCATTGTTAAATAGAAATCTATCTAAAACAATGGACATTTTTAAATCCAAAGAAGGATATGTCCATTTATCAGCATAAAGTTATAAAGACTGAAAAGAAGTTGTGATAATTTGTATATTAATAATGTTAATATTGTGTATACTTGCAGTCGGTGTCATTTAAAGCTGACAATAATCGTATACGGCTAGAGATGGAGGAAATGAAACATTCTGTATCTGACAGGAACAATGATAATGATGAAATTCTGAGTGAACTAGAGGAGAAAATAGAGCAACTGAAGAAGAAATATGAGAGAGATATAACCAGACTACAGTCTGATCATCAACAAGAGGTGAGTTGTGAGAGTCCATCAGTAAGAACTGAATTACATGAGAATATTATTTTAGAGATGGTGTTTTAAATCAGAGTCCACACATGAGGTTACATAACAGTGTAGTCATCCAGTCTAACATACTTAGACAGGTCACCACTTTATTGTAGTTAATTAACTCCTGAAAAGATTGTTAGGTTACACACTACCATATTTAAGTCAATGCAGATGATGCATACAGCTTGATAAATGTTTCAATTTTGTAGAATGGGAAGCAATGCAAACAATATGGCCATATTTTGAACGAAAGAAATATTCACGGAAAAGCTTTGATTACAAATGTACAAACTTTACTGGTGCTCTGCTGACAAAAATAATATTTTCACTTTCAGATAGAGATCTTGCTGGCATCTAGTGCTAATGTTGCTACAACCAGTACAGACTTGAAAGATGAACTTAAATCACAGGTACATACATCTATATAAACCTTATTTATACATGCCAGGAGAAACATGACATTGAACTGCATTGGTCAAATAATTTATGCCATTGATATTGGATCACCTGTGCTGGTGGTTTCAATCATGCTGGGTTATTTATTTCATTCATATAAAGAAGTATTTTTTTTAACTTCTGAGATGTCTGTGGTTGTACATTAGTGTTATCCCATGGCAAAGAAAATACACAGAAGGGGACTAGGCTATTTCTGCCAATAAATTGAGAAAGTTTCCATATCCTCGCAGCAGTGTCCCAACAAAACACCCAGCCAAAGAATAAATCTTGGAGAAAGCATTTAAATACTGGTGTGAAAGAAATTTTCCAAAGTTGGTCAGAATTTCGATATTTTGTAGCGTAATATACTTGCAGTAGGTAGTAAGTCTTGCATAAATAATCAAAATTAGCTAGATTTAATTGTAATGTTTTAATTAATTGTAGTTGAGTAAGTACAGTGTTTGAATTTTAAGACAAGCATTTCATTTTATTATTTCAGAAAAAAGAAATAGATGATCTGAAGAAACAGCTCAAGAAAAAGACTGTGGAATATAATAAAATGGAAAAGGTTTGTTGACCAGTCAATGTGGAAATTTAGCAAATCATAAGAATACTAAGGGTTTTAGGGTGTTTTTCTAAGTCAAAAAGAATAGAATTAATAAAGTTTCTGTTTAAAGAATACCTTTGAATAAAGATCTAGTTTATTTGCTTTTTACTACAGTCATATATGAATATCAGAATTGTTTTAATATCCATTTAGAGTGCTTATCATATGTATTAGAATTTTTTAAATGTAAATTACACATTTTCAGTTGGTAGCATACTGTCAAAGTATAGACTGTATATATCTTTTACATAATCTTATACTGAGTGTTAAAGTGTTGACATTATTTATCACATAAACTGCAACTAGTGTAATAACAACTTCACACGATCTCATTTGCTAGCATTAATCTATAGGCACTTAAATGAAAAATGACTCTTTAACAGTTTGCCGTTCTTAATTAAAAGAATATTATATTCATATAGATTCCATACTAAATTTATTGAAAAAAGTTTGATAAAAGAACATAATAAAACAAAATTATGCTCGCCAGAGGCTCGTATAATATGATTTTATTCAACTTGTTCAATAAATTTAGTATGAAACCTACACTCACTCAACATCCTCTATTTATTATATAGCACCTTACAAAGTACATGTACCAAGATAAGAAAGTTGCCTTGATGCCAGAGTTAACCGATGACGAGAGTGAGATTGCAGAACCCAAATCTCCATTTCTAGCAATGAGACCAAAGGTATTTGAGCCGCGTCACGACAAATCCAACATAGTGCGTTTGCGACCAGCATTGATCCAGACCAGCCTTCGCATCCGTGTGGTCTGATCAGGATTCATGCTGTCGCTTAACAACTCTATTACAAGTAGAGAAACTGATAGCGAACAGCATGGATCCTGGATCCATGCTGGTCGCAAACACAGTATGTTGGTTTCGTCGTGACACGCCTCATTTCTGCTTGTCTTGTTGCTTATTATCATGTTATGTTTTAAATGTTAAAATTCATATTGCTTATTTATATTGTAAGATATGTGTATGATAAACTGAGAAACATTATACATGTATAGGATCTGACTTGAGAAAATTTTATTAAACAAGTTCATGAAAATATTAGCGAGTAAGTCTCTCTCATAGGAGTAAATTAAGCTAAACAACTCGTTTACATCATTATTTTGACTGTTAACAGACACTTAATATGATACAAAAGTGGTGTTATATTACATAGAAAATTAGAGAGGTCATGTGACAAATTTTGAATGGAGCAATTGACAATTTTGTTACTTGCTTTGTTTGAGACAGTATCTTCAAATTTTGTTTTAAGGAACAAAGCTAAGAAACTTAGCAGTAAAGATTGAATAAGAAAAAATACACCTGTTTATAGAAAGTTCATTTAAACTCTTAATTAATGAGAAAGATTGCTAAGGATTACCTTGGTCATCATTATTGTATACCAGTGTTAATTGTTAAGATATAAAACACAAAGTTGGTATCTTTTACAGAGTACAGCTGCTGGAAGGTCTGTGTTTGGCCTGATTCAGACGGATGAATCTATCCGAAGTTCAGATGAATTTGAGAAACCACCACGACCTCCAATGAGAAAATCCGTATCGGCAGGAATGCTGGCCAGCAAAAAATCAACAAGGTCAAGCTCTAAATTTAAAGGAGACAATGAAGGGGCAAAGAAAACTCTGAAAAAGAAAGGTTCTAAGTCTGACCTAAAAGTTGATGAAGACGATGATGATGAAATTGATGAGGCTCACTTACGAAAGTTGCGAAAAAGATCATCAAGGTTTGATTTAAAACAGATTTTAGCAGAGGAGAAAGAAAAAATGGAAGAATTGCCACCAAAGAAAACACGTGCGTTACGTAAAAAGTCATCAAAAACAGATTTGGCGCAAATTGACACAAGTAATGAAGAGAACGTGGTTGTTACACGAGGTTTAAGTAAAAGATCGTCTAAGACAAATTTAAATGAAACATTTACTAGTGAAGAGAATGAGAAGTCCTCATTGAATGAAACATTTACCACTAGTCAAGAAGATGACGATTCCCAAGATTTGATGGATGGTGGCCTTAAAAAGAAAAGGAAACTTTTCAATGTCAAGGAAAGTTTCTTTAGCCCAGTAGAATTTGCTGACAGTAATGTTTAAATGTTATTGAGTTTCCTGTAGACATATATTTTTAGCTTATATTCATGGGAGCTTTTAGGATCAGTAGCTGACTTGATGACAACCTTGATAGTTTGTCCATACAATAGCAGTTCCAATTATTTTTTTTTATGAAACCAATTTTGCTTAGAATTTACACCACAAATACATTTTACAATGTAGTTTAAAAAAAATGTGGCCTGATGGCATCCTACTTTCTTAACTTAAAGCCTATGAATTGGCGTTATCTCACATGAAATGTAAACATATATTGTTTATGAATAATAACTGGAATACTTCCACTAGTCACAAGAGTTATGTTCAGCTTGGCTGTATATGATATTTTTCTACTTTCTTTCATAGAGCCATCATGTATCTTGACAATATCCAAAAAATATTTGTATGTAGGTACACAATTGATGTTACCGAGGTCAAGGTCACGCTGTTGAAAACAGGTTTTCTACCTTTCTTCTTACTGTTTGTCGGGTGCCCATGCCTGAAATAATGCATGGAAGGAAAATTGAGGTCTTCCTCCACCAGTAAAACTGGAATGTGGCCGTATGACCTGTAATGTGTCGGTGTGACATAAAACCCAATTAAACAAACAAACAAACTTACTGTTTATAATGATTTTCCTTTTCTTAAGCTGAAGAGAAGACTATAAGCAGTCTTCACTCGGGTGAAAAATAAAATGACCATTATGGCCCTCTTGTGTAGCTTAAAGCCTTGGTTGAGGTAAATCTCTAAAGCTTTTAAAGGATTTTGATCTAAATAAATTACAGGACAAGCCAAACCTGAAAAATTATTGTACATTTTGTTTGCATGAGCTACATATTATTTTGGTTGCTTGAGAGAATAAAAGGTTCAATGTAAGCTGTGATGATTTAGCCAAGTCCTTATGTGTTGTAAGAAACAGTGTTTTTCTGAATTCATGTGTATATGTACATATTGCGCTTTATAATAATGCATTTCCTGCGGGCAAAATATGCTAAAATTAGAAATACATTTACCTTTACTTAAAATGACTTCTCATGAATCATCATTAAGTTTGATTGGCAGCAACTATAGGGTGTTCTCAATTTAAGTAACAAATAAACTACTTATGAACCCATTACAGCCAAATAACTGTACCATAAAATATCTCCTCTATAAACCATCTCCTATTATGGTGTTTTAACTTCTTAAAATTATCCTTATAATAATTCTAATCATTAAATTTGGCCATTTTAATAGGGACCTCTGGTGAAACAATGTTCCACTGAAAAAAATAAATGAATGATCCTTCAAACAAGTTCTGTTAATCAATATACATGTACCATTATTTCATTATGATGCAGGGCCATCACAAAATTATTGCTACAGAAGTACTTTCTGACATGTCTTAATTTATTGCTTCAAATAAGTTTCCATGATTACTAAATATCCTTGGATGATAGAGTAAACATTTACTTAAAAGAAAATTTAAAAAGTTTACATGATTTTTTTTGTGATCCATTTAAATAAAACCGTGTTTAATGTTCATTCTCATAATGTTGCCAGTGCAATATATGATTACAGTCTATCTAGGATTGGTTAGTTATAACATAAATGTGTTAACTTTTATACTACTGGATTTGTGCAGTAAATCTGTCCTTTAAAATAAGAATTGTTGATTAATTTAAGGAGATTCCATATTACACTGCTGCTCAAATAGGCAGGGAATGTTACAGTATCTAATTTTGTTCGCTTCAAAAGTTGAAGCTACTAATATACAAGAGAGTTTTACATTACTAAGAGATCTCTAAATACTAAATACGAGTATGTTTCTCCTAACTGCTTGCTGTCTTTCACTATGTTAACAATAATTCTTTGAAAGCTTCTGAACTACTATTTCAGTTTCCTGTAACCATGCCTTTATGTTCATGTATTCTTAATTTTTACAACAACTTGTATATTACTTCATGTACATTTCCACGTTGTTATTGTAGTCTACTCTACATGTTTGTACAGTTTTTGCTATGTGTTGTAATTTATTGACGCAATGCAGATTAGTTTTAGTCAATTACTATAGAAAGCATGTCGATATAGAAACTATCCATACAGATTGTCAACACAATGTACTGATATCTTCATTGTAATCCAAACAAAAGTTTTAACATGAACTTTTGTGCTAGAATAATAATGATCAGCATAATTTTGTTTGTTTGTTATAAGTCATACCCCACATAGTTAAAAAGCATGTTTCCAACTTAAATTCAGACATTCCGGGATGTAACTACAGATTTAGAAGCTTTACATTAACAAGGTGGTAATAATTGTTGTTGATACATTAAATACTTTATACTGGCCCTGTGTCCACTAAGAGAAAAAATCAGATCAAATGATCCTGATTTTTGTTTCGCCTGCTGCACAGTAGTGCCAACATTTAGGGATCTATTCTATATCACCGTCTGGCCGTCTAGTTGTGCATATCATTGGCATTTTCCAGTTCAATGATTTTTTCAGAGTTATGGCCCTTTGATGATTTTTATTTTACAAGTTTGTCCGGACTACTTTTCTTATACCAATGATGCAATTTGAATGAAACTATAAGATTGGTAACATGTGCATATTACATGGGTTATCCGTTTGGAAGACTACTGAGTTATGGCCAAAGAATGTAGAAGGTGTTTTTGGTCCGTTAGTTATTTTGTGTTGCCTGCTATACAATAGCTGATACATGTTGCAAAGTAGCCAGAACTGATATAGATCACTTTCCATTGCCTGTCTGCAACAAAACTTGTCCGGGTTACCCAAAAACAACTAGTGCAATTCCATACAAACTTAATAGGAATGATCTGTACCAAGTTATGTTGTACATATTGTCTAGTTCAGAGTTAACAGGTTTTCCGGATGAATGATTTTTGGATGAGTTATGGTCTATTGATTTTTGTGTCTCATGCTACAAAGTAGCCGCGACATATAGGGAATAAACTCTCCTCGATACAAGTGCTTAATTGACTGTCATCAGGCGACACATGTATTTTCATTGTTTTATAAAACTAAAAATGATCATAAAATGGCACATAAACAAAATTTGAAAAAATGCTTGTTTACAAAAAGAAACAATCCTGTTCTGGGATAATATAATAATCGGATCAATTTTAGGATTTGTATCGATTGTGTATTGCTTGAATAAACTTGAATACCTTTAGTCTAAGATGTCATTCAGTTCAAGTTGAGTTTTTTTTTATTTTTCCTGATCTTTAAATCTTAGTAAAAAATGTTATCAAAATGTGCGTGTGTGACCGTGTGAGCATAAAAATCAGTTTCGCTGTCGAGTGCGGACCCGAATCATGTTACTATGACGCCCTTAAAAATTTAAAGCACAAAGTGGTGATAATTTTCAATCCATGCAATTTCCACGGAATATTCGCCAAAGATATGAATTTTGTGCCAAAAGTAGTTTACTGTACGGCGGTCAATGAGAACCTAAATTGACAGGTACCTGAGGCAATATGAAAAGGATGTAACCCTTTAACGGGGCTGTTGGTACCAAGCTAAGGCCTTGCCTTTCAATGCACGTTTCTCTGTGCAAGGGGCTCACGCACTCTTGCACACTTGTCATCCCTGCATCCTTTGTAGGGCCACTACCTCCCCGGGCTTTAGTCAGGACATCGACAACAAGTTTGCAGATTTAAGTTCTGGTCTTTGTTTATATTCGCCATCCCAAGATCTTCATATCTCCTGCCTGTGCCTTGCGACGTGCAGGCACCTAGGGTTGCGAGAAGTTAACCAGTATTCGTACTTGACGGGAATAGTTTTGGACTTTGCGCTAAACTTCTCCGATAAATGCTCTTAGGTACCCAGCTGCCCTTGAGAAATCTACAAATGCTTTCAACGGACATTATATATAAGACGTTTTCCTTTGTCATTTTTTAATTTGATTTATAACAAATATAAACCAGTTTATAAATGTCATTCATCAACAGTTTATTTAGAAAATAATTTTGTTAAAGTGTTGAAAAGCATATTTATGCCATAACAAACAACCACAAACAAAAACGAGAAGCAGGAACACTACCTTTACACGAATCATTTGTGTCACAATTAAAATACATTTTGTATAAAACGGAATCGAGAAAGGTAACGTTTTTCTAGAAAAGTGTTTTAAGTTTATATGATGGTTAAGAAAAATAACATTGTACATGTAACCCCGTTTTGTGACGTACTGCCTATTGTTCTCTTGAGAAAGGATAACAATACCATCAATAAGAACTTAATCAAGATACTTCAGTGAGAACAGTAACATCCTTGTCATCTTTCTGAAATGAAAGAAAATGGATCATATATCATAGCAATAGAGGTAAGTCATAATAATCTAATAAACATATTTTAACAATTCATCTTCTGTAGAGCAATGCCTTTTAAGAGACAGATTAATTTGGTTGTATGTGGACGCTGAAGAGAGGTTGGGTGTCTTGTGAAGTCCTACTATAGGAAGTATTGGTACGTTTAAGAGGTTTTTGCTTTATATAGAGACAATCTGTTGAGGTTACACTATATTTCTATTTAAGATGACTTATATAAATTGTTCAAATAAAAAAAACGTATGGGAAGTACATTTTAAAAAAAAAACCTTAAAACTACAATGTTCACGTCAAACGGTATCTTACAATGACTTTCAACAGATAAGACAAAGTAATAGACAAGCATAAATAACGTGTTTTGTATACCGTTACAGCACTGTTATATAACTTACATTTTTACTACTGTTCTTGTTTTCTTTTTTGTCCTCGGCTTCGTCTACTTTACTGGACTGAGCTTTAAAGAAGTCTCCTATAAGACTTATCAACATAGAAAGCCAAGCCAGGCCGAAAAATATCCACCAACAAACCATAACCTTGTACAACCCACGAGCGTCCGATTCAGTTTGACCTATCAAATTCAATATAAATAAAATATTCAAAAAAATTATATTCGCTTCGGTCGTTACAGCCATTAAAATTAGACGTTATGTACAATGTAATGCAATAAAGAAAAATATTTTAAAGAAAGCTGGCATGTTCTCCGTTAAACGAGCGTCAACGGTTTAGTTTTACTTTGACATGGTGCATTTGTCCTGCATAGCCTCATTGCAACTTGTACTAGCCTGTCTTGCATTTGGATAAGTTGATCTAATTAATGAAATTCATGATACATGTATTCAACCAAAGTTTTATGCTAAGGAATATGTGTAGCAGCTCAGGTCATATAAGCGAACAACCGTTTGTACTTGGTCATACAATCTGTCAAGACATATAACTATGTAATGCCGGTTTTCATTGGATGATCATGACGTATGCCCTCAGCATTAACGGTTATATACTATGACATGACGCATCAGATGAAAAACAAAAAATTTAAAATGCGGCTTATAAAGTTTTGGAAGCCAGAACTATATGCACAATTTAACTGCTGAAATCCAATGAATAATGCTTTTATCCACCGCCCCTCCCCATAAAAAGCGTTGTGCTGTAGTATAAATGCTTTGGTTATATGTAAGTGTATAACCGATTGTTTACCATATAACTCTCTCCCAGCAGTTCAGGTTATATAAGTTTACTACAGTTTTCACCGGACCATAAATGAACCGTGCCATGACAAAACCAATATAGTGGGTTTGCGACCAGCTTGGATCCAGACCAGCCTGCGCCTCCGCGCAGTCTGATCAGGATCCATGCTGTTCGCTTTCAGTTTCTCTACTTGTAATAGGGTTTGTAAGCGAATAGTATGGATCCTGATCTGGCTGCGCGGACGTGCAGGCTGGTCTGGATCCCTGCTGGTCGCAAACCCATTATGTTGGTTTTGTCGTGACACGGCTCAAATATAATCGTGCATTTACCTGGTACGTAGTCACCGAAGCCTACAGTAGTAAGAGTTACCATGGTATAATACCAGGCTTCCAGGTACGTCCAACCTTCTACCTCTTTAAATATAGCCGCTGGTATCAACGAAAATAACACAAAACATATAGTGGCAAATAATGCCCTCTTTCCGACAGCTTCACTCTTTGGATATTTTGGAAAGAATTTTTTTGCCTCCAATTTCTTGTATGGAGTGGCCAATCTTTCACCAATGGCAGAAAGAAATAACGCAGTTAAAGGAATGCCAATGATTGCGTAGAAAACAAAAAATACGCGACCTCCTGTAGTAGTTGGGGATATGTGCCCATAACCTGCAAGAAAATAGACAATATTTACCAGATTTTTATTATCTCGTGTAACTTAGTCTTTTATTCTAGAAAAATGCATTATGCAGAGTTTAAATACCATTATTTATGAACATTTTAAAGTCTTTTTCTCAGGATATTAAGAAATAGAAAATATATTTTCCATATAATTACTTTAATGGTCAGATGAAAATATTATATTTATTATTTATATAGTTCTTCCATAACATTATTCTTCAATTTCCAAATAAGTCAGTTTCCTATAAATGAGCCGCGTCACGACAAAACCAACATAATGGGTTTGCGAATAGCATGGATCCAGACCAGCCTGCGCATCCGCGCAGTCTGATCAGGATCCATGATGTTCGCTTACAAACCCTATTACAAGTAGAGAAACTGATAGCGAACAGCATGGATCCTGATCAGACTGCGAGGATGCGCAGGCTGGTCTGGATCCATGCTGGTCGCAAACCCATTATGTTGGTTTTGTCGTGACGCAGCTCAAATGTATTCTCAAAATACATCGGTGTCGTAGTTATAATCCCTTAATAATGAAATGTCTGTTTTGTCTTTGCAAAGAAAGGAAATTAATTACCAGTTGTGTTATGTAGCAATTAATGATAGTTTATGCTGGCCTAATAGCTTACCTTTACAACATACATTTACTTGGATTTAATTAAGATAAAGATATAAACAAGAGGGCCCTGAACATAAAACTCTCCATGAACAATAATAATTGTGACCCTAGGGCTTTTATTTGACCTAACTTGTTAGACACCCATTTGAAGATGTTTCATGCTAAATTTCTAAGAAATAGCTCTTTGGGTGTTTTAAAAGAAGATTGTTTTAAGTTTTTACTATATTCATATAAGGAAAATCAATGACCCCCGGGGGGCGGGGCAAATTTTGACCTCAGGTTTTTATTTGAACAAACTTTGGTAGACACTCACTAGAAGATGTTTCATGCTAAATATCAAAGCTATAGCTCTGGGTTCCTTAAGCAATGACCCCGGGGGGCAGATCAAATTTTGACCCCAGGGCTATTATTTGAAGCATATTTATTAGATGATTTTTTTCAGTTTTTACTTTATGCATACACATGGCGGGGCCAATTTTGATCCCAGGGCTTGGGCTTGGAACTTGGAAGACTCACTAGAAGATGTTTCATCATACCAAATATCTAAGCTTTAGCTCTTTGAAAAGAAGATATTTTAAGGGTTTTTTCTTTTTGTTTCCATGGCAACCAGAGTTCTGCATTGAATTACATTCTTTGAACAATTTCCAAAGGTGACCGTCAAAGAAACATTCCAGTGAAGTTTGGATGTTTGCTTAGCGGTTTGTGAGGAGAAAGTCGTTTAAAGTTAAAATTAACGGACGAAGGACTGACGGGTGCCGGATGAAAAGCGATCACAAAAGCTCACCTTGTCACTTTGTGACAGGTGAGCAAATGAAAACCGGGATATAGATAGAAATTAAAATCGGGATATGCTAAGTAGAAAGAAATAATAACCAGTTGTTTAAAATAATGAAATACCTATTGTTGTTATTACTGTTGTTGAGAAAAACACAGACGGTCCATATTCCCAGTTACTAGAGCTGGACGTGTCCGAGGTTGCTATGACACCGGAGTCGTATGCTTCTATAACAGCAGCCGCGAAATCTGATAATTCACTAGATGTCACACAGGTGTTGTCAGCTTAAAATATAAAAAATACATTTTTTGTGAATAGGCCAGATATTACTTTCGGCTGCTTAACTTTTATATCCTAAAGGGATACATGAAGTAAATTTTTGACACTATTTAAAAAATCTGACTTAGGAATTGCTTCAAAAATAAAAGACATTAACGGTTAAAACAATATTAAGTTATAAAACGTCTGTGTCTAATTAGCTGATATTAAATAAGGAAACGTCTCTTACATTTTCTTAGATGAAGAACTTTAGGACATATTTATTTATTGGCTGAATTAATGTTGAAAAAATACAAACGGAGATATGTTTGAACGTATGACTTCGCTTGTGCGGATGTACCACATATTAATGCATGTATGTTAAAAATTATTTAAGCCCTGTGACATTCGCTTTTGCCTGCTGTAAAACACACATATATAATTGTAAACTTACTTAGAAACTGGGAAAATTTTGCAGATTGTGAGACAGAAATTTCCTCCTCGGTGTCCTTCTCTAGAGCCATAAATATTGCCCCTCCTACCAGTTGATATATTATAATGACAACTGCGAGAATACATAACGTCATCCAGTGCATCTTGTAACTTACATATAGTCAATGCTAGTATCATCTATAATATAAAATAAATATATTATATTCTATGGTATGATCGTGTATGTATATATATCATCTAACATTTAGTGACTGATCAACTTCCAATTTTGAGGTATATTTGTGCAAATGGGCGTGCTCTGTCGTGAAAATGGAACTTTCCCTTGTAAATGTACGGATTTCAATGGCTAAAAAGTAAAATGAACTTTCAACAGTTCAAAAACTGGCCTATTTATAGGCTGGTTGGTCTGTATCCTGGTAAGTCCCAGCAGCTAAATTGTTGAGGATATTTTTTGACTTCCCTTATGTTTCAATTATATAATCATTAAGAATATTGCTAAGCAAATAATTCCATGATGAATAAAACACATATACTTATATATGCAGTGTAAATGATATTAGTTAAATTAGATAATTACAGTAAATAAAGAAAGGTTAAAGCACATAAAAAGTAAGCTGTACAAAAGCATATTTATAGTCAATCAATAAACACGCGAATTTTATTATTTTAGGCAAACATTACACTTATATATTATATAAACAAAATCAGCCTTTGTCCGATTGTCTTACATTATAACAATTCTCAAAACATATCGAATTTACAGACAAGAGTGGTTAAAACAGTACTGAAATTTGACTTTCTGCAATGCCATAGCGTCTCATTAGCGGTGCCGTACTATATATCATATATCATATAAGTCATTATGATGAAACAAAATATGTCATGAATAATTTATATAATCTAAAACCGCATTATCTTCTTTCAGTTTTATGAATTATACTCGAGTATTTTAGCTGTACGTGAATGTAAAAATAGATATTTTTATGTTATAAGTTGCTTCGTTATTTATCATTGTATTGAAGGTTACAATAAAAAACAACAACAACAAGGGTTTTGTCAAGTGTTATATTTTTGATGAACGTCATTATCATTTCACTTCATTGGCAAAATTTGTATTTTAGAAATGAAAATGATGAAAATTATGGCACTTGTCTGTAAACTATGTTACTAGTACATAATCTTTAAACAGAACTGTAACGTAGCAGTGTTTGTATCTACTGTTGTAACAACTAATCATGACGCTGTTGCTGCTGCTGATGATGATGATGATTATGTAGATGCTGCTGATTCTGCTGTTGCTCCTGATGATGATGATGATGATTATTATTATTATGATTATTATTATTATTATTATTATTATTATTATTATATATCATGATAACAACAGTATCTTACAAATATAGTTTTTATATTTTTTGAAGTTATGATAAAATGAAAAAAAGGAGTGCAAGAACCTAATTTAATCTGAAGATTCATTATTAGAGAGTCACAACATGTTGAATTTGGATGTTTTACTGGGAATTGACACATCTTTTGAAAGTTGTAATAGCAATAAATACTCTTTTTAGAAAAAAATGATATGAAAGATAAGTCAGTTAGCTTTTATCAATACACGTATCTGATTTATTCATTTCTTTCCGTGGGGTAAAAAATAATAATTTTTTACCAAGATTTCATTGAAAATTCAGTTTCGGCTGGGAAAAAAAGGTAACTGTAATAAATAGATAGTACACATATTCCTATATTATCCGGAAATATGTAGGTAGCGTATACATGTACATGTATTATACTCGTTGTTTAAAAATATTGAACGAAATTAAAAATGATGGCATACATTTTATAATGTAATAATAATAATTAATAAAGTTCTTTTTTTCTTACATATACTAGTTTTATATAGAAATTTATAGTTGCTTTATAATAGAAATGTTGAAGATAAATGTGTTATATACATACCTATTTCAACTTTAACCACACCGTTAATATTAATACATCCAAGGTTAATTTTCCTCTTGTGTACAAAATTTATAAAATGAAATTGTATGAAACAGAAATACCAAGCACTGTCCGGAGTCTGAAACAGTATCCTAATCTGTTTAATGTACACTATCGTAGTTAAAGTGAATGTACATTATCTAAGTTGAAGTGAAAATATGAATAATAGATTAATGAATTTCAAAGTTTTGCATGATTTCCTTCAGTTGTACAATGGTACACTTCTAGTTTAAAAATCAATTGTTATTTGTACATTTTGTTGTTAATTATTAAACTCTGTGTTTGCTTCAAGTTTAAAGTAATTATGTCATGAGGGAAAACATAATTTTAAGCTTTTAAAGTGATGAAATTGAGTATTATAGAATTGAACAAGCATTTCTTTACCTAAGCTAATCAAAACTCATGATGGTGATTTAATTTTACCATTATATGGTAAACACGTAGTCAAGATATTTGATTAGTAAAACAGGTAAAATAAATGAAACCATAAACTTTTCATCAGCAACAAAAATTATTTATAAAAATCAAGACAAGAACTACCATGAAGCAACTCTGATCTGATTAGTTTAAAAATAATTTATTTAAATCATTTGTACAATAATTTATAGCGTGTACGAACTGGACAGACGGACAGACAGCTATGAAATCTTAAATGTGTCCTTTCTGTATAAGAATATTGTACATGTATATAAACAAATCATGGCATTTGATTACAATAACATGTTCATGTAAATTTTACAAAGCATAACAATTCATAATTATCTAAACAGGTCTAATAAATGAAAATGTTCATACGCACATATATGTATGTTTATATTTAATCCGAACCACGATGGATGTGCATTATAAATATGAACATAGATCTATATATATTTTTTTTGGTGAAATCTATTCAATATATTTACATAATAAACTCCGTTTAAACAACTGAACATGATTTTTAACTTAAGCCTTAAACATTTCGCTAAAGGATTATATGTTCTAATCTATTTAAAAATTTGAAATGTGATAGATCAAAAAGTTTATTATCAGGGTCGAAAATATTCGAATTGTTTTGGTTCTGTTTAGACCGGTGCTAGGGGGCGAGGACGTTGATAATGGTACAAGAGTTGTGTAACGGACTCCTTACAGACGGACGCGGGTGCCATAACAAAAAAGCACTCAAAAAGAGTATATAATTGTAAAGACGAAAAAGGTTAATCACATGTATTTAAAGTTGTATTAATTTGGCAAATATAAAGTGTCAAATGTACAGTGTCATTACGCATGGAGCTTAGGAGATAGTATTTCGACTGCAATGTATTATTTTGAAGCCAAACCTCGATAAATATTTCAGTAAGAGTTTGATTGAATGTCTAGCATCGTACTGTCGTCTGATTTCTTGAAAACGTTTTGTGATACTTTCTTTGTTTTTGGACATTATTTGGAACCCACGACGGAAAGAATACCTCCACGAATACTGGATATGAAAATCCCATACAAAAATTGGCAAATACAGTGGAAAATCTAAGGGTGAAATTACAATCAATTTCCTTAAAAGATATATTTTGCCACTGCATGGTACGTACATTATAGATGTACATGTATATACAATGTGTCGGCTTCCTTCAATGGTCCAGACATTTAATTACAATAACATGTTCATGTAAGTTTCACAAAGCATAAAAAGCATTATTATTTAATAATATTTAGACTAATAAATAAAAATGTTCATACACACTTATATGACTATATCTAATCCGTACACGATGGATGTGCATTTTAAATTTGAGCATATCTAATTAATATTTTTTGTCAAGTCTATTCAATAGATTTACATCCCCTTTGTTTAAATAACTAAACATGATTTTTAACTTAAGTTTTAAACATTTCGCTAAAGGATTATATGTTATAATCTCTTTAAAAATTTGAAATGTGTCAGACTTTAAATATATAAATAACTATCATGGTCTTACTTTACAGATCAAAAAGTTTATTATCAGGGTCGGAAATATTCGAATTGTTTTGGTTCTGTTTAGACCGGTGCAAGGACGTTACCCGACACTTATGATTGCCATGGTTACATGACTCCCACAGTCGCTAAAATGCGAATTATACTAGAACATGATTTTGATAACTCATAATAAAACAAAAAATGCTTGTGAAATATAAATTCATTTTTCTGTATTTGTTGTCATTCTTCTGATTAAATTTCAACTTGCAGTCACAGTGGCGTTATCTTTCTGTCATGGACTTAAAAATGCCACAAAACTAACTCGTAACAAAACGTTTTCACTAACTCTGACATCACAGTGATGCAAAACATTAAAGCAAACCCTAATTGAAAATTTATTGGGATTTGGCCCAAATGAAGGAATCTGCGGCAACATGTCCGTCTGAGCTTCGTATGACATCAATAGTGATCTATAAAGAAACCTATATAAAAATTTCACAGCAACAGTATCGTAGCTTACGGAAACAATATTCATTTCTGAGGCATAATACGCCTATAAGCTATGATGGTATCATGTAATTTTTTTCTTCATACTTTTGACTTACTGATCACAATGTAGTGAATTTGGGGTTTGATTATTTGAGGCTACATCGCAATAGCAGAAAAGCTATAGAGAAAAAAAGTGAGTCTTTGACATGTAACTGCGATAATGGCCTTGACGTGAGCTATATAAATATTATGCGCTGATATTTCTCGATGTGGTTAATGATTAATTGTGCCAAGTTTCTTTGAATTTTCACAATGGTATAAGAGTTGTGTAACGGACTCCAAACTCCTTACAGACGTACGCGGGTGCCATAACCCTAAAAAAACACTCAAAAAAGAGTGTATAATTGCACGGATTTAATATAAATCCGTGATAATTGTAAAGACAAAAAAGGTTAATCACATGCATTTAGAGTTCATTAATTTGGCAAATATACAGTGTCAAATGTACAGTATCAGTACAATACTAGTAAATAGCTATATTGTATTGATGTGATCCGAAATTATGTTGATGATCTTTATATCCTGTCTTTGGATCTCTTCAGCACGCATGCATGCATGGACCTTAGATAGTATTTCGACTGCCACTGTATTATTTTGAAGTCAAATCTCCATAAATGTTTCAATAAGGGTTGGTTGGATATATCTAGCATCGTTCTGTGGTCAGATTTCTTGAAAAGGTTTTGTGATATTTCTTTTATTTGTTTTGGACACACCTTTATTTGGAAACCCACGACGGAAAGAATATCTCCACGAATACTGCATGAGCACTGCATGGTACTTACATTTACATGTATCACGGATTTATAAATCCGTGCATGTATATATATATATACAATGTGTCAATGACCTTGAAAGTTATAATTATATAATACGCATAAAGATCCATGTACACGTAAGTGTAGACCTCCAGTTTCTATGTTACTTAATTCATATAAATTACACTTTAGAATAATGATTGAACCTTTTTCACAGAAATGTATACGTGTCGCAAGTAGCATCGAATCGTATCATTTATTCAGGGTATTATACATAAATACATAGTTACAATTTTAATAGTATCATATATAATTATATCAACTTGCATAGATATAAAAACACAAAAAATGCAACAAAAATAATTATAAGATTACACATGTATAATTAATTAGTATGCCCATTAAGCTTAAAGCTTATTCCAATAGGGTCCATTTACTGTAAAATTATCACACTTACTTATAAAATTATAATAATAAATGAATTATTAAGAAGTTGAAAAGTTTTGCAAAATTGTTCAACAATCAAGACACATCAATTGATTGATAGTTTGACTGATGACTATAGAAAATAGATCATTATCTTAGTCTCTCGTTTTACTGGTTAATAGGAAGAGTGTACAGTAATCTATGCGACAATTAACTTTAACAGCTACATGTATAAGAACCAGTACTCATGCCAGTACTGTACTGAGTATATGTATAATTATATAGATCTGCAAATACATTATTGTATTGTTTTATTTTACCAAATCTTGTGGTGCAGCTCTTGTGATAATTTATTTTGATCATGTAACAGATGCCATTTATCACCATCACAATTATTGATAAAGTTGCAACAGAGAAATGAAAATCAACGTTTTTCCAACAGCTATAGTGCGATGATGACGTCACATGATATATTCGTTAAACATTTTAGTCAGCCAAAAAACAAGGAAGTGAGACAAGTTGTTGCTTTTTTATTTTAAAAACATATTTTAGAGGTAATATATTTATTTTCCAAGGATTAACATGTTCAAATATTAAAGAAATACTAATTTAGACTGTGACTTTTTTCAAAGAATGTGTTTATGAATGAAAAAATAAATTAGTATCAGTTTTCGCGAGTAAAAATTGAAAAAATAATGTCAACAATAAAACTGCTTCGAAGAGTGCCAGGTAGAACATATGAAGATAAAAGTTTAAACAATAATATTTATCGGCAATCTCTATTTATCAAGTGTCGGGGTTATCTATGCATCGGAATTATCTTTCCAACCAGTATCAATTTATCGATAGTCAGACTATTCTCTCCCTTACCAGTTCCTCCCCTGACGCTTCCTCCCTCACGGTTCTCTCCCTATTTTGGGGGAGAACCGTCTGCATATTTGCAAATAAGCAGGCAGTTCCTCCCCAACTTTATTTTTATTTATACATTATCATTGAAGTATTTAGATGTTAAAGTATCTCTAAAAAATCCCAAGGGTGTTACACAGGATTGGACCTGGGACCTCAGGAGTGACAGCCAGTGTACTAACCAACTGAGCTATCGTGCCACCTAATATAAGGGTGTAATGGTATGCCATTATAAGGTTACATATTAAAGGTCTTGATACAATACCTATCACGTTACAGTTTACATCCAAACTTTCTTAAATATTATACTCAAGCATACATGTATTACTTAATTTAACTAGGGCCAGGTACATGTATTGCTCAGACATTTTTGATAAGGTAAACATGAATTACAGTCAAATTGGTGTCAAAACAGCCCCAAAAGTGTCAAATTGGCCTCAAGTCAAATGGTCTCATAAGTCAGATCAGCCCAGTTTTTAAAAAAATTCTTAAACTATTTATTTTTTTATAAACATTGCATTCTATTCTGTATAGTATATTGATAATAACCAATGGGGGTGATATGAATAATCCTTACCAGTAATATATAGTTATGGGCAGAGTTGACCCTTGCCGAGTTGGTATAGGGCTAGTCCAACTAATTAAACTTGTAAATCAGACATCAAGATAATTTTGGACGGGCAATGTCTTTTTTCAACGTTTGACAGTATGAAATTTTTTTTTTGTAAAGTAGGTCAAACCGTTCACGCCAAATTAATTAGGCTAGTATTGGGCCAAAATACATTTGTAACTTGGGCAACAAGTTATTTTTAGGGCTGAGTTGACCCAAATTCCTGTGCCACAAACCAACAATAGTCGATACAAGGCACATATTCATGGTATTGCTGATACAGTTAAACATAATAATAGAGTAACATGGAATTTGTGATTAGGATCATAGCAGTTCTGACCTACATGTATGTAAGAAGGCTAAAGTTCACCTGTATAGTAAACTTTTCCAAGGTGTTGAAAAACTTGCATAAATGAATTTGAGATTGAGAGGTCAGTGGATCAATTTGCCATATTCATTTTGATTTATGTTGCAAAGAATACTAGAAATTGAAGCTTTTGTGTTACTACTTGAAGGTTTCAATGTAAAGATAACAGTTTCACTTGACCCAAACAATAATTTGATATACATGTACATGTAAGTTTGACTTTGTATTATTACAGCTAAAACCCAATATTGAATAATCCCACTAATAGTGAAAAATGGAAAGCTGTTAAAAATGCTGTGCCAGCCCTAACTAAAATAATAAAATTTAAATGCTATTGGTGTTTGCAAAGCACTTGCACTAAGTTCCTCAGCCATTAACTTAAAAAGTAACTTTGCAAAAGCATAATGCATTAATTAGCAAACTTACAAGGAAGTTGTAACTAGTATTGTACATATTTCTCATTCTCAATTGCTGGGATATGTTTGAGTATCATGATATGCCAAAGAATGTCTATATGGTGGCCAACTTAAAGGTGTTTAGTATCAGTATAATAAATGAAATACATTTACCAACAAGGTATTGGGTAGAAGGTGAATTCTTTGTCTAACATCTTTAAAGGCTGACCAGACTGTATATTGAGATTGAAACCCCTCATACTTTGAATGGTCAGTTCTAAATAAAAACATGGGCAAATTCATATAAATTCAGCTGGTTAAGGGTAAACATCACCAGGTCAAATCACTCCCATGACTTACACGTTATATGGTCAAACACCAGCAACAGTAAGTTTTTAAAAATACACCAGTTTGAACATCACGTCTGATCTCAACTGGAACAAGAACATATATATATAACAAGTTACCTCTACATCCAATCAAACTCGCCCTGTTCAGCAGTGTCATTAAAGGTGGGTTTGTTGGTGTTCCAACAAGAGTAAATCACAGATTACAGGGTATTGATGTTTTACAAAATCCTTGATTGACTGGTTGCAGTACCAATGCCTGTGCATCTATGCATCCTTTTTCCTAAAGTTAAATTCATACTCCAGATAATTCTTTCCAAACAATCATTACACTTTGAAATTCTTTGACAGCTCTCATTACACAGGTCACCCTGGACAAGTTTACCGGTAGAAAAGAGGTAGCTAAGCTGTCCCATGATTTCTAAGTAGATAGGCTGTTTTAACCTGGTAACTGTATATCTCATCTTTTATTAATACTATCAACTTTGTTTTAATTTCTCCTGTAATATGATGAATAGCAAATTTGAAATAATTGAATTTTGACAAGAGAAATATTAATTAGGTTCACTCATCATCTTTTACTAATGTATTGTTTTATGAAATAAAAAAGAAAAATTATACTGAATGTTTTTTTTCTACCACCACAGTGGCAAAATCATCAGGAAAGCCTTAAAATTATCTTTGTTTCCCCTACCGTGACCCATGCCAGTTTGGGTAGGGTAGATACATCATAATTTTTTTTTATCCAAAATGTTTTTGTTTTTTTCTAGCAAAATTGTAGGAAGTTCCAACAAATTGTGAATGTTTAGCCTCTCTTGTTGTTTATGTATTGAAATCCCTAAATAACTTTGAATGAATGAACTGTTCTAACTTCAAATCACGAAATCAGTATGACAAATTCAGCAGGTTTAGAGTTTATAGATGTTATCTGGGACATAGTAAATATGGGGGTTTCCCATCTATTCCAAGAGCACAAACTTTCACAATGCACAGCCATTCACAAAAGAGTGTTCAATGCATTGTACCTTTTTATACACCAGGATAAGATGGGAAAAACACACTTGCTTGGTTCCAGAGTATCTCCATTAGGTTTTAATCAGACGTTCTGATAAAGTATAAATCAATATTATATTTCCACCCAAGTGGTGCTTTTTTTCCACCTGTCATAGATTTAAAAACATGACTACTCAGTAATTATTTTCTTGTAAATAATCTCTATCAGAATCCCTCTATATTATTTGATTACTGTTATGTCACTAGCTTAACCAGTGTCTCTGACTCTCAGCAGTCAGTTACACATGTCACAAGTCGCAAATATCTATTAATTCATTGGTTTAAAAAAATTATAATTGAGCTGCGTCATGACAAAACCAACATAATGGGTTTGCGACCAGCATGGATCCAGACCAGCCTGCGCATCCGCGCAGTCTGATCAAGATCCATGCTGTTCGCTTACAAACCCTATAACAAGTAGAGAAACTGATAGTGAACAGCATGGATCCTGATCAGACTGCGCGGATGCGCAGGCTGGTCTGAATCCATGCTGGTCGCAAATGCATTATGTTGGTTTTGTCGTGACACGGCTCATGATATACAAATGATGACTATTACCGGCTTGATTATCTTTCTATATGAGTGTTTTATAGATCAATAGTTTATTTATCAGCTGATTAGTTGCACGTTTTCTTACTACCAGGAAGTTAAAGTTTATTGTGAACAGTTTATGCTTACAGCACATTGCAGATATTATTTATCTCTTTCATTTCCTATGAATAAACTACACAAACTTTTTATCTCTACAAAATAATAAAAAAGACATTTTGCCGTGGAATGTGTATTTATGTGTTTACACTCATTTTGTAAATGTATTTCTGTTTGGAAAAAATTGTAATTGATGACTTAACATATCAAATGTGAACTTCTTTTTGGTTAAATTTCTTATATTGTCCTTCATGACTCTACAGCTTATAGAGTTATAAATCTTTAGTTCTAGAACAATAAGAAGTAAAGAAACTGACTTCTATTTATATATTCACAGAAAAAAACAGGGGTAGTTTATGTTGTTCAACTTTTTTTGACTTTTGACTTTTTTTTTACAGATTAATTCTTTATTTATCTGATGTGCATTTAGGGAGAAATAATTAAGTAAATAGCATCTTTATCACTTGAGTTTTACACATTTAGTTTCCTGATATTCCATTTAGGTTTCGAAAGTTTCAGTTTCACCATTGTCATATTGTTTAATTTTGGTGGTTGTAATGTCGTCCTATTATGGATTGGTTTACTAGGTAATCATTTATACAGAAGTAAAAGATTTAAAAATAAAATAAATTTTGACAAAGCATTTCTATATAGAGAATAAAAGATGAATGTTTTGACATTAAGCTAACTGCATTTATATTCACTTAAAGTGATAAATAATTACATTTTGTAACATACTGATCAGTGTACAACTGTTAGGCAGGAAAAACTCTGTTTATAAATATAAGTGATCTCTTCATGTATCAAGTATCACGAGTATGATATTGTTTTAGTAGGGTGTTCTTTGTCTTCATTGATAATTTAGCTGTGGTTTTCATTAACATCATGGATTTTCTGTTTTCTTAATTGACAAATAGCTGAATGATTGTATGTAGTATTTACTTTATATCGGAATGTTTGGTTATGATTAGGCTTTTATTGTATTTCTTTGGATTAAATTGAAAGAGGTGCAAATGCCTTTTATAAAATCTCTTGTCCATTACGGTCAGCGAACCACAGCCCGTAGTAAGAACCATTGTATGTTAAACAATAAATTATGCACTTTCTTTATTTTGTTTGGGTTAATATTACAGATAACAACAAAATACTAGCTGTTTAATCTTCTATAGCTATCATCATGTGAGATATAAATGTTTACTTTACATTAACAATTGCTATTGTTTATTCCTACTGTATGGTTTGCATGAATCATTCCATTTTAATGGTGTTTATATTCAGATTGCATCCATGTTGGATTAAGAATAGGTGATCTGTATGTACTTTTTAACATATTTAGTTTCAGTATATTGTTTCACTTTTTATATTGTGTACAAAATAATGTACTTGTGTAATATTCAAACTTTATTAAGAAATTTAAGTCTTTTAAGACTTTAGCAATGCCTCCAGATTCATGGTAATTTTCATGAAAATTTTGAAAATGTATTTATACAAACATGTATTGTGAAGTGAACAAAGAAAGTAATTGACACTTTGCAAACAGCACTTACAATCCACCAAAAAGGTCAAAAGATGCTTAAAAAAGCACTAGAAATATGGTGATAAATAATGCAAAATAAGTTATAATAATGGCACAAAGCATGTAAATTATTACTTGAATCTTCAGTTGTTTTACTTTGTTTAAAATCTAATTACATTTTTCTCAAGTTTGATTTTCTTGAAATATTTTGGCTCATCTGGATGCCTTCAGCTTTAAATTTTAATAAGAGTTTTATAAATAAATAGAGTGATATTTTTACTCTGACACAAACAAATCCAGAATTATATTTAAAAAATGTAGCATTTACATATTACCGTTTTTAACCTGCTGAGCTTGTCTTTATGTAAGTTCCATCCACTTTGGGAACTTAGGGGGATAACATGACAAAAATATAAAGTCAGCCAATAATATAGAGCCTGGTCAGGCAGCCATGCACACTGGTATAATTATATCATGGTACTGATTTCAAAGGCAAGTAATTTGATTGAAATGTCTGATAAAGGCTGAAAAACCCAACAGTTTTCTGATAATAAAGATACAGAACAAACTGTAGGTTGGAATATGTCTTTGTTTAAAGTTATCAATTTTCATGTTATCAAAATGTCAAGTTATCACTCTAGAGCAGTAAAAAAGGTGCAGATTTAATATTTTGATAAAAAATAAAAATATGAGCAAAGCATGATGAAGAAAACATGGATCAAACAATAGTTTCTATTGTTCTTATATTATACAATAAAATTAAAATTAATTTTGGGTGATAAAACTAATATGTAAGTCATTTGAACATTGTGAATTGAACTAATTTAGTAAGTTACATATAGGTATTTTTTTCAGGTATGAATTTCATTATTTTTTAATCAAGTTAAAGAAATTATGACTACTTGAAAACTAATATATTTAATTATTCATTAATAATAATTGACATAACAAAACTGAGCAGGAAATTGTAATCAGCTGGATTGTGCAGAATAACATGAAGGTCCTATACTAGTTAATAACAGACTTTAGACAAGTTATTATTTCTGTATAAACACTTTTAAAATATATAGCGATTTTTAAATCATCATCATCATCACAGTGCTACACAGAATAACTGACTAATAGATAGCAGGAATTAGGATTTTAAGACAGATTTCAACAATGTTCAGATGTTTTTACTACCTGTTGTCAGGGAACATAATTATAATGTATTATGATTATTTATGTCATTTGTTTTGTTTGTCATTTATTGTAACATACTGAACTCAATTTTTAACCATTTTATGAAGGATAGAAATATTTCTTCTAAGAAGTGACGAGGAGTAACTTAAGGTTTGTATGTAATTTCCATGATGTATACAGGATTGCATGTCCTGTTTGATCATATTGACATCATTTCCTTTAATAATTAGGTTTTAATAAGGTCTACTTACTACTTTCTCCAGTCACCACTACATATGTCAGTACATTGTTATATATATTAGATTATCTCCCTTCTACTAAATAACTTACCAACAAATACTGCCGTTACTTGTACATTCATCAACAGTACTCATTATCACCACCATCATCACAAGACCATGACCATAGACTATAAAATATTGTAAATACATTGTAACTACATGTATTCTGAATCGAAGATTTAAATCAAGAAGAAATAATATTGTGAAAAAAGACAAAAGACCGTACTGATGAATATTTTAGATAACAAATAATTTGATATTAATAAACATTACAAACTTAGTACAATATTGAAACATAAAGGTTGTAAATTGTTTGGCAATAGAAGTTTTATCTTTAAGGTCAAGCAATTAAGTGTCAGAAAAATGCAATTAACCATTCTGTCTACTGGTTACCAGTATCTACTTGCCCAAATAAGTTTGTACAAGCCCAAAACACTTCTGAAGTTACATGTATTAGTAGAAAGTAAAGTCAAGTAAAATTATTGCATTTAATTAATACAGTTGTTTTGTAATTTTATTCTGTTTATATAGGATAGAAACATATATATGTTTTTATTTAAAATGAGGTCACTTCGTTTTCAGGAAATAAGATGATTGTCTGTTAATTTATTACTGTCCAGTTGAACTAGAAACTACTGCCTTCGAAATTTACGAGTCTGATTCTTTGTTCACCTATTTTTGCACAAATTCTCTTTAAGATTTCAAAAAAAAAATTTAATAACAAAAAAAATTGTTATCAGGCTCACACAGTGTAGTTTTGTGTTTCTGTATACACTAGGAGTCTGTTTTTATCTCCCATTAATAAATAAAGACAGCACTGTCTTTGTCAGTATTGTAAATCATGTTTTATCAGTTGTAAATAAATTCTTAAATTAAGAAAAGGCTACAGCTGTTTTACACTTTGTCTGTGAGAATAAAAAATACAGCACAAAAACCCAACAATATCATGTTTAATTTGAAATATCTAGCAAGACATGCACGTTTACATATTTGACAACAAAATTATCTTTGATTGTGAAATATGAAGCAAAACATGCAGATTTACATAAGAAACACTTCCTGGATTATAATGTATTTTAGTTAAATTTTAAGTTGTTTAGCAGAGTAATTATTTTACTAATGTCTTCAAAAAGGGGAACTAAATTAGTACTGAATAAATGATAATATAAAAACCGGAAGCTTAAACTAACACTTGTCTGAAGGAGATTATAGTTTTTGAGATTATTTGTACATTTGCTGATGTGATAATAAGAGTATTTGTTAAATTCTTTCATGAAATAGGTTACCTTGATGTAACATTCACAAATCTTGGAGATTAAAGCTATTTTTGTATACATAATTTTGATTTAAAATATTACAAGTGGAATACATTGAATAGCGGTGAAATATTACAACCAACACAAATTAAAGGAATATGTTAGTGTAAATCTTATATGGAATACTATATGTGAGTTTGAATATTTTGATTTATTAAGTTGTTTTGTTGTTGTTGTTTTTTGGTGTCTTGATATAATGCTTTTATAAAAAAAATAAAGTGTGAGATTATAGTTTTACTTTTTAACTAACAGTATTTAACTTTATTTCAGATTGATGAGGGCTAAAGAAAAGGTAAATGGCTGAACACCATTCTCTCCAGTACTGGTTGGAAAGTATCAATTTACCTCAGTATTATATAAACTTTATACAGGAAGGTCTGATCAGTCGCGAACAATTTGCTGGCATTGATGAACAAACTTTAACCAGCATTGGGGTAACACTACCAGGCCATCAAAGGCGAATTCTTACACATTTACCAAATGAAAGTAATTGGATTGAAAATGAGACAACTTTACCTAATCTCCCGCCAAAAAAGAAATCAGTGAGAGACTCTTTCTTGTATGAGGATCATAAACCACCTGATAGTTTACCTCTTCAGAAGAATTCAGGTAACAGTGATATGAACACAGCAATAGATCCTCTAAAAGTTTCTCCACGTCCTGTGCCAAGACCACGACAAAAATCTGGCCATTTAAAATCTCCACCCTCAACACCAAATGAAGCATGTATGCCAAACGAAGAAAAACCAAAGCCCACAAAGAGACCTACACCAGCTCCTCGTAACCTTGTGTCTCCAAAGGTCAAACCACTTGAACCTTCTCTGTCAGATATTCATGAACAAAAACCTTCCCCGGACACAGTAACTAAATCCATAGACAACAAATTAAAGTTTGGAAACTTAACTTTTAATAGCAATGTTACAGAAACACATTCAAATGAACACGAAGTTCAAAATCGTAATGATTCTGTGAAATTAAAGGATGTTTGTGTAGAAGAAACATCAACAGATGACACCTCGTTTTCAGGGTTGTATAGTTTTCCAGTGAAAGAGAACGTATCTAACCATAATACCAAGTTAAATGATCCAGGATATAGTGGGGATGACAACATTAAAGATATGAAGGATCACAATGACTCAACTGAAGCTGAAGAAGATGACCTATATATAAACATAGACAGTTCAGGGGAGAGTTTATTAAAAGATCTTCCTGCTAGAGAAAAGGCAAAAGAAATTGCTGAAGCAAGTCTTTGTGCTTCTTTTGTTACAACTGAAAAATATGAAAATGCTGACTTTGATCCTTTGTCTAAGAAGTACCAAGTTAAAATTGAAGACATTGAACATGTTAGTGATAGAACTATTATAAACCATGAAACAAAACATGAATTACCTGAAACATCATCAAGAAATTCTCCTGAGTTATGCAAAAGTGTTGCTGCTGAAAATGAAGGTGATGATGATCGCATATATGAACCTATATGGGAGAATAAACTGGAAGAAACATTGACTAAACCTAGTGATAATACCCAAGCTTCAAGTTTGATGCAATTTTCTCCATTAGTTACAGAAAGTAGTTCATCTGTTATAACAAGACCTAAAGATGGATTGGCTGCACAAATGTTACAGAATAGGGTATCATCATATGGTAGAGATTCTGCATCATTTGATATGCCACCACCCCAGTTTGCTCCACCACCATTGCCACCAACAATGACTAACATGAAAGATGTGATATGTGACTTTGATCCCCTGGCAGGTACAGGAGGACATAACATGCCCCCTGTACCACCAAGGCCATCCAACTATACTCCACCAAAGATGTTCAAACCATATGAGAACGTGCAATTTCCAATGGGTGCTGAATCAACAACTTTACCTGGGCACAATAGTGACATGGAACCTGATGTGCCAGTCTTTTCATCTGCATTGATATACCAAGATGCACGTGCATCCTGTGCAGATGATCCTTTCAAATATGAAGACCCATTTGGACAGTTTAAACCTGATTGTGATGGGTTTGAACCTGAGAATTTACCACCATCATCTTGTAACACAAATACTCAAGCTGTTCATGACGAAAGTGCTATATATGAAGCTGCTAAGGATCCTGATGATTTTGATCCATTTGGATTGAAAAATCATAAACCAAGCCTGACCTCTCTACCAAGGTCTATCTCTAGTGGGAGCAGTAACAGCCAGTTCCGCCTCAGTGAGGTTCCTCCAGCACCAAAGACCTACAATGCCTCACCAGAATCAAATAGAATGTACTCAGTTGCTGGGAACTTAAGTAAGTAATCTTTTCTTTGCAAGTTAGATTAATGTTGCATTTAAGAGTTAAAAATCCCATTGTTTTAAATATTTTTTTCTATATTTCAGGACATGTTAGTAATAGACAATATGCTAATTTGTTTCTTACTTAAGAATATTTGATGTGTTAAAATCAGTGTAAAATGAGACGGACAAATGATTCCCATAATTATCATGTATAAAGTAATGAGCTGATTTATCAGATCTATTTATGAAAGCATACAGACTATAAAAAATAACATGAAATTGAATGTATAAAGTGAAAATAAGTTTTTGAATTATAATATATGTCTAGTTACAAAGACTATTGGGATATTGGAAAAAGTGTTACTGGAAAAGACCAAATGACATTATGTCTTAGGCAATGCGTTACTGCAAGGGATTTTATGTTGTATGTCTAGTGTTGTGTTGGTATAATGTAACTTGAAGCAAAATTTTGTCATGATGTTAAATGTGATATGAGTGATACACTGTATGTTACTGAGAGTGACATTATGCCATATCTAGTTTAGTGTTGATATAGTATGTAGTAGGGTAGCATTATGTCATAATGTTAGTATTTCTCGGAGCAACATTACTGTGTCATGTTGTCAGATGAGAAGTTGGTTAAGTGTAACTGGGAGCAACTGATGTCTTTATACTATGTCTGATGTTGGTAGGAGTTACTAGGAGTGATTTTATTATATCATTTTATCTAGTTTGGTGTTTGGTATAGTGTTACTGAGGGTACCTTTCATGTCATTATGTTTACTGTGATGTTAGTATAGTGTTACTGGAAGCAGCTTTATTCTGTCATGTATAGTGAGATGTTGGTGCAGTTTTACTGGGAGTGACTTCATTATGCCAGTATGTTTGATGTGATGTTGATATAGTCTTACTCACTTGCTCCCTCACTCACTCCATCATTCACTCGCTCCATCATTCACTCACTCACTCACACTCCATCACTCACTCCATCACTCACTCCATCACTCACTCAATCCATCACTCACTCACTCACTCACTCACTCACTCACTCACTCACTCACTCACTCACTCACTCACTCACTCACTCACTCACTCACTCACTCACTCACTCACTCACTCACTCACTCACTCACTCAACCAATCAATCAACCAATCAATCAACCAATCAATCAATCACTCCATAACACACTCTATCAATCCATCCATCAGTCAATCAATTAATCAATTAACAATCAATCACTTACAATTACATTGGTATGCAGTAGCACTGTGTGTTGCAGTAGCACAGTGTGTGAGAAGCTGTTACTATTTAAGGAAGTAACTTATTCAGAAACTAATTGTGTAGGAAATTAATTACTAATGAATTCATGAACTCCTCATGTTAGCTTGTTTCATAACACTGACAATTATGTGAATTTGACACGGAGACCTTTTGTCTCTCTTAAATGTTGTTTAATCTGTGTTCTCTTAAAGATTTGGAAAGTTTTTAATATATATCATTGTTTAAGTTATATAGATTAATCAAAATACTTTAATCAGTTTAGAGTCTGGTAATAAGTTATTAGTCATTGAAGTTGTTAAGCTCATTTACATGTAGGTAGAAAATCTGGGTACATTAATGAAATTTTACTGATTTGATATTTGATATTTCATGTGTATAAGAAATTCATAGATTAAATCTTATAAACAATTGCACTTTATTAAAGAAATAACCTGACTAGGAAAGCAATTAATCATGCATATGTTTCTCTTAAATATGAGCCGCGTCACGACAAAGCCAACATAGTGATTTTGCGACCAGCATGGATCCAGACCAGCCTGCGCATCCGCACAGTCTGATCAGGATCCATGCTGTTCGCTTACCAACTCTATTACAAGAAAATGATAGCGAACAGCATGGATCCTGATCAGACTGCGCTGGTCGCAAACCCATTATGTTGGTTTTGTCGTGACGCGGCTCAAATTATGTTATATAATACCTATTTTAACTTTTCTTGTGAATCTTCATCAAGTGTAACTTAATGTTACCAGGGTTGTTGATGAACATACAACAGGACTGTTATGAACATTGTATGCAAGGTATAAATCAGGACTTTTATTGAACACTGTAACAGAATATTAATGTTATTGATAGATGTTCAAGGTTGTTAATGAAGATTATATAAACTGGGCATAATTTGGGTATTTTGTGAACACCTCACATTTTAGAACTTCCTGATTGGACGTCCTCACAATTATTGTAAGATAGAGAAAAACCTTTAATGAAACTACCTGTGTTTGGTATAATCTTTATATTCAAAATGTAGTGTAAATATTATAAAGTGTTTCACAAATGTTTACCCTATGATAAATTGAAGAAAATCAGTTTATATCTAGCATGCCAGTTGTGTTCTTGTTTGAAGTTTCTAGCTTTAGGCACAAAATCTCCAAAGATTCTTCAAATCTTTGTGTTTTAAGTGTGAAGGAGCATTAGTATCAAAATTTCTCTTCCTGTACAACCAGTAAAAACCAAATTGTATAGTTTACAGTAATAATATCTGTTGAGGTTCTGATCTGAACTGCAAATACATCAGATATTTTTGCATTCATATTCTATCAAATTTAAAACGGTTAACCTCAATGAAATAATTTTTCAAGGAAATTAATGTCATTTTATCCATAACTATTTCTTACAATAGTGTAAGAATTTCATTCAGAATGGTGAATTTACAATATCCTTGACACACTGTTTCATTTTGTTATGTACCAAATGATGTCCATTTAGTGCAGTACATTCATAAAATGTGTTAAATTGATGTCATTTTAAAGCATTTGACTCATCTAGCAATGAAATCGCATTGGTAAATTTGAGGCATAGGTAAAACTAACAGAAACGCTGATACGATATGCAAGAAAAAAGTTTATATCACTCTGCTGTTATTATAATCTGTAAAGTCACTATGACTGTATGATATTAACATTTTTAGCTGGACTGTTTGAATAATAGGGAAGGCTATAATTGTACTCACCTCAGTGTCAGCATGGCCATCACACTTTGGTTAAATTTTTCCAAAACCACTAAAGTGGAATGGGTTGAAACTTCACACACTTGTCCTCTGTGATTATTTAACATGGTAGGCACATGTCCTATAACTTTTAGTTACCTTTTACAGAGTTATGCCCCTTTTCTTACTGTCAGATACTCAGAGAACAGTCAAATTGACAGCCCTTGTTTATTTTTTACAATGCCAATCACACTTATATGGTTGTAATGCCATTAAATATATGTAAATTTGGTGAAAAGGAACTCTTCAGTGTTAGTCATGTGCAATGTTATGTTTTCATGGTAAACAAAACTATATGCATCAAGATGAATTAATTTTAAATTATTAAAAAATATGAAGAGTTTTATGAAATTTAACAATTCATGTTATGTTTTGCAAGTTTTATATTTACCCTTTGACTACTGGTGGCAACAGATTCTACCTATATGACCAGTGCAGACCAAGATCAGATAGCATTAGTAACACCATTTTCCATAGTTCATAACACAGCCAGTTTAGCCCATAACTCAGCCAGTTTAGTCCATAACACAGCCAGTTTAGTCCATAACACAGCCAGTTTAGCCTAAAACGCAGCCAGTTTAGTCCATAACACAGCCAGTTTAGTCCATAACACGGCCAGTTTAGTCCATAACACGGCAAGTTTAGCCCGTAACATGGCCAGTTTAGTCCATAACACAGCCAGTTAAGTCCATAACATGGCCAGTTTTGTCCATAACACGGCCAGTTTAGTCCATAACACAGCCAGTTTAGTCCATAACACAGCCAGTTTAGTCCATAACACAGCCAGTTTAGTCCATAATGCAACCAGTTTAGTCCATAATGCACACCAGTTTAGTCCGTTACACAGCCAATTTAGTCCATAACATGGCCTGTTTTGTCCATAACACGGACAGTTTAGTCCATAACACAGCCAGTTTAGTCGGTAACATAGCCAGTTTAGTCCATAACATGGCCAGTTTAGTCCGTAACACAGCCAGTTTAGTCTGTAACACAGCCAGTTTAGTCCATAACACAGCCAGTTTTGTCCATAACACGGACAGTTTAGTCCATAACATGACCAGTTTAATCCATAACACAGCCAGTTTAGTCCATAACATGGGCAGTTTTGTCCATAACATGGCCAGTTTGTCCATAACATTGCCAGTTTAGTCCATAACAAAGCCAGTTTAGTCCATAACATGGCCAGTTTTGTCCATAACACAGCCAGTTTAGTCCATAACACGGCCAGTTTAGTCCGTAACACAGCCAGTTTAGTCCATAACACAGCCAGTTTAGTCCGTAACACAGCCAGTTTAGCCCATAACACGGCCAGTTTAGTCCATAACACAGCCAGTTTAGTCCGTAACACGGCCAGTTTAGTCCATAACACGGCCAGTTTAGTCGTAACACAGCCAGTTTAGCCATAACACAGCCAGTTTTGTCCATAACACGGCCAGTTTAGTCCATAACACGGACAGTTTAGTCCATAACACGGCCAGTTTAGTCCATAACACAGCCAGTTTAGTCCATAACACGGCCAGTTTAGTCACATAACACAGACAGTTTAGTCCATAAACAGGGCCAGTTTTAGCCCATAAACAGCCAGTTTTGTCCATAACACGACATGGACAGTTTAGTCCATAACACAGAGTGTAGCCCACAGTTTAGTCCATAACATGGCCAGTTTATCCATAACACAGACAGTTTAGTCCATAACAGGGCCAGTTTAGCCCATTACACAGCCAGTTTTGTCCATAACATGGACAGTTTAGTCCATAACACAGACAGTTTAGTCCATAACATGGCCAGTTTAATCCATAACACGGCCAGTGTAGCCCATAACACGGCCAGTTTAGTCCATTACACAGCAAGTTTAGCCCATAACACAGCCAGTTTAGTCCATTAGGCGGCAAGTGTAGCCCATAACATGGCCAGTTTAGTCCATAACATGGTCAGTGTAGCCCATAACATGGCCAGTTAAGCACTCACA